TCTGTAAAATCTGTAATGACCAACAGCTCCATTTTTAAAAGCTTGACCTCTCTTCAAGACATTCCTAGAATCTGAATCACTCTTCAATCTCCAAGAGTTTAAGGACTGATATTGAACTTGCTCCCCAACACGTGCCTCCCTCTCCTCCTGCCCCTCAGTTAGCTCTATTACAAATGTGTAGCCATGCTATATGGACACAGATATCATAGATATCGAAAAAGGTAAATATATTAAGTATTAAAAAAAGGAGTTACATGTGTGATACAAATTTGTTAGGAACATTTATAGGCAAAGTAAGTTTTTTTTTTCCTGCCAATTTGCTATGAACTTTAATTTTGCTGCTTAGGCACAGTTTATTCTCTTTTCTGCACAAGGTCGGTAGCTAAACACTCTATAAAGAGATATTGTTGCTAATCTTTAAAAGGTGCTTCTAAATAATGTTTAGCAAGTCTATTACATAAATATTTAAAGTTGTCAAACTTTAAAACAGCAAAATAATTTTATATAATAAATGACAATTACTATTTATTGAGGTGAAGTGGTTACATAGTTATCTCTAAATTACAGATGCTAAGAAAAGTCAGCTAATATACTGAAGTTCAAAACATTATTTGGTGACAGAGCTGGAATTCAAATCCAGGCCATTTGGTTCTAAACCATTACACTCATGTGAGCAAAATAAATAAATAAATAAATATTCCCAGTCAAACTGTGTAAAGACAAAAAGAATATTCAATAACAACAAGTGAAGAAAGTCAGAACATTTTTAAAGCAACACCTGTTTGATTCTCAACAGCAGCAATATAAAAGAGTAGATGACATTTTCCATATACTGAAATAAATTCATTTCCAATCTTGAATTCTCTATTCTATAAAAACTTATTTCACAAATAAATGTAAGACAATAACATTTATTAGGCAAACAAAAATTAAGATTGCTTGCCTCCAGAAGAGCCCAACCAAAGTACATACTTGTACAAAAATAAAGAAAAAAGATCCTAGATTGGAATGTCTAAAATGCAATAAAACATTAAAAAAAAAAAGCAAATAATGAATATGTACAAAAATATACAGGAAAACAACTTGTATAAAACTACTTTAAAATAATCCTATTTGGGGTTGAAAATGCATGGTAATCTATATACATAAGGAGCCAAGGTCTTTAATGTCCAAAACAACCAAAGGCTCGAACGAACACCAGAAGTCAGTCCTACAGTCAGTGCTGGGTCGGCAAGGTGGAAGTCAGTCCTGGCAACCCAGCATGGACTGCCATGCTGAGGACACCTTAGTGCAGTGTTTTTCAACCTTTTTTGGGCAAAGGCACACTTGTTTCATGAAAAAAATCACGAGGCACACCACCATTAGAAAATGTTAAAAAATTTAACTCTGTGCCTATATTGACTATATATAAAGTAATTCTCTTGAATAGGAATCAAATAAACACAAAGAAAGTATTTTATAATTACTTTATTATGAAATATTAAGTAAACAAAATAGTGAAAAATTATAAAATTCTTGTCTTGTCTGCACCTACGGCACACCAGGCAACATCTCGCGGCACACTAGTGTGCCGTGGAACAGCGGTTGAAAAACGCTGCCTTAGTGATCCAGCACTGACTGCCAAGGGGGCTGTGATCAGGCCCTGACAGAAAAGCAGGGTCTGATCGCAGCCCTCGTGGCAGTCAGTGCTGGGTAGCATGGCAGAAGTCAGTCCTGCAGTTAATGAACATAAGGTCAACTAATATCTCTTTGAGAGGACTTGAGAATATAAAATTTAGTGTAGAGCAATTACTTACATTATTTCACATAAAACTCTCTTCAACTAAGATATTTTCCTTTATTTAAAATGTATCTTTGCTGTTGAAAGTATTACACATGTCCCTTTGTTTTAGTTCTCCCGCGCCTCCCCCCACCCCCCCCACCCCCCCCATTGATCTCCATATTGCACCCGCCCCTTCCAGGCCTTTGCTAGACTATTGTCTGTGTCCATGGGTTATTCCTATCTCATACATAAAAAGATTTAGAGGAAATAAAATAAAAGATATGCCAGGTAAATACTGGACAGAAGAGCTGAAGTTGCTGCATGAATATTGGATACAGGCTTGAAGCCAAAACACAACTCATGAGATAAAGTTATTCATTATAACATAACAAAAGGTTCCTTTCACTGAAGAGATATGATAGTTCCCAATACTTATACAAATAATAGAACGGTGTGTGGGTTCAGAATGAGCCTCACCAACATGTATCTCAGTGGTATGCAGATTTTTGAGCTAAGGACAATTTTAGCTTCAGGCCCAAGTGAAAATTCTGCCCCTCCCTTTACCTAAAAAAACCAAAACTGAATTAGAGGCCTTGCCCATAATAAGACATTATCCTATATTAAAAAAGGCTAAGATGCAAATTGACTGAACAGCAGAACCACGGTTGCTATGTCATGTACTGACCACCAGGGGGCAGATGCTCAATGCAGGAGCTGTCCCCTGGTGGTCAGTGTGCTCTCATAGTGGGAGCACTGTTCAGCTAGAAGCCGTGTTCAAGGCTGGCTAGCGTAGTAACAGTGGTGGGATAGGGAGCAGTCCTATGCCATCAGTCGGACATCCCCTGAGGGCTCCTGGACTGCGAGAGAGTGCAGTCCAAGCAGAGGGACCCTCCTCCAAGTGCACGAATTTTGTGCACCAGGCCTCTAGTATCATATAAGCCTTTAGAGGGGTAAAAACATTTATTAACTTTAGACTATGTTAAGTATGTATGTTTTCCTGACAGTACCCACTATAAGCACAGAAAAGGAGTAAATAATTTAAAAACTCACATAGAAACAAATTAATGATAAAAAATAATTAATCCAAAAGAAAAGAAGAAAATTAAAAACAGAAAATCTAAGACAAGTAAAAACACAAAGTAACATTGTAGATTTAAAATATTAGTATTTATATTAAATGTAAATGTATTAATATCTCCAATCAAAATAAAATATTGTTAAATTGTCTGTAGAAATATTTAGAGACATAGTGGATTTAAAAAGATAATACTAATGCATACCTCTTATTTAAAAACAAAATTAAAACGTAACTACACAAAAGGGTTGAAAGTAAAAGGTTGGAAAAGATACATTGAGAATAATTCCACAAGAAAGCTATTTTCCTCCAATAGCATCAAATAAAACAGAGTTTATGAGGAAAACTCCACATCATTACAAAAAGGCTACGAGTCACTTCACAATGATAACATTTTCAATTCACCAAGAAGATAACAATTAGCAATCAGACTGTACCTAAGAATACTCCCAAAGATGGTGTAAAGCAAAATTTGACAGAACTACAAAGGAACGGTAGATGACAACAATCACTGTGAGAGACTTAAACATACTTCTTTTAGCAATTTATTTAAAAAAAAAATAAAAAGATAAACAAAAATATAAAATCAGCAAGAATATAGAATGTTTGAACAAGGCTAACCAAGCTGACCTTTGAGATATATATGAACAACTGCCTCAACATCTGAGGAGCACCACATTCTTTTTAAGAGAAATGGAATATTTACATAATAAACTCTTTCCTGGATGAAAAAACAAGTTTCAACAAATATCAATCATACAGAGCACATTTTACTACCTCAGAGCAACATAATCTAGGAAAAAATAAAAAACAATAACTAGAAACACTCATGTAGTTCAGAATTTAAGAAACACATGTTGAAATGGTTCATGAGTCAAAGAAGAAATCATAAAAATTGAAAAACGATTTTTAACTGAATAATGATAATACTATGAAAATGTGTAGGATAAATCCAAAGCAATGTTTAGAGAGAAATTTATGGCCTTAAAATGCATATATTAGGAAAGAAAGGAATGAATATTGAGCTAAACAGCTATCTCAAGAAGTCAGTAGTTAGGACGGAAAAGTAGTATATATTGATTAATAAAATAAAACTAACCAATAAGAACCTTTAGTGACAATGATCAAGAAAAAGTACACAAATAGCCAATGTACGAAATGAAAAGGGGCAATTCACTACAAACATAGTGGATTAAAAATGATAAAAATTTTGAATAAAATGGGGAAATTCCTGGAAAAAGCAACTTAAACAAAACTAATTCAAAATAGAAAACCTAAATGTTCTATAAATAGAGGTTTGGCATAATTACTAATTATTAGAACATATCTTGTCCCAAACAGAACTGTTACCAACTCTGAACCAGTACATTAGTAAAGACTAGTGCTTAACAACTACTTCTAACTATTGAGAATTATATCACTAGTCTTATTTTTTCACACACACACACACACACACACTCCCACACAGCTAAGAACAAATGGTTTTCCTGATGTGGTCTTACCAAATATTTGAAGTAAAGGTTACTACAAATTTCACCAGGAAGAGAAAAACATGATTATATTTATCAACAGATTTTTATGAGTCTGGCAAAAGCTTGAAACAAAATAGTATCTCGCAATGACAGTATGAAAAGGAAAATTTATAGCACAATATTACTCTTGAGAACAGTGGCGAAAATCCAATACAAAACATAGTAAAAACTGAATCCAGTAAAATTAATACATTATGACCAATTCAAGTTAATTTCAGAAACACAAGGTTGATTTAACATTTTAAAAAATACATTAACATATTATAAGACAAAAATCACAAAGTCATCTTAATAGACCCAGTAAAATATTCATGATGAAAATCCTTAGCAAAGTGTCAGTAGAAAAAAAGACTTCCTTAAATGTGATAAAGAGTAATTACAAAAAAAAAAAAAAAATGTCAAACATTATATAATGGTGACACCTTGGAAAATTTCCCTTTAAGATTAGGCAAAAGGAAAATGATCTCAGCTTGAAGACTTTCCTAGGATTTTCTTGGTCAGATTTATTCTATTAGACAAGATAGGTTCTATATTGCTGTGTTTTTCAGTCTGTATCAGAGAATATTTTCTACTCTGAAAGTTAACCATTATCTCTAAATATAAGATTCAGCTTTGTAATTATTTTTCTTACCATAGGTTCTACTTCCCTTGGAGGTCTTTCCAGGGGAGGGATGTACCATTGAAAACAAAGCTCTTTGTTTAAAGCTTGTATTGCCATATCTGATGAAACCGACTCCATAGTACTTTGGCTGGAAATCAACTTTAATGATAAAATGGAATTTATGGAACTGTCACGAGTCCCCTGGGGAACAAACCAAAACATCAGTTTAATTGCTGGTAATGAATTCATTCACTATTTCAAACATTCATTTCATACAGTCAACATGGGCTACATTGGATAAATCTGTGAATTGTTTCAGCTTTTGTTATAGATGTGGATCTTAAAACTGTACCTGGTTACCATGGAGAGGATTCTCCTTTAGAATAAACTGGTGAATATAATAGAATCAGGGGCATATAAAGAGAGCTGACTGACAATACTCAGGGGGAAAGAGGTGTGGGGGTGTGGGAAGAGACTGAACAAAAATTGTACACCTATGGATGAGGACAGTGGGGGGGTGTAAGGGCAGAGGGTTGGGTGGGAACTGGATGGAGGGGAGCTATAGGGGGAAAGGGAGGAACAATTGTAATAATCTGAACAATAAAGATTTGTTCTTTAAAAAAAAAAAGAAAGAAAAATATGCTTTGAAACCCAGAGGACTCGATAAATGTTTTCTACTTTGTTTTTGTTTGTTTTTTTAATATATTTTATTGATTTTTTTTTTTTTTTTACAGAGAGGAAGGGAGAGGGACTGAGAGTTAGAAACATCGATGAGAGAGGAACATCAACCAGCTGCCTCCTGCACATCTCCTACCAGGGATGTGCCCACAACCAAGGTACATGCCCTTGACCAGAATCAAACCTGGGACCCTTTAGTCCGCAGCCGACTCTCTACCCACTGAGCCAAACCGGTTTCAGCAAATGTTTTCCACTTTGATGAGTCTCCCAAATTAAAGATCTAGAAATGAAAATGTCCATTCCATCATTTCACTCTCAAGGTCACCATGGATTCTAAGAACATCCTCTTCTACATTTTTTCTGATTTATTTACTAGAGAATTTACTGCAAGTATGATCATCATTTATTATCTGTTCCCAATAGCATTTTTTGCAGTGCCATAGCAAAATAAGATATAGCTTTTGCTCTAAAATGTTAAATCCATTGTTCTCATTCCCTTTGTAAATCTGGACCCAGTTTCTTTAAACTTTGTCCCTGAATCAAAAGTTTTCAAGAATCGTAAATGCTAGAATGTAATTGGCAATTTCACAAATTACTAGTTTTTTTTAAGTTGACTGATATCAACAAAATAAGTCTAGCCAGAGAGATGATAATAGTGTTAATAATATCTGAAGCCTAAAAAGAACCTTCTTCAATGGAGTGTGAACTAATTTCAAAATTAACTTCTTGTTATTTCCAATATTACATCATGGTGGAGGGGAAGCAATTCTACCACCCTCTTGACACCAAAGTTATTTCAAGGCTCGGTGACCAAGGAGAACATATCAGTGGCCAGAAAAAAATGCCTGTTGTTTCTATAAGGCTTTGTACCTTCCCTTATTTCTGAGCATATTCAAGATACAAGGCTGTCAATGCAAGTCTTCAAAATAAAATAAAAAGAGAAATAAAGACATTGACCTTTCAAGTTGTCTACTGATAAAAGAAAAAATGTGTCTTGACTGAAAGGTAATATTAAATGTGAAAACTTCAAAAATGTCTAGAAATGATCATAAAAGGATATGATAAGCCAGAATCCTCACTTGTTAGCACTATGATACTAAAAGCACAATCAAAATATACAATAATCAAAAGTATCAGAGTTAAATAATCATTCTAAAGTGCTTAATTAAGATTAATTCTGCCCGATTGGTGTGGCAATGGTTGAGCCTTGACCAATGAACCAGGAGGACATGGCTGATTTGGGTCAGGGCACATGCCCTGGTTGCAGGCTCGATCCCCAATGTGGGATCTTCAGGAGGCAGCCGATCAATGATTCTCCCTCATCATTGATGTTTCTATCTCTCCTGCTCCCTTCTTCTCTGAAATCAACAAAAACATATTTAAAAAAAATTAATTCTATGTCAGGCAGTTCACCAAAAGAATCAGATAAACAATTGAGTCACAAAAATAATTTATCATATTTTTCATATCTGCATGTCTTTCAGGGGTCTGATAACTCTTTCAGCAAAGAAATTATATTTAATAACTGGCTAAATGGAGAAAATAATCAAGTAGCTTTCTCTTTAATATATACAGTGTTTATTGGCATTGGCATGAAGGTCTAGCAATAGAGAATTTTAACAGAAATCATTATCAAAATAGGCATGTAACTTTCCAGTATCTTTAAAAACATTATCTAGCTGCTAATGGGATTAATTACATCTGCTAATAGATGAGATATACTATATGAACTGAGTACTTTGCTATGTTTGATTTATTCTTTGAAAGGAATGAAATTCAGACCTGCCAGGAAAACTCTTATTTGCCACAGTTCTATACACAACAAATCACTTTCCACAAATATTTGACCTTCCACAGACTGTCACAGGCTCAGTCTAAACATGGGTAATTCAGCATTGTGCACAATTTTAATCAGATCCTTCTAGGGGGAACTGTTAACCCGATTTGTGTGGCACCTTTGTCCATCACACAGCTTCAACAGACCTTACAACATGCAGACCCTCAAAACTGAGGGGCAGGACACACAGCGAGGACAGTTCTGATAAGGCATCTACTCCTTCCTGGGGGTAGGGGGAGGGCAGGTAAGCGGATTTAAGTAGCAAATCATGGAAGGAGCTTGCTTGAAACAGTCTCCAGAATGGTTAAAGGCTCAAAAAAAAAATTGTCATTACAAAAACCAACCAAGCTTGGAGTTTTTTTTTTTTTTTTAAATTTAAAAGTCTTTGTGCGTTAGCTGTCTCCCCCAATGAAACAAACACATGATTAGGTGGCTTACACCTGTCAGCCAAGCAGCAGTGAGTGATCCCCAGCTGACTATCCTTGGCGAGTGTTACACTAATTATATCCAAAAAAAAAAAAGAGCAAAGAGGGTGAAACGACCCTTTGATAACATTGCTGCCACTAGCGATGTCTCATGTAGCTGCAATGTATTCAGGGCTGTACATTGGAGCATGTCCTGAGAAACTGAGCAATGAAAGTCTGCCTTTACTACCAAAACACTCAAGCAGAGCTCCTTTCAGAACAGTGTTGAAGAAGTCACACATACTAGTTTCCAAATTCCTGTAAAATATTCACACGAATGCACCTGTTTACACTACAGTTCTGACCCTTCGCATTCTCTGGCCCCTACTCCAAACGCTTGAGGCAGCTGGACACTAGAATCCTCAAAGGCAGTCTCAGTTCCCAGGGGGGTCGGGGAATGAATCAGAATCTGGTGTTCGCTGGAAACCATTTCATCCCACTATCTCCTGCTTCCATCCCTGGGAAAGTCCAGGCATTGACATTACATCCCTGCCCTTACCATCTCCTCTCATTCATCTCTTGATTGATGAATTTGGAGAAAAGAATTTTGCATATGCATAGTTCTGCTCTTACGTCTTAGGAGCCTTAGGAGCGAATGATTTGTAGGGAGTGAATATTCTATGCTCCTTCATATGACATATTTTAAAGGGAACTGTGTCCCCACAGATTTTAAGGAGGCCTGTAGTGACCAAAAACAAAGCAAAAACAAAACAACACGTGGCTGGATTGGTAAAGCGTCTACTTTGCTACTGACTACTAGGAAGCCCATTTTCCAGTAAATATCACACTATATCCTAAAATGTCAACTTTATGATTCGTAAAGGCAAAGCGTGTTTTAATCCCAATCTGTTTTACTCTCTTATTTCTCAAATTATTTAGAATCTGGGCAGAAAATGACAGTGCTGCCAATACCCCAGTATCTAGGAAATAATTTAAAAAATTCTCCCATGTGGATTCCAATACCTTGCCCTGGGGACAACTCCATAACCCCAACTGGCAATTACTTCTTTAACTGAATTCTTAAATATTCCTTGGTGGGTCCTCCCACTACATTTTTTAAAAAATCACAGTATATTAACAGTCACCCCCATTCTCTTGCTCAAAACAGAGATTTTTAAAAAGTATTATCTACCTAAAACATAAGGTTACTATGATAGTAGGATATAAGTTATTATTTTCTAGTAGGACAAGATGAGCTAAGGTTCTCAATTTGGAACAAGCCAGTTTTTCAGGCCGCTTCTCCGAGATGGTTGACAATAGAAACATGGACAGGTCTGGCATGGGCAAGACTATAATTGCAAAAATTAAAGTGCTATAATAGTGATGTCCAAAGACAAAATAATTCAAGATAAATGAGTACTTTTTTTTCTAGTTTTGAAATAATTCTATGCAATTGACTTATTTATTCATTTCACATATACCCAATGGAAACGTACAATACACTATGTCCACATGAATTTTCTATTAGAATCTCAAACTCTTTATCTGTAGAGCAGAATAAACCAACCTCCTCCACAATGTTCTCAGCCTCTGGCCTCTGTATATATCTGCTAACCAAGATACCATGCCCCGAGGATCACAGACAGAAGTTCCATCATTGGACTTTAAGCATTTCCTCTTCTTTACTTTCTGTCTTCATAGGGACACTAGGTGTTGCTTTGTTTCCAATTTTACTTAAGCAATATCTTTTATATCTACCCTTTCCTTCCCATTTCTGAGATCATAGACTTCATCATCTCTCTTAGATAACTCTCTTTCATCTATCCTTTGCCAATCAGCCCTACCCACTATTCACAAAATAACTAATAGATTTAAATTGTTACATTCCATCTGCTACTAACCCTGCCATTTTCTCTTTTAAAAAATCGATGAAGTTCTGAGATTTTCTTCTGTTCTAACTATACCAATGCTTCTCTGCTACCACAACAAACAATGTGCAAGGAGGAGGCCTTATTGATTTCTCTTTCTCTGCCAACTAGGACTACCTGGTATACTGTTAGTATTCAGCATATGTTTGTTGAAGATACCAAACTGCAAACACACATTTCTACTTTCAATACAACCCTATACTTTTCAGTATCTTCCAATCCATCTATTTTGGTAGCTTATTGAAACATTACTATTATTCAAGACCCTAGAAGCTTTAAAAAATAAAAAGTAAAACTTCATTTATACTCTCTTTATTTCTCTTCAATAAGTTACTTAAAAAAATTCCACATTACATATTTTGGGAAAGTCCATCTAAGGTAATAACATTTTGAAAAACAACAACAACAAACTTTAAACTTTTAATTTATTTAAAAAATTTACCCTACTTACTCACATGTATGATTCTTAAAAAACACACACAATGAATGATTTTTATTATGTATTAAAAACAAAGAAATTGGGCAAGAACTTATGAACTGTCAGCCTAGCGTCCTTCATATAGTTATAATATTGAAATTTGTGTAACTTCTTAGCAACATGACTGCCAAATATATGTTATTTGCAGGAATAAAGAAAATTCTGAGGCATTCTGAAGATTTATGGGAGCAGCCAAACAGAACACTTGAAATGTGAACTTTCCTAAAAATCAGGATGTTTGGTTGGCTCCTAGTTATGGTGAAACAGAAGTGGCCTCCCACTCTGAGGGAACCTAGAAATCTTTGTGCCAGCATTGAGATGAATATTCTCCCTTCAGAAACAAAAGGATGGCTTTAGAAGTTTTATGACAATCTCTAATGTTTTAAAACATTACCTTGGCTGATATCTCAAATATGACTCTTTCTGAAAAAAATGGGGATTCCAATCCTTGAAATAGTTCTCTTGGAAATTCATCAATACAAGAGGAAGAATACAGAAGTAAAAATCTTTTAAGGAAGTTATGCATTTCTTTTTGGCGCAAAATCAACCCAGAGTTGAAAAGGGACGTGAGAAGTGTATCATCTGGCAAAGAAATTCCAGAACCTGGCTTTGGAGATGCTGAAGGAAGAAAAATACCATGGTTTAGAGATGTTTTAGATAGCAGAATGGTCTCAATATTATTGGGTTTTATTCACTAACCACTATCTGTACCTCCTACCTCAGCTCCCAATAACTGTCCTCCATTTTTAGAGCTTATACACTTATGGAATTGCCTCTTGCCACAGAAAGGAAAGGAAATCTCAGAAGCATGTAAGGTTGTTAATTCAGTCTCTAAGTTTTAATAATGTAAGATATTCTATCTTGTTGGAGGCTCTTCCCCTTCCCCTAAAGATCTTAAAGTAAGAATTTAGGTGCAGGTAATTTATTTCAAGTGATCTAAAGAGCATAAGTGAGGGAATTGGCAAAGTGTGATAGAGGAAAGAAAAGAGCCAATTAGAGTGAGTTAAATAATGGGCTACAACTATGAACAATAAAGGCTCAGTCCTCACAGGGGCCTTCGGAGAAAAGAACTATCCATCATGGGACTGGGAAGTTGGAAGGTTAACCAAGCAGTACCCCCCATTCATTCATTAAAGGCGATTCCTGGATGTGTGGAATCCTGGTAGATGGTCCTTTCTTTGGGCCTCAGTAACTTAAGAGAAAACTCAGAGCAGAAAAGCAGTACACTGTGGGCACCTGACTTGGGAAGTGCCAGCAGGTGAATTCAGAGGTGAGCTGAGTTGATATGGGGCAGGGACTCCTGCACTGGCTCATGTCCACTTCCTTCATCATGAACTTACATCGTTCTCCCACCTATTGCAATGCACCTTTTACCCCTGATACCTTCTGAATGCCTTTTTCAGGAGTTAGCAAACTCCTGATAACTGTGCTTAGTCACTCTGCGACTATTAGCCTGGGGTGGGTCTAATTGAATCACAAAGTTCATGGGCACAGATTAAAAACAATAATATATACTGTCATGAAACCACAAAAGGGACTGATATAAAGAAGATTTTACCAGTTTTTCTGGATATTCTTTAGGTACATCAATGATAAAACAAAACAAAAAACTTAATAAAACAACCCCATGGAGATAAATATTCCTATCTCGTCATACATTTCTTCTCTTGTACATACCAGATACTAAAAGATTCTCTCCATAAAGCTAAACTTTTACCTTCTTCATTTTATAAGCTTGTCAAATTATGATCACTTTGGTTCTTTTGTGTTGTTAACCCTCACCCAAGGACACTTTTCCATTGGTTTTTGGAGAGAGTAGAAGGGAGAGGGAGAACAGAGAGTAAGAAACATCAATGTTAGAGACACAAATTGATTGGTTGCCTCCTGCATGCACCCCAACCAGGGTTGGAGATCAAGCTGCAACCTAGGTACCTTCCCTTTCCTGGAATCAAACAGAGGACCCTTCAGTCCAAAGGCCAACACTCTATCCACTGAGCCAAACCAATTAGGGTGATCACCTATGTTTTAAGCCATGGGTCAATTTGGCAGTCAATAATGTTTTTAAGTGCATGAAATAAAATATATAGAGTATCAAAGGAAATCAATTATATTGGAATATTATTGCATTCAAAGGTCTGTGTGTCTCAGGTTAAGAACTTCTGAAATTTTTGTCTTCTGATGAGAAGCTATCAAAAGTATTTTATAATTCTAAATAAGAAACATGACCTAAACAGAAATAGGAAGGATGTATGTTCTTTCTTAACACATCAAAGACTTACCTAGAAGCTTGCTCATGTTATTAATCCTTTGCAGGTGAATGTAGTAGCGTAGTAGAAGGATCCATGTAATATCTACTTTAGTTGGAGTCTTTTTTATGGCATCTGTGTCCTCAGGTATGCTATCAGTAGTCTGGAAGGCAACTTGGTACTTATCTGAAAGTAAACAAAAATAACAACACGTATTATTATGCTTTTCTTGAAAAGTAACAACACGAAAAAGTCCAATTTATAAAGGAAAGACCAACACATGGGCTACATTTGATTTTTTTAAAAATTTGTGCCACAAAAAATAATAAACACAAAGTTAAAATATAAACCTTATACCTAGAAAAGATATTTAAAGCACATGTAAATTTATTCTAATATATATTACCCTTGCATCAACCAATAAAAAAAAATCAAACAGACCAATAGAAAAGTGGAAAAAGACCTGGTGTGGCTCAGTGGTTGAGTGTCCACCCAGGAACCAGGAGGTCATGGTTTGGTTCCCAGTCAGGACACATGCCAAGTTGTGCCTCCATCCCCAATGTGGGGCATGCACAGGACACAGCCTATCAACGATTCTCTCTCATCATTAATATTTATATCTCTCTCTCCCTCTTCCTTCCTCTCTAAAATCAATAAAAATATTTTTTAAGTGGAAAGAGAATTTCAACAGGAAACTCATAGAAAAGAAAACCCAGATAGCCAAATTTTTTAGTATCACTGAAAATCAGAGAAATGCAAATTAAAATAAAATATCATTTCACTTCCCTAAGGAATTGACAGCCACTAAAATCTGAAGATGATAAATCTTGGCAATAATATAAAAAAAATCAGAATTCATATATACTCAACATACCATGCAAATAATCTGTGTATGAAGACAAAAGGTCCACAGTGGCAAATTCTGGGATGTTAAGCAATGCCTCTTGACTGACTTGATCAGTCCTAACGTTCTTCTTTCCAATAAGCAAGTTAATTGCCAACACAGCTTTACTGACCTTAAGTAAATGCATAATTATAATTATAAATGTAAGCTTTCTGATTCATAGATCACTCATTATGTAAATAATGTTAAGGAAAGAATTAATAAAATAGCATTCATCACACATTGGAAGACAATATAAAGACAACATCAAAAATAATGTTATCCCCAACATGTGTAATACATCATAGTCAAATAAATGATCACTGTTGGCCATTTAATTAATGTATAACTCACTTTAAAGAGGCTACCTCACCTAGCTATGATAGAGGTTTGCCAAAATGTCAAATATGTGTGCGTGTGTGTCTGCTGATATATATTTTTTAAAATAAAAGTTGAAACAAACAAAGCCAGGTCTGGCTAACAGTGATTAAAAACACCATCTATATTAAAAGAATAAGTCTTACCAAAGAAACATCATTAACCCAAATTCCGAAGGACATGAAAACTTCCTTTCTCTTATTCAAATACATTGTGTTACCTTAACAGCTGGTAGGTGAAAAATACAGATATTACAACAAAAAGAAGATTAAATAAATATCACACCAACCTGTGCAGCAGCTCTTATTGCAATCCAGGCCAGTGAACTGAACATTTCAAATCTGTTTACTGTTGGTTCTTTAATAGAACTATGCCTTCTGAAAGAAATCTAAAAAAATGTGGATAATGTTTTATAATAAAGATATATATAAAGATATCATAAAGTTTCATGACCAATTTTCTCATCTTTTGAAGATGACAATTTAGTAGAATAGTATGTAGCCATTAAGAATAACAATGTCTACTATCTATTGACATGAAAAGATGTCAAAAGTATATTGGGGCAGAAAAGTGTAGGTTACAATATAAGATGTAAAATATGATCCCATTTTAGTAAAGATATGCCCATACACATATCCCCTGTATATACAAGCAGGGAAAATTAACAGTGTTCCCTAGGTTTTAAGGGTGATTGAATTATTTCTAACCATTTTTTTCTAATTTTTTTTAATAGATAATTGCGTTATCTGAATAATAACAAAATGAACACCAATGATATTTTAAATTATGTGTTTACTTATAACTATATTTACCATTTTAATATAAAATTCATAAATTGAATCTATTATTTGTAATGATATCAGAAATAAGAATACTACTTAAAGATTTTATAGGTATTGGCTATCATATTTCTAAATAGGAAACTATTAAAGGGAAGATGGTATCTATGAATGAAGATATATTTTACATTGAGTGTGTGCATGTGTGTTCTGTTTTTAGACATAAGAAAACCAATGCTACAGAAAGAAACAGGGAGAAAAGAACTCCACCCACCATATAAAATGTGTTTTACATTTTTAAAGATAACTAAAATAAGCACTAATAGTCAATTTTATTTATTATTATTATTTTTTAGAGAGTCTAATAGAGAGGGAAAGACAGAGAGAAACATCAATGTGAGAGAAACATATTAATTGGTTGCCCAACATCGAGTACATTCACTTGACTGGAATCAAACCTAGGACCCTTTAGTCCACAGGTTGATGCTCTATCCACTGAGCAAAACAGGCTAGGGCAATAGTCAATTTTTAAGATTTAACTAATCAGGACAAAACTATCAGACTGTTTGGTTCTAATTTTTGGATGCTCATATTTTGGCCAATTCTATAATCTTAAATAAAACCACAGAATAAAATGGACAATAACAAAAATGTTTTTCTTTTACTGCTGGCTATAAGATTCCCAAGGAAAGGAAAAAGCAAAGAATAATGCTGATGCCATAACAGGAAATTCAATGTACAAATGTGTCCTGTCCTCAAATGATACCTGCAGAGATCTGCCTATGGGGGAATCTAAGCGATACAGCCCTGCCCCAAAATATGAAGACCCTATGATTGGCCATATGAAAATATTTAGGCTCTGGGTTGCCTTTTCAGAGTATCGGCTATGTAAGGTTGAAAATTTAACCAACTTAAATTCTGAAAGCAAGACTAATTAGGCATTAAGTGAAGAATGCAGAACAACATTAAAGGATTGTAATGTGAGAACAGTTAGTGTCACAGACATTTAAAAAAATCTCATTTTGAATAGAGAGGAAAGTTTTATTGAGAAGGTCAGGCTTGAGCTCAGAATAGAAAAATTTGGACTAGAAAATTATATGGTGGACATTTTTTAATGGGGCAAGTGCTCAACATTGTATATGAGATTCTAATCCATGAAAACAAGCAAGAAAAAGAAAAAAATGTTTATCTAGATTGGAAGAAGTAAAATTGTCTTTGTTTAAAAAAGACTTGATCCTATATGTAGAAAATCCCACATTACACACACACACAACACACACACACACACATACACACACACACACATCTAGAATTAATAAATGAGTTTGGCAAAGTCATAGGACACAGCAATAAACAATCTAAAAATGAGATTAAGAAAAATTCCATTCACAATAAAAATAAATGTAACAAAAATGTATAAAACTTGTACACTAAAAGTAAAACACATTGTTTGAGAAAAATTAGCTAATATCCAAATAAATGCAGAAACCATTCATATTATGAATTAGAAAATTCGATATTGTTAAGATGGCAATTATCCCCTAGTTGATGTATAGATTCAACGGAGACTCTAAAAATACTTAGTTTTCTATAGAAATTTACAAGCAGATCCTAAAGTGAAAATACAAAGGACTCAAAGTAGCCGAAACAACTTAAAATAGGAAAAACATCATTGGAGAGTATGCACTTCCCAATTTTAAAGTGTACTAAAAGCTACAGTAACCAAGACAAGGGTATATTCTTAGAAAGACAGGCTTATAGATCAGTGGAAGAGTACTGGAAGTCTATATATCTACATTTATAATCTCTATTTACATTTATGATCTATTAATTTTGACAAAGGTGCCAAGGAAATTCAATGGTGCTGGGACAACTGGATCTCTGTGCAAAATGATGAGTTTAAATACTTCATATTTTACGCAAGTATGTATAAAAAATAGATCACAAACTAAAAAGCTAAAAGTATAAAAATTCTAGAAGAAAACATAGGTAAAAAACTTCGACATCTGGGGTTAGGCAAAGAGTTCTTAGATATGCCACCAAAACACAATATATGAAAAAAATTATAAAATTAACTTTATTAAATTAAAAACTTGTCTCTAAAAACACCATAAACAACAAGGAAATACTGATGTGAGAGAGAACATAGATTGGTTGTCTTCCATATATGCCCTGACTAGGAATTAAATGCACAACCTTTCAATATACAGGTTGAGGATCCAACTAACTGAGCCACACTGGCCAAGGCAAATTAGTCCCTACAATGCTCCACTTTCCTACCTTTACATATCTTGATTATAGTTCTCATTATATTGTGATATAATTATTTTCTTCCTTCCTCTGTGCTCCTTGGGGAAAGAGAGTAACATGCCAGGCATATATTAAGCACTCAATTAGTGTTTGGTTAATAGATGAATAAATAAATGAATGTTCAAGAAAATCAACTCAGAAACTAAGATGGCGGCATAGTAAGCACCTAAACTGCTGCCTCACACAACAATTTCAAAACTTCAAATAAAAGACAGAACGGACATCATCCAGAACTACAGGAAAGCTGGCTGAGTGGAGATTCTACAACTAGAAGAAAAGAGAAAAGCTCATGGAGAATCTGAGGAGCTGCAAAAGGCTGAGGTATGGAGACACACATGCAGAGAGGAAGGGCGGATGAGTGCCTGGCTGGCTTTCTCTGACGGGAGGAAGAAGGAAGCCCCCGAATGCACTGAACCCCAGTTCTGGGCAAATCCCCATGGACCCAGGCTCATATGGGAGAGTCTGGACTGTCAGGTAGAGAGAAAGGCACATGGAGACTAGGGGAGCCAAGGCAGGCAGCAGTCTGGAGATGAGTGCACACAGAGAAGACTGACTGTGGAGGTTGCCACTGTCTTTCCTCAGCAGAAGCAAGTCAGAAGCTTCTGACTGCACTGAATCCCAGTTCCAGGCAAGCCTCTGTGGACACATGCTCTTAAGGGGGAATGTGGACTGTCAGGTGGAAACTCAGGGGAGCCACAAAAATGCAGAGACAAAGAAACAGATCACAAACAAAAGGAATGGAGGAAAACAAATGACTGGATATAGAATTCAAAACCATGGTTATAGTTTTTCAAGAATTTCCTAGGCCAATAAATTTAGTGAGACCCTTGAGGATATGAAAAAGGACCAACTAGAAATTAAACATACACTTACTGAAATAAAAAATATTATATAGAGATCCAACAGCAGAATAAAGGAACGCAAGAATCAAGTCAAAGAATTAAAATACAATGAAGCAAAAAATACTCAAGAAAAAACAAAAAGAAAAAAGAATCCAAAAAGTTGAAGATAGTGTAAGAAGCCTCTGGGACAATTTCAAGCATACCAACATCAGAATTATAGGGGTGCCAGAAGAAGAGAGATAGAAAGATACTGAAAACCTATTTGAAGAAATAATGACTGAAAACTTCCCCCACTTGGTGAAAGAAATAGACTTACAAGTCCATGAAGCACACAGAACCCCAAACAAAAGGAATCCAAAGAGGACCACACCAAGACACATCATAATTAAAATGCCAAGAGCAAAAGATAAAGAGAGAATATTAAAAGGAGCAAGAGAAAAAGAGTTAATTACCTACAAGGGAGCACTCATATGATTGTCAGCTGATTTTTTAACAGAAACTATGCAGGCCAGACGGTGCAAGAAATATCCAAAGTGATAAATAGTAAGAACCTACAACCAAGATTACTCTACTCAGCAAAGTTATCATTCAGAATGGAAGGTCAGATAAAGAGCTTCACAGATACGAAAAAGCTAAAGGAGTTCATCAACACCAAACCAATATTATATAAAATGCTTAAAGGTATTCTTTAAGAAAAGGAAGAATAAAAAAGTAAAAATAAAAGTTATGAACAAAAAATACATGTCTATCAACAAATGAACCTAAAAATCAAGTGAATTAAAAATCTGAGGAACAGAATAAACTGGTGAATATAATAGAATCAGGGGCATAAAAAGGGGGTGGACTGATAATTCTCAGGGAGAAAGGGATATAAAGGGTGCAGGAAGAGACTGGACAAAAATTGTACACCTCTGGATGAGGATAGTGTTGGGGAGGAAAGGGCAGAGGATGGGGTGGGAACCAAGTGGAGGGGAGCTATGGGGGGGGGGGGGGAGGAGAGAAACAATTGTAATAATCTGAACAATAAAAATTTATTAAATTTTTAAAAAAGAAAAAATCAACTCAAGTTAGCTAAGAAATAATTATTAAATAATTACTATGTAGAAAATACTTTAGAATGTAAATGTTTAACTGAAATTACATAGGGATGGAAAACAGTTCCTTTGAGTACCTATTACATGCCAAGCCCATTACATTAATTCTCCTAGTTAGTCTAAGAGATATCATAGTACCATTTCACCAGATGAAAAAAACTAAGCTTAGAAAAGGCTCCAATTATATTGCTAGCTTTCCATGAAGCTCAGATTCAAATTAAAACCAGTGCTAGAAAAATAAACAAACAAACAAAAAAACAGTGCTAGGCTCATTCTGCTATACAGATTGCATAAAAGTGAAACTATAATGCTTTCTTAAGGGTTTATAAAGCATTGATGGTATGTAGACAAATGTCAAATGTTATATTTCAATGGTATAAATGTGCTCAGGTGAAATTTTTTATTATAGCTGCTTTCTGTGTTTCTAGTAATTATATGAATTGCTAAAATATTTATACTGTGTCAACATATATAGGAAATAATGATCATATTGTATGGACTTATAATATTCTTCTCATTCAAATCCTAACTTGCTCAAGCTCTTCATTATAAACACTTGTCCAGTAAAGGCCAAAACGATGTTATATAATTATCCTAATATCCTATTATTTTGTATTGCTACTTGCTATGGAAAAAATCTGTTTTCTCTTACTGGAAATAAACATGTTTATACACCACAAAGAATAACTTCTCTATGTAAGTATAGTTTTTAATAGGAAAAAAAATATTAGTTGCTATCCACCAAAGGCATCTACCATATGACTAACTCAACTGTCTGAAAGCCCATTTGCCTAATGGTTTAAAATCATGTTTATGTTCTCAAAAAGTAGAGATTTGACATTAAAATTTTCTAAAAATATCTCTTGGAGGGTCCATGAAAACAAGAACAGAGTTTGAATTGTACACTGCTTAATCACTTTCCAGAATACTGCCTGGGTCATGTAGGTGCTTGATAGATGTGTAATGTCTGAATTAATGACTCTATCAAGAGGGGATCTATTTGTAGATACATCAGTAATGAGAACCTTACCTGCCCATCACTGAAGTTAAATTTCGTTTCCTGTAATTTCCTGATCAATACTAATGACTTAGAGTACATACATGCACCTACACTTCATAGATAACATTTTTAACAGACAAAAAATGTCTAAATGAAGCCTATTCCCAGAGCTTTACATGAAATATTGAAAGAGACACTTATGTTTATTGAGTATGATCACAAAGTACTGAATTAATTTCTCTAAGTCACACAGGAAAATCAGTCTCATTATTTCAATAGCACAGTAACATAACCAGCTCAAAAGGTAATTACCTTAGGTGTTAATGGTGCTGATGAAAGTTTGTGCTTTACCCTTCTCATATGTAGGTATAATAAGGCAACCTCTAGGTAGGAGTCCCTTATCAACCTGAAATGATATATAGCATTGTACTTAATAAATAGCTTTACCACTCATAATTACCATTATTTGCCAATAATTTCTGAAAGGTAAAAACAGACTAAACCAGCATCTGTCCCAAACTTCCACTCTCTTCACACAGAACTTTTTGCATAGACACTAGCATCTGCCTCTCTACTGAAAGGAGAAACTCTGGAAGAGAGCTGAGCATCGAAACTTGTCCTTACTGGCCAATAACATCAAGGCCAGTCTAGAATAATTCAGCCAACTAGGCAGTAAAGACATGAAGGTCAAGTCTAAAGGAACCTGCCTTAAAAACCAAGCCTCAGCCCGGCCGGGATGCTCAGTGGGTTAAAGTGTTTTCTGGATACATCAAAGTTGAGGATTTGATCCCTGGCCATGGCCCACAGAAGAAACAACCAGTGAATGTATAAATAAATGAAACAACAAATCCATCTCTCTCAAATCAATAAACATTTAAAAACAAGCCTCTTTCAACCCCCTTACACTAATATCAAAAGAGACACCTAGACTTATGCAGAAAGCAGGGATTTGGTATGTGGGCTCATTAAGAAACCTGCTAGTTGGGGCAATTTAGATCAGTGTCATTGTAATAATGGCGGCTTTCTTTGAATCTTGAGGTGATTTATTTTTACAGAATTAAGTTGGCCAGCCCTGGTACTACTGACCAGAGTGAATATCCGCAAGTTCCCTTCTAGATACAATTTCACATCCAGGGAAGCCGCTGTAATCCTAGGACTGACAGGAGATTGATCTGAGTACAAGGAGGCACAGTGCAGTGTGCTACTGTGATAATCACATCATCAACCATCACTGGGTCAGAGTCAAGAGCAACCAGCTTGAAAAGGAAATCGGTAAACCTGCTGGTCTACGGACACCAGGAAACTAGCCCTACTGTGGGCAGTACAATACAGTGTCTTACCAGAACACGGGCTCAAACCACAACACACACATCGTTTCAATAGTGAGAGATAGTCTTTTACCCTGAGTTCTGATCATGGCTCAAGCTTATTTGTATAGCTTCATATAAAGTGTCAAGTGGCAAATTTGGAGATTTATCCTCGATCAACATTTGACATTCTATTTTGCCTGAAAGAAGAAAAAGATGGACAAGGATGGGTTTTCTCTTTTCTATCATTTAGAACTTCAGAACAAATATTTCAGGCTGGGAATTCAGAAAACTGGGCATGCTGTCACCCGTTGGTTCACCTGTTGTTTCTTGCTGAAAGAGAAGCCCATAGGGAAGGAGCTTTTGTTTTCTTCCCCGGGCATCTCAAGACACCTCTGACTTCAGGTAGCAACACTGCATCAACCTTCATTGGCTTTCCAGACATGACTGCTTCTATCATCTTCCTTTTCTCTCTTTACTTTGTGCTTGCTCTTCTTCCTTGGGCACTCGTTCCCATTTTTATGTACATATTCCTCTTTCCTCTGTCTGCTATCACAGATACCACAGAAAACATCTCTAAAAACAAAAAGTCCTTAAAACTCAGCAAAATCTTGAAAACCACCACGATGATGGAAGTGCTCCCATTCTCACTCAGCGCCCAGCCTTCATGGTGAGCTGCAACTGTCAAAGGTAGGGACTGGAATGACGCTTTTGTAACAAAAAGGGCAGGAAAGGGAAATCTTATAATTACTCTAAAAAGGATCAACAGTTTTGGTGTAGCTTGTAGATGGGGCAATAGAGCCACCCCATGTTACGTTCACGTCTGGGCACTATCATTTAGAAGCTGCTGATTTCTGAAAAGTTACTGCTCCACATTCTCCTCATCTGTCAACCAGGAATGGCCATACCTACCTTGTAGAGCTGCTGTAAAAATCAGAGATATGAGATGTGAAGCATTGACTAGAGTGCCTAGCATCTACTAGATGCTCCAAAGGAGAACACTCACAAACATCACCATTTTTCTCATGGCTAAAATGGCCACAATAAAACCTTATGGACATACTATGGAAATATGTGTTGTATAAAAGTTACAAATATAAATATGTCATAGCACTTTAATTTAAATGGATGTGTATTTTTTTGTAAAAATTAAAATGTTCAGCTACATAATGAAATGCTGTATCTTCCAAGCATTATTTAAGGAACTTATTTATAGTTAAATGGCTGATGCTGATATTTTTTAGTCAATCATGAAACCAATGAGGGGTAATTGTGATTATAACAGAAACTAAGGCGTACCTTTTTTTTTTTCTAGATATGAACTAAAGATAAGCAGTGCTCTCTTTATCTAAAACTTAGTTTGTATTTTGTCATTACCAAGCCCTTTGTAAACATTTGGATTTTTTTTTAATATTCATTGACTAGATTTTCAAGAAGCCTACTGTAAATAGGGTGAGGGTGGGGGGGGAGAGACAAAAATCCTCCACAAACTTTATCCTAGTTCTGACCCCAAATACATCTTACCTTTCTTAAAAAGGATTTCAGCTTCCACCTCATGTTCCTCTGTTGCTGAAATTTTACAGAGCTTCAATGCTGTTTCAAAAAGTTGAAGAGCAGGTGACCACTTTGAAAAATCCTTCTTTTTACTGGTATAGTAGATTTTCTTGGCCACTATATGTCCTAAAGAAAGACAGTGGATAGGAAGGGTAAAATATAGTGTCAAAATAGGTGACTAGACTTCTCTCACATTATGGCATCAACTAAGAACCTGGTGGTCTTTAGTTTTTAGTATCTAAGAAAATCTTTAAAGAAATTCAATATCCAAGTATTTCAGTGAACTATAGCAATAGTCTTTTAAAACTTAATTGTTAGATAAATTTCCATTATTCTCATTTTTAAAAAGGAAGAGTAATCTCTAAAATATTTCATTCAGTTGTAAAATTTTATAATGCTCTGGAGAACAAGTTCCCATGTTCCTAAGATGAGGTTGTAGTAGGGAAACATCTGGAAGTTTTAAAGTTTTATGCTCTTTCCAATAAAATGTGCACATATTAATAGGCAGTAATGTTGCTTCTACTCAGCTCTGAAGTGGCTGCTTGCTATGCATATTTTGTCATCCTAACGAGATGGTAACCCATTATGGATGAGGGCCACATGTGGTCCCATCATTAATTACATAACAAATGGTTTCTGTATGGGAGAGGCATTAGATTTAATCTATGTGGCCTCAAATACAGATATTATTCAAAAATATATTTTCTGAGTGTTTAGGCACTAGATAAAAATGAGAAAGGAGGTTAAGGTTTATTAAGTGCTTCCTACATGCCAGGCATCACCCCAGATACATAATAAGCATTATCTCATGTAATCCTCCCAACTCCTCCAACTCCAACTGGATACCATCATTCAGAGGAGTAAGCTGTGGCACAGTGAGGTCCAAGCAACTTGCCAAGGTCAACTAGTAAGTAGCAGGACTATAATCTGAGCCTATGCAGTCAGGCTGCAGGGCCCACACACCATGATACTGTCAGTCTCTTTAAGAGAGATATCATGGAGCTTAGTGTTTAATGGCCAGACAAGTGAGTAAAATACCGTGTGGTCAATTGCATTGCAGGGAAAGCAAGGGTAATGTGGTAGCAGGAGAACTGGTGTATCTGTGCACAAATATTTCTTTAATGTGATCTTTTCTCCTTTGCTTCCTTTGAATTCAAATTGGCCTCATCCAGCACGCTGACTCAGTCATCTCCTTCTCCTTCCCTTCCCCATCCCTGTTTGAATGTCCACTCCCTTAATCATTAAGCCCTCAGGACAATGAGGCCCTGGACAGCATTACACAATCTTTGGAACAAAGCCATGGGTATATTGCCACAGAGACAGAGTTGCAATCAAACTATAGATTGCATCTAGCTAGAGCTCAGATGAGTTTTAGCTCCAGACCCAGAAAAGTGGAATGACTCCACCAACCATCTTTGGAAAACCAGACAAAGCAATGCCATGGCTGATATCAGCACCATATGCACTTATCAGCTAACTCCTACCTTAATGCCAACCAATCAGTAGAGACCGTGATCTTGACAGGACCTAGCTCCCTTCATCTCCTATATAACCTACCCCCTAGGAGCCATTGGTGAGCCAGGTCTTTGACCCCTGGCTTAACTGTGACTCTGGGCTTGATGCCATTTCCTCAACTAATAAACCCTTACTTCCTTGGCTGCAAACTCCTGTTTGTGTTTGATTGGGCATTGATATGTGCTGGCAAGTGGACCCTTTCAGTCCACTAACACTGATCCAGACCTGGCAAAGGTCAGAAAGCTTTCTCAGAGAATGTGACTGTCGAAGCCAACAGCTGACGACCGCCTTGAATTTGGTAATTTTAAAGAATAAAAATTTGGGGATAAAGAGTAGAAGGCAACTAGAAGAAAAACTATGTTGATAGGGCAGTTTACCATACATAATAAAGGGATATGAACAGAAAGGCAATGTAGTATTGCAGGATGAAACAGTTGCTGAATACAAGCTAAATTATTGGGTCAGGCCAGTCACTGGCACTACCATGTTAGTAGAGGCTTTGAACAAATCCCTGCCTGTTTCTGGGCCTTGTGTGTCTTTCACTCAAAAACAAACCAGCAGAACTAGAAAAATCTGAGATCTCTTCAGGTTCTTAAAATTTTCAGTTCCAGGATGTGATGGCCTACAAAGGGCTTTTAAGAAACCTAGGACTTTCTATAAATGTTTAGTTCAGGAATCTGCTATATAAACAACAGGATGGTGGAAAACTATGCCTTTCTCCCTCTTTCTTATCCAAGGAGAAGTTACCAAGCCTTTACTTCAAATGATACATGATGGCAGCAAACTGCTGAGAATGTGGAGATGAAAAAAAACCAGGGCTTGCTCCCAGCTCCCAGGAGCATAAAGTAGGCAGGCATGGAATAATGAGAATAGCTAACACCTACAAAGCTCTTAGAAAAAAGTTGATGCCCTTCTAAACTTGTTACGCATTCCACTTGCTTCAGCCCACAACAGCCGGTGAGACTGGTACATACTTTTCTTATCCACATCTTATGGGAGAGGAAACTGAAACACAGAGAAGTTAAATGACTTGCTCATGGAAATCACACCAGAATTCCTTCTCTAATGACTATTCTCTTAACCCCATCAATTACCAAGTGTCATCAGAGATGCCAGGCAAGAAAGATATGCAAATGTCCCTTGTCTAATACAATCTCATGTTTCAATATATCTCCCATTTTTATAGTTTTCGCTATTGTTTCAAATTATACCATAACACTGTTTATTAATAATCCTATCTAATAAAAGAGAAACATGCAAATTGACCGTACCTCTGCTATGTCCACCAATCAATCAGAGTGAGTATGCAAATTACCCAACAAAGATGGTGGTAAATTTGTATACGCACACCCTGAGTAGCCTGGGACCCTGAGAACATCCTCAGGATCCAGGATGCTCCTGGCCCGTAGACTCACACTTAGGCCTTGAGCAGCAAGAGTCCCAGAATGCCTCCTGGCCACTCCAGGCCTATGGGTGCAACTGTTAGCGCATGCTCTGGCACCAAACAACAGTTCAGATCCACACCCCCAGACCAGTACCATAATGAGAGGCTGGCTGCCAGCCTCTGGGGTGCAGTTCAGGGATCCCTGCATGCCCCCCAGCCCGGCACCAATGATGGGGGGCTGGCTGCCAGGCTATGGGGGGTGCAGAGACCCTGGTGGCCACCACCGGGTGGTGGGGACCTGCTTCTATCTAGCCCAGTGGACACAATGCAGGGGCCTAATGAGCTGCAGAGGAAACAAATTTTAATATATATATATATATATTTTAATTGATTGTTTTCCAGAGAAGAGGAGAGAGGGATAGACAGTTGGAAATATTAATGAGAGATAAACATCAATTAACTGCCTCCTGCACACTCCCCACTCGGGATGTGTCTCCAACCAGGGTACATGCCCTTAACAGGTATCTAACCTGGGACCCTTCAGTCTGCAGACCCAGGGTCTATCCACTGAGCCAAACCAGTTAGAGAGTAAATACTTTTTCTGACTGCTCATTGGCTAAGCTCCCTGTACACCTAGGCAGTGTTTTGGTAACTTGGGTTATAAGAATCCAAGAAGGTGATCTAGGGTTTTTCCACCACACTCCTGGAGAAAAAAATGAAGGTCCACTGCTGGAGGGGCTAAGAAATGTCACATCCTGCCCTAGCTTGTTTGGCTCAGTGGATAGAGCCTCAGCCTGTGAACCGCACAGTCCAGGTTTGATTCTGATCAAGGGTATGTACCTAGGTTACAGGCTCCTCCCTATCTGGGGCCCAGATCAGGGGTCATGCAGGAGGCAACCAATCAAAGTGTCCCTCACACATTGATGTTTCTCTCTGTCTCTTCCTCTCTCTTCCACTCTCTTTAAAAATCAATGGAAACATATACTCAGGTGAGGTTAAAAAAAACAAACAAACAAATAAATAAATGTCATATCCTATGAAAGAAACATCTTGAAAATTCCTAAAGAAAGTTGTCATTTTTCATAGTGAAGGGACTAGAGTCTGTGTTGATGAAAACATCTTGGAGGCTGCAGCAGCGGGTAATGGGGCCGGTGCATTCCCTTGGTTAGCCGGTCGTCTCCCACAGAGGGTGGCCAGACTCCGTCAGTAGGACATCCCCTGAGGGCTCCCAGTCTGTGAGAGGGGGCCAGCTGGGCTGAGGGAACCCCCCCTCCCTTGCAAGAATTTTGTGCACTGGGTCACTAGTCTATATAATAAAAACCTAATCGAGCATTTACAGTGGAATGACCAAAATGATCAGTCACTATGATGGGCACTGGCCACCAGGGGGCAGATGTTTAATGCAGGAGCTTCCCCCTGGTGGTCAGTGCACTCCCAGAGGGGGGGCACTGCTCAGCCAGAAGCCGGGCTCACAGAAAGCAAATGCAGCAGCGGCAGGAGTCTCTCCTGCCTCCAATGCAGTGCTAAGGAGCAGAGAGCTGAGCAGTAAGAAGCAGAGAGCAGGCAGGCGATAAGGAGCAGGGGATCCAAAACTGTGAGAGGGCATAGGCTGGGCCGAGGGACCCCTATCCCAGGGCACAAATTTTGCTCCTCTAGTTATACTATAACACTTTATTAATCTTCATGTCATCAGGGCACTTAAATATATGTACTCTATATGTTATATCTACACTATATAATATAGTACTATCCTATCTAATAAAAGACTAATATGCAAATTGACCATCACTCAAGATGGCTATCCCCATGTGGTCAAATATGACTGCCCTCGTGTGGACACAAGATGGCCACCAAAAGATGGCCAGGACTGGAGGGCAGTTGGGAGGGACCAAGCCTATAGGGAAGAGCAGTTGGGCAGAACCAGGCCTGCATGAGAGAGCAGTTAGGGGCAATCAGGCTGGCAAGGGAGCAGTTAAACATCAATCAGGCTGGCAGAGGATTGGTTAGTGGGTGATCAGGCTGGCAAGCAGAAGCGGTTAGGGGAAATCAGGAAGGCAGGCAGGCAAGCAGTTTGGAGCCAGCAGTCCAGGATTGTGAGAGGGATGTCTGACTGCCCATTTAGCCTGCACTCTTTCCAATCTAGGCCCCAGATTGGAGAGAGTGCAGGCTGGGCTGAGGGACACACACCCCATGCATGAATTTCATGCACTGGATCTCTAGTATAACACATAATAATAGTACTTAAATTGTCTTCTAGAGTTTTGTTCAAATTAGGAAAAAAACTGTATAGAAATGATTGGCTGTTTTTCTTTTTCTAACTAGAAAATAGTTATTTTAAGGGCAGATGGTGATTGGCTTGGTTCCCTGTTGTATTTTCACTCCCTAGCATCATTTTTGCAACTTTCTTCACTCCTATCATAAGGTCACTAATTGACTTTTTAAAAAATCCAATAAGAAAGCTCAAGGTGTAGTCATTAGTGGAAAATAAATAACCATAATGCTTATTTTTTTGTTTTAGAAAAATAAACTCAAAATGCCTCTTTCTGTGTGAGGCTTTCACAAGAAAATGTAATTGTTAAGTGTCTCTGTTCTTGCAATGCAGTCTTCTCTATCACTATACAGGCAGATTGCCTAGAAAGCATTAAGTCAGATTATATAATATTATGCTTCATAATATTGAAGTGTTCCTTTTTCCAATAAACATCAACTCTGCGAAAATAATATTGTGAAACTGACATTGTTTTGACAGAAAAGCTGCTTTAGGTTTTGTTTCTTAAGTCTGTGTTTAATATAATATAACAGAAAGCAACTGTTCTGCTTCAAGTGAGTCTAAGAAACAGAACCAACATTGCCTGTGAGTAGCGACACATCTTCAAGATTACTGAGGCAAGAAAGCAGAGAATAATACACTTGATTTAACAAAACCTGTACAGTGTAACACAACCTGTATTTAAGCTCTTGTAGAAATCAAACATACTAATAATATAACAAACTATGGACTGAAGATGCAGAAAAATAGCTCTCATGGGATCAGATTGCAGGAAGGAATTCTAGAGGTCAGCAAAGCCAGCCTAAGTTTATAAATAAGGACACTCAACAATATAGAGGTGAAGCGGTTTACCTGTAGTAATAAAATTAACATCTGATAATGAGGGTGATGATCATCCTATTTAATAAAAGAGCAACATGCAAATTGACCATACCTCTGCTACACCCACTAGCCATGCCCACCAGCCAATCAGGAGCAAGTATGGAAATTAACCCAACGAAGATGTCTATGGCCATCAAGTGAACAGTAGGCTTGGGTTTCCCTGGAAATGGAGGAAGCCAAGCTTTCCACATATCCTGGCCGGCCCTGGACTCCACTCAAGGCTACAAAGTTTCAATTATAGAAGAGAAATAAATCCCAACAAAAATGGCGACATCCACAGAGCTGGAGAGAACAGGAGGCCAAGTTTTATGCCCACCCTGGCCTGCTTTGGCCTCTGCTCAAGGCTACAAAGTTTCAATTACGGAAGATAAATAAATCCCAGATACCAGGGCCTCTGCTTGGATTGCAAAGGGGTGTGGCCAGCCTGCAGACCACCAGAGGCCCCTTGTTAAGGCCATCCCATGCCCCAAGGAAACCCCCACCCTGATCCTGGACATCCTTCAGGGCAAACCAGCCAATGCCCACCCATGCACCAGGCCTCTATTCTATCTAATAAAAGAGTAATATGCAGATTGACCATCACTCCAATACACAAGATAGCTGCCCCCATGTGGACACAAGATAGCCACCACAAGATAGCCAGCAGGGGAAGGAAGTAGGGAGGGACCAGACCTGCAAGGGAGGGCAGATATCTCTCAAGGGGTTCCAGATGGGAGAGGGTGGAGGCTGGGCTGAGGGACACCCATCCTTCGTGCACAAATTTTGCGCACTAGGCCTCTAGTATAAAAATAGGGATCAATACTAATCACGTGGAAGAGGAGCAGAAGGGAAATAGGGGAAAGGTTCTGAAAAGGTGATGGCTTGAGCACCACTGTTGCCCTCCTTTCTCCATTCTAGTCTCACCACCAACCTCTCTGAGCTGAGCACCAACTGGTGCAGGAGGTAAATGGGTCCCACCAGGCTGATGGGTCCCAGGAGGCAGAGTAATGTTTAAAATGTCGATTTCATTATTATTCAGGTATGGATGAGGTTCACAGAGGAGGAAACAATTGCCATGGGCAAGATAGTTCATTGTAGTTCCCCAAAAAGAAGAACCACAGCACCCCACGTAGGGGCACGTGGGGAAGCACCAGGGTTGGTGAGAGGTGGAGGGAACGAGGGGAAAAGTGGGCAGACAAGAGCCTTCGTTGTGGTTCTCCTGGGACAGAATGGATGAGGTAGGGAAAGCAGACTCAGCTGGTTTAGTACTGACTAGTTTAAGGAATTTCAGGGGGCTCTCTGGTAGTCTGCCCGCTGTCCTTGGGGTGATGAAGGTAGGGGAAGAGTGGCCCAGAGTGCAAGAGCCCAGCAAAGGAAAATAAAGTTGCTGATTAGGGTTTGGATTGTGGGCTTTGGAATGGCTAGTTTGCATGTGAAAGGCATGTTCAATGAAAAGCAATTTGCTCATCTCTAGTTACTGGCTAGTTTCTCCCTAAATAGCAAGACACCAGATGTCAAAGCATCAGAAACCAGAAACCAGAAACGCAGAAAACAAAAAGGCCTGGTCAAATACAGGTTACAACAGAGAGTTGGTACAAGACCTTCATCCTCTGAGCTGGAGGAGAGCCTGGGAGCTAGAGGCAGGCTTCCTTAGGTCAAACACTGGAGGGGTGTCCTGGAGAGAGCCAGAAACAAAAGTCCCTGAGTTCCTCCTGGGTTTCTGAGGGGCTGTGAGCTTTCTGCTGATTGGTCCACTGACTCTAAGCAGGTTCACTTTTGGTTGGCTCCAACCTGTTCTTCCCCCAGTAGCCAGGGCTGTATTTTAAAACGTAACCATCCCAGCTTAACTCTTCCCATTGGGCTGTTCCAGCCCACTCTGTTCAGTCTGTCCTTGTCTCCCTGCAGTTCCAGAACATACCCAGCTCATCCTGACTCAGAGCCTACAACTCACTGCTTCTTCTGCCTCTACAATGCATACTTAGTGACTCACATGTAAGGTGTGGGGTTAAATGCCACTTCCAAGGAGAGGCCTTCCCTGTTCATTTGTTCTTTATCAACAGATTTTATCCAGGTCTTTCATATCACTAACCATTCATAACTATATACATATACTTAATCCATTACCATATATTAGCTTTCTATATCCTTGCTGATTTCCTAATTGTTATCGCATATATATTTTATTTTAGACAATATTTATTTTATTACATTTTATAAATATTAAAAATATTTATTTTAAACAATATTTATATCACATGAATCCATGATATAATATGCACTCCTATATGGTTTGTTCACTTGTTTATTTTTGTCTCCCACACTAAGACCAGAGATTACATTTGTTTTGATCTAAAATAACCTCCTAGGTCCTCACACAGAATCTGGCATGCAATAAATAATCAAAAACTATTTGGTAAATAAATTGAGCCTGAGGATTCATAAATATTGCCCCATATAAATATGCTCAGGTAATAGTGTGCCTGAAAATAACTTAAAAATTTTTCACCAATGGCTTCAGTGCAATATTTGTTTAAGTGTTCTTACCTATTCTCATTTTTGTTTTGGCCAATAACATGATATGAGGAAGATAGACATTTTTCAAAGGCTGTAATGGACTTGCATAGTCAGTGTTTGATGAAGGAAAATCAATTGTTTCTCCAAAAGTTAGCATCTGTAAAAGAAACATTGTAATGAGTAATTAGCTAAAGTGGTTTGGAATAAAGAAAAATAAAAGAAACAGAATAATAAGTTTCTAAGTCTTGGGAACTCAAAAGAACTCTCACCTGTTCAATAAGAATGGTGTGAGACTGAATCAACAAATTTTTTTTTTCTGTTTTTGAAGAGAGCATTTCCTTGAATTTCTCTGCCCTTGTTAAGTCATCCAGCAAAAGCAAGCTTCTCGTCAGAGTTAAAAAAGATCTCGGAGAAATAAACTCATTTCCTTCAAGCAAATGTATTATGGCCTATTAAAATAAAATTATTCCTTTGATCGTATTGTTTGCAATTCACTGAAACAAGAGCTGGCCATATTGACTGTCATGCATTCAGTAACTATTGGAATATAAAATTCGCTCCTTTTGTTCTACACTGAATCCTTTGGTGACTATCAACATGAATGAAGTTTCCTTCCTACCTGAAGGTTTGTTATGATGTCTGCCTTTAAATGCTTTTCTTGTAAGCCAATGATTACAGCTTGCATCAAGAATTCAGCTTGTAGCTCCTTGTCGCCTGCACTTTCTGCCTCCACACACACTTCATTGATGAGGCTAACATAATCTGTCATATCATTTTCTAAAATAAACAAATGTTGTTATTTAAAATGCACTGAGAAGGTAATGACATATGTACACATAATATGCCCCGAGTTCATCACAGGAATATTGTGTAATATAGAAGAACAGGAAGATACAAAGAGAGAGAAAACAGACTACATGATATGTTAAAAATAAATGGGTTGCAATTTAGGGGGTAGGCACTTTACGGATCCAAATGCTGCAAAACTATTAATAAAATTGCATGAGATAATTTAATTTTGGAGATTGATAGAGATGGGTAGATAAATAGGTTTACAAGTAGATACTTATTCATCACTGTAAGAATTAATATTCCTGTGAGCCAGCCTGTGTAATCTAAGAACTTTATAAGTATAACCCATTAAATTTCAACAATAATCCTATGAAATAGATACACTTGCCTCCATTGTACAGAGAAGGAAGTCAGGCATTTGTGGGTTGATAGACTTGGCCAAGGTCACACAGCAAGGAAGTGGTAGTCTGAGCATTGGAACCCAAGGCAGCTGGCTCCAGAACCTGTGCTCCGGACCCGTCCTTCTACGCTGCCTGCTTTGCATACATCAGCAACATATATGCCATTTTCAGCAAGGGACTATTGAAAATGATTATTTTTTTTATAAAATATATTTTATTGATTTGTTACAGAGAGGAAGGGAAAGGGATAGAGTTAGAAACATCGATGAGAGAGAAACATCAATCAGCTGCCTCCTGCACAACCTCTACTAAGGATGTGCCCACAACCAAGGTACATGCCCTTGACCAGAATTGAACCTGGGACCCTTCAGTCTGCTAGTCGACACTCTTTCCCCTGAGCCAAACCAGTTACGGCAAAAATGATTATTCTTATGTAAGAACTTGAATTTTTTATTCTGGAAACAAATTAATCTAGAGAGCTGTAAAATGTTAATGTTAATGAAATATATCCCAATAAAACCTCTGTTACCGCCCTAGCTGGTCTTATTCAGTGGATAGAGCATTGGCCTGTGGACTAAAGAGTTCCGGGTTCAAATTCAACCAAGAGCACATGCCTGGGTTATGGGTTCAATTCCCAGTAGGGGGGTGTGCAGGAGGCAGCCAATCAATGGATTCTCATTCATCATTGATGTTTCCAGCTCTCTCTCTCCCTTCCTCTCTGAAATCAATAAAAATATATCTATATTAAAAAAAAACCATTTGTTACCTACATGAAATCACTTTTTATAAAAACTTCAATTAAGAAAATAGGATATTTGTACCTTTCACGATTCCAATGCCACGGATCTGTGCAACAAACGCAGTCACCAATGCTAAGCGGCACCTCAACCACAGATGAATGTTGAAGTATTCTCGAGAATTTAGGGAGATAGGATCTAAAAATTCATTATCATCTTTACTTTCAATGACCTAAAACAATATTAAAATCATGGTTATCTTCACATTAATAGTGGCAAAGTTCTAGTCTAATGCTAAATGTACTTACTATGAGTTAAAAGAAGCATCTGATATTTAATAGTATTAAATTTTAAATTTTAGAAATTATTCTTGAATTTTCTATAAAACATAAAAAAAACCACAGAGCACCCATAATCTCACAATCCTCTATTAGCATTCTGGTCTACTGCTTTTCAGTTTTTCTTTTTCTTTCTATGCCCATTGTTGACAAACAGTCTTGCAGTCTGAATTTATCACTGCAAATGATAACACATCATGTCCTCAAAATTTTTGTAAATATCATCTGAAAGACTGAATAATAATTAATAATACTGGCTAATATCTACTGCATGCTTCTCACGTGTCAGGCACTGTGCTACATGCTTTATACACATTATCTCATTTAATCCTCTTGACAAGCCCAAGAGGAGTTGTTAGTATTTGTTTTACCTATGGGTGACCCAAGTCTTTGAAAGGTTATCTGTTTGCTTAAACTTCATCATATTTTGGCGAAGGTGAGACTCAAACTTGTATCTTTCTGACTTTAGAGCCTACAGTCTTAATCTCTTCTGTTATATCACTATATTCTGCTCACATCCCAAAAATACATCACTGACCTACTGTCCTTATTTTTACTCTTTACAAAGGGTGTCCCATGACCAGAGCTACTGGGAGGGAGACGCAAAGGGAGCTTTTTCCAGGGAATAGCAGCAACCCATCTTATTTAGAAATTTGGGCACTTCTAAGTCATTCGAACCAACACCCATTTGTTCCAGGAATTCCCCGCTTTGCATCTCTGATAGCTAGACATCTCCCACCGATTAGCAGCATCTGCTATCAAGGAGCAGCTCTGGGGATGGGCAGGGGGCTGGAGTCTGGATAGACAGGTGAGAAGCACAGAAGAGGAAGGTGAGCTGTTCCCAGAAATGGTAAAAAGTGAACAACAGAAGTCTGGTGGCAGAGTGGTGACCACAAGGGCACGAGTAATGGAAGAGTCTAGTTGGATTAGCATCCACATACCTTAATCTCTCAGTGCCTACAATTCCTGTTACTGTTCAAAAGCCAAGTCACAAGTAGACCAGGATTTCTCAGCCTTGGCACTATTGGCACTGTGTGGCAGATATTTGTTGTGGGAAACTGTCCTGTGCATTCTAGGATGTTGAGTAACATAGCTGACCTCTACCCACTATATGCCAATAGCACCCCCTCTAGGTGTAACAACCAAAACATCTCCAGACATTGCCAAATGTCTCTTGGGGAGGCAAAATAGCCCCCAATTAACAACCATTTCTGTAAGTCAATTTTCAGAATTAGATTGCTTTTTAGGTCTTTTATTACTTTTAATATAGTTAGAAACAAGTCTCTACTTAGGATAATTAGTGTTACTTTCTTGTAATGACAGTGAATATTAGCAATTTTATTCATAATATCTATACATATAAGAAACTAATATGCTAAGTGTCCCTCTGCCAGTCCAACTGGTTGCTATGAGCACAGTGACCACCAGGGGCAGACGTTCAATGCAGGAGCTGCTGAGCTGCAGTGACTTGGCAGCAGCAGCTCTCAGGTGTTGCACCCCAAAATCAGAGAGAAGGGAACCTGATTCCTCATAGGGCCACGCAATTCCACCTTCAGCAGTTGGTTATGTTGTTGCTGGGGCACTGTTGGCCCCAAATCTGGTTTACTGCACACTTGCATTTGCATTCCAAACTCTGTATAACAGCAACTTTGCAGAATGCCCTCTCTCATTCCAGGATCCCTTGGGGGATGTCAGAGTGCTGAATTCAGCCTGATCCCTGCAGGCCAGGCTGAGGGACCCCACCTGCTGGAGGGACCCTGCTCACTCTGCAGATGTTGGGGAGGGACTATGGAAGGTTGGCTCCAGGGTACATCTGGCCTGTCTCACCCAGTTCCACCCTGATGACCACCTCCTAATTTCCTTTCAATGTGCACAAATCTGTGCACCAGGTCACTAGTCCTATATAATAAAAGACTAATATGCAATTGTCCCCTCAACTTGGAGTTTGGGAGTTTGACCAGGGGGCAGGCTGGCTGGCCAACCCCCCATGGCTCCTCCTCCCAGCTGGCCTTACCTCTGATTACCCTTCACTTCGATAGGGGGTGGGGCCAGCCTGCCAACTGTCCATGGCCCCTCCCCCTGGGATGGGTTGGCTGGACCCCACCTGTGCATGAATTCATGCACTGGGCCTCTAGTTTAAAATAATAAGCAAAGATTCTACATGATGAATCTTTATATTTCAAACTGCTATTTTATTAAATTTTTACTTGATCTCATAAAAAAATCCAATAAAATTTCAAATACCTTGCAAAACCAGTTGTCAAAAAATATTTGAGAGCTTAAATAGGGAAGAATGTAACTATGAGAAATTCAAAGTAGGAAACAGCACGGGTGTCATACTGATAATGCTAACATAACAAAAACATGAGATGAAAAGAAAAGTAAAGTGAAACAACTTTATTTACTAGTAAAATCAGACCTATAATTTTGTACTGCCACATTTGGTGGGACTTCAGTGATTACAACATCCAATTCCATCAGTTCGCAAATGAGATTTACATTAAAAAATGCTATAAAAGTTTAAGGGACTTGCCCAAGGTATGCCAGTTAAAAGCAGCATAAACAGGGCTTAAATACAGATCTTTATACTCCATATTCAATGTTTTTTTCTACTTTATTCCTATGTTTTTATCCAACTAATCAATAAGAATAAGCATTAAATTCATACGTACAGAAGTTTCTAGAGAGAGGGAACTCGCTGTGTCAACTGGTATCACCTTCTTTTGAAAAAGTTTTGAATCCTGGAGAAGCTTAAGTGTGGAAGATACTATTGCAACACTAAAATAAAAAATATATTTTAAATGTTATTAGTTTTACACTTGTGACATTTGTATGTTACTTCCTCCAGAGCACATTCCCACTGCCTCATTCACCCCCCAAAACTGTTAGGTGACCTTCTATGCACCCTTACAGTGCCCTGATCTAACCATTTGTTCTGATTTATCACACTGTTTAATTATGTATAAACTGCTCTACAGCTCATCTGTCTCATTCCCTGTTGGAACCCAGAACTTAGTGCTTGGGACAGAATACAGAATACTTGGGACAGTAGAGCCAGAAAAAATATTTTAACATGAAAGTGAGTGAATGGAAGGATGAATAAATAAAAGTTTCCAAGATTTAAAACAAAATTTACTGACAATATCACTAATAAAATGAGCACATGTGTATTTAAATAAATCAGAATGTGGTTTTCCAGCTTTTTGAGGTTGTAGTATTGTTACTTAATGCTATCTACTTAGAAACTCTAAATCTAAATTAATATTGAATCAGTGTCCAGTGGGAAAGGAAATGTACTAAATTAAGAAAGTAGAAGCAAGGAAATAGAAATACGCATGATTGTCTGCAGTTTAGACCATTATAGCCTCCTCCCCTCCATAATAATAAATTTATAATTGACATCACCCTTTTCAAATTATTTAGATAATATACATCTCAGGAGGCTTCTTCTTTTGAAAATCTATTCCAAAACAAAATTTGAAATATAGAACAATCTGCCTGGCCAGGTGTGCCTCGGTAGTTGAGTGTTGATCTATGAATCAGGAGGTCACAGTTAGATTCCCAGTCAGGGTGCATGACTGGGTTCAGGCTTGAACCTGAGTAGCGGCATGCAGGAGGCAGCGAAATCAAAAAGTATCATATTTCTATCTTTCCCTCCCACTCTCTGAAATAAATAAAAATATGTTTTAAAAAAGAGAAAGAGCCGAAACCGGTTTCACTCAGTGGGTAGAGTGTCGGCCTGCAGACTGAAGGGATCCAGGTTCGATTCTGGTCAAGGGCATGTACCTTGGTTGCGGGCACATCCCCAGTAGGGGGTGTGCAAGAGGCAGCTGATTGATGATTCTCTCTCATCAATGTTTCTAACTCTCTATCCATCTCTCTTCCTCTCTGTAAAAAATCAATAAAATATATATTAAAAAAGAGAAAGAAATACAGAACAGTTTATTTACCCGAAGATACTTATCAAAGTGCTATTTATAACATGGGGGAAAAATGGGATGAAATCCAATTGGACAGTGCATCCACCTTTCTAATTCTCCACTTGAAGAGTTAATTGACAAACACACTTCACAGGTGTTATAGATTGAATTGTGTGCTGCCAGAAAGATATGTTGACATCCTAAATCTTAGTACCTCAGAATAACTGTCTGAGGAAGTCAAATTAAAATTATGTCATTAGGATGGATCCTATTCTAAATTCACTGATGTATTTAAAACAATGGGAACAAATATCCAGAGAGGGAAGAGGATGTGAACACATTCAGGAAGAGGAAGGCCATGTGACTGGAGTGATGCATCTTTAAGCCAAATATTGTTGGCAAAACCCAGAAACTACAAAAAGCAAGGCAGGGCTCTCCCTACCTGGAGCTGTCAGAAAGAGCATGGCCCTTCTAACACTTTGATTTTGGACTTCGACCTTCCAAAACCGGGAAGCAATAAAACTGGATTGTTTTAAGTCACCCCAGTTTTTGGCCCTTCATTAAAGCAGCCCTAGAAAACTGGCAGAATAGATTAAAAGCAGCTCCTCTTGCTTCCACCTCCTCTACCAACTCTGTTTGTCCTCCATCCCACAGGCAGAGCCCCAAATCACCACTGCTTCCTTTTAACTCACACTCTATATTCAACCCACCAACAAGCTCTGTCAGCTTCAACTCTGAAATATGGATGCCAACTAGCAGCCCCTCGCCTTACCTTATCCACAGCTAAGGCCTCTGCCCAAGCCATCATCATCTCCAGGCTGTAGGAGCTTCCTGGCCAGACTGTCCTCTGCCTTCAGACCCTGCAGTCATAGTCTCTAGATTGCAACCCCAGCAATCTCATTAAGATATAAATCACACCATGACACTTCCCCCATACATATTCCAGAGGCTTCCTGTTTCCTTGGACTGTCGTCAGTACACCTCCTCATTCGGGTCAGTTACTGAGGTTTCTGCCCTAGTATATGACCAACTTTGTCACTGTCCACGCATGCTTGGGAGAAGGTATAGTCTCTGTTTGTAGGCTCCCAGAGTATGAAATTGGGTTATTATAAGGATTCAATGATGTATTCTTCCATTTGTTAAAAAATATTTGTTGAGTACCTGCTATGGGCCAGGAACAAATCTAAGGTCTCTGGATATGAGAAACTTCGTGCAATTATTAATTTTTAAATTTCCAAGGTTTTACTGAGTCATTAAAATGGCATAGATATTGGTAGGTTAATGTATTGTTTCTGATTGTATAAACTTACTGGTTTTTATTTAAAGTAAAAAAATCAAGAAAACAACAAGAAAAATGTAATACTGACGCATTATGTATAAAGGTATGAAAGTTCCACTCTCCAACAACCTCCTCCCTCAAGGATCCACGTGTGTTTCTATGACACCTTGTTTACTGGGTAGCTTCCGAGGGTAGCACAGGATGGCTACTACACCCTGTGGGAAATAAGGTGTGCTCAACCCATGCTTCTAAATTAGAAGCCCAAATTTTGATATCAAGAGAAATGAGGTATGAGAATTCTTGCTGGTTTGTCTCAGTGGATAGAGCATCGGCCTGAAGACGTAGGAGTCCCAGATTTGATTTCAGTCAAGGACACATGCCTGGGTTGCTAGCTTGATCCCCAGGAGGCAGCTGATTGATGATTCTCTCTCATCATTGATGTTTCTCTCCCTCTCCCTTCCTCTTTGAAATCAATAAAAATATTTTTTGGGGGGAAAAAGAGGAATGAGGTATGAGGCTTCAAATCTTGCTGACCCCAAAACTTAATAAAATATAAACATACTACAGTAGTATGTACGAATCTTCTTGGTATTAATATGGACTAATCCACCTGGCACTACTTAGTTGCAAAATGGAAAATTTCTAGTTTCTCTCCTCCACATGAAAAACAGAGTGTAGGAGGATTACCCACTATAACCAGTCTAAAATCCCAAAGGAAAGAAGTTTCATTCTGACACAAAATTAACAGGCTCAGATGTTATCCCGTTTAAACAATACATTACATAGAAAGAAGGATAGACAGGAACACTTACTCAAAAAGAAAAAGACAGGATTCTGAGGGAGGCAACCCTAACAAGTAGAAATATCATTTGAATAATTTTGATCCCATTTATTTCTTATTACCATTCATGGCAAAAGTGGTCAGTTTGTTCTCCTAAAATCCATGCGGCTCACTTTACCTGCCACCCTAGGGAATGTGCCTTTCAATTTCCTTGACACATAATTATGTTAGAAGTATCATGAAATGTCAAGCTAACCCTCATTTGGGAAAGAGACTGTCCAACACTTCCAGCAGCTCCCAAACAGAAGCTCATGGGGGGTAAAGTTCACCTAAGAGAAACTCATTCATCCTGACAGTAGGCTTTCCCAAATGACACCTCTGCTGCAAAAAAAAAAAAAAAAAGGCAATAATTTGAAAATTTTGCAGGTTTTGTCCCAAAGGTCAGGTTGATGTATTTAAAATAGGAGTGATTCTGATACACTTGCACATTATTTGCATATTCTATCTGGTCGCAAATTAAAGTTCTATTGTAACACTCATTTCAGTGGCCATTTGGTAATTATTAGTTTCTAATTTCCTTCTTCCATAAAAAAAATCACTCATGTCCTCTATGCCAAAGAGTATAAGATATGTAGAGAACTGGGAAAAGAATGACGGGTGCTGTTGTGTGGGACACTGTGTAAGAAAAGAGTTCTGTATTTTCCATATGCTTCTACAGGAAATCATACAATCATAAATTTTATTGTCATACTTATCTAAAAACACATATTTAGATATATTCACATATCGTATATTTTCTATAGGAAATTATACAGTAAAAGTCCCTTCTCTCTTCAAACTTCAAAGAAGAAAATAATATATTATAATGCAAGACCTATTTTACCATCAATCAACTACCATAGTATTCAAAGACAGGCATGGCCCAGCCTGTGTGGCTCAGTGGTTGAGCATCGACCTAAGAACCAGGAGGTCTTCATGGTTTGATTCCTGGTCAGGGCAAATTTCCAGGTTACAGGCTCAGTCTCCAGTGTTGGGCATGCAGGAGGCAGCCTATCAAAGATTCTCTCTCATCATTGATGTTTCTATCTCTCTCTCCTTCTTCTTTCCTCTCTGAAATCTATAAAATATATTTTTAATTTTTTAAAAGACAGGCATGAATGTAACAATACTTCCCAAGCTTTTTAAAAATCTCAGCACTCACTTATACCCTTAAAATTATTGAAAACCCTAAAGGGCTCCATCAATATCATATTAGAACTTAAGCTGAGAAATTTTTAACTTCATGAGTATTTATTACTTTATTTTAAAATAAAAACAATAAACTCATTATATGCTAATATAATAATGCATTTTAATAAAAACAACTGCCCTGGTTGTGTGGCTCAGTTGCTTGGAGTGTCATCCTGTATACCAAAAGGTTCCAAATTCAATTCCCAGTCAGAGCACATACCTAGGTTGCAGATTCAATCCCCATTCTGATGTGTACAGCTGGCAATTGATTAATGTTTCTACTTTTTTTCATTTTGAAATGTTGCATTGTAGATTTCACAAAGAATATTAGTTACAGATCAAAATTCCAAGCAGTAACTCAAAACCTTTCTTTCTTACAAGGATCTCTCTCTCTCTCTCTCTCTCTCTCTCTCTCTCTCTCTCTCTCTCTTTCTCTCTCTCTCTCTCTCTCTCTCTCTCTCTCTCTCTAAAATCAATAAAAACATTTAATCAAGTGAGGATTGGAAAAAAAAGAAAAGAAAAACAATTATATTTTCTAAAACATCAAGAAATTAGTGAGACGAATAACATTGTTTTCACTTTTTTTTTCAAATAAAATGTCTGACTTAATAGAAAATCTTCTTAATATGAGACTATTTTATGTGCTTTTACTTTCAGTATGTTGAGACATACAGTCTTGGCTGAAGTATATAAAGAAGACTAGGTTGCACAGATAATCATTAGAGTGGGAGGAGTATTTTAATAGCTTCTTCAAATAATTGTGAATATTGATGAACTTTTCCTACTCCCTTATATCAAAACCTATTGGTCTATCTCAGTAATTTCAACTGGTGTGCATCAATAATTTTTAAAATATACAATACCTGACTATTTAGTCAGGGGCACTGACGTCTTTTCCCTTGTAAAATAAAAAATGATAACAGCCAATGTAACAATAGCTGTCTGGTATTAATTCCCTGTCTTGAACCATAAAAATATACTTGTTAATAGAGTTGTATTTTATTGGTCATGTTGCATAATAAGGATGCATCTGATTGGTTAATTCTTTGTACCAAAAATTCTTAAATACAAGTGTAGGAGAATCTCTAGGGGTGTTCCTAGATTTTTTTTTTAGTCTCTTTGGAGCAAAAAGAGTAGTAACTATTGAATACTATTTTTTTAATCAATCAAAATTATAGCTAATTTTTGGTCAACAAAATATTTTTGGTGTGCTACATAATTTCAGAAATTAGTTTTTATGAGCCATGGACAAAAAAAGGTTACAAATCACTGGTCTATGTTGTTAACTGGGATTTTGGAACATCATGTACTGGTCATTTAGAAAACATTAACTTCTTGAGCATGAAGATCCCCTAAATGTTGAAACACTTCATTATACAACTTTAGAAATGATGCTTGTTAACATTACTATCAATCTCATTCAAAAAATCTAACCATTACAAAATTGTCAAGTTCATGGTGGCAAATACAAATTTCCCAAAATTCTAGTTTTCCTATGAAACATTAGATATTATGATTGGTTAAAAAAAAAATACAACATATTAGTTGTTTTCCCAGAAGTAGCTTGTCCATTTTGGTCCTTTTCAATAAAATGCCTGTCAAATACTCAAGTTTGAATAACCATATTTTTCAGGGTGTTGTTTTTTTCCTAAATAAAAAACATTCCATGAATAAAAGAACAGCTGGTTTGGCTTTCTCAAGACAACTATCAAACTTTGATGCACAATAAAAGGGCTCTAGGTGTATTTTCCATTTAACATTCCCACAGAATATTAAAAATAGATTCAAGGATAGGGATTATAAATGTAACAGATTATATTGCTTCATGAAAGGCATTCTTAAGTTAACTGGCCTTTTTTATTGCAAGAGTGTGGCAGTGAAATATGGGATAACTACAAGTATGGCCACAGCTTTGACTCATGAGGAGATGACAGAAGTTTTACCAGTTGCTTTTGCATCTCCAGTGCAAGTAACAACACAAGAAGGACAATCACATCTTAGTTTTATTATAAAAAGTTTTAACCTTACAAACCCCTGAAAGGATCTTAGGGACACCCCTGGAGATCTGCAGACCACACTGAGAATCACTGCTCCAAGACGACTTTATGGATTTTCATCATCGCTTAGAGACCACAAATTTCCCAAACCTAGACTGTCCTTAGCATAAAATCAAATTTAGATGTGGTTAATCACAGAATGGCCTTCAATCAAGGCACCCAGTGATGAGATGATTCTATGTTTCCAATCAAAACAAAAGGGATTTCTGCTGAATTGATTGCCTCTTTACAAAAGCTGCAGATGGACTTCTCCTTCATCATTATTATTATCATCCTCATCCGAGGATATGTTCATTGATTTTAGAGAGAGGAAGGGAGAGAGAGAAAGAAACATTGAATGGTTGCCTCCTGTACCCACTTCAACTGGAACTGAACCCACAACCCAGTTTATGTGCCCTTATCCGGAATCAAACCTATGATCCTTCAAGGTATTGGATGACACGCCAACAGAGCCACATCAGCCAGGGCCTTCTCCTTTTTGAAGGGGAGTTAATCTAAAAATTAACTCCCCTTCCAAATTCTGAATCTCATTCATGGAGTTGAATGCATGGAATTTCAATATCATAAAGAAAGTTAAGATTTTAAAAAACCAAAATTGTAATCCGTACTTTTAAGAATAATAATGTTAAAACTATCTTGAAAAAAAAATGGGTAGACTCTATCTAGGAATTTATAAAATTTAGATATATTTATCAGATTATGGGAAAGAAGAAACTCCTCTGTGCACAGACTCACCTATACGCCGCCTGGTGTCTCTGCAGGGCAATGGCAGCGAGCTGCAGCCGGGCCTGCATCACTATCTCCAGCTGGCTCACAGAGCACTGGGCAAGGCCCTTCTGGCCTGGCGGCTCCATCTCTGACACCAGGGAGTTGAGCCTGTCTTCAGCTTCTGTCAGTAAAATTGACTAAAAAAGAATACCACACAATTACATAAGTTCAGAAATAATGCAAGTAATGTCTCATTATTATTCACCAAATATTTTTTGTGCTGAAGTAACTACCAATGGAAGACCAAAAAGGAAATCTGAACATCATCATCAATGAACAGCACAAAGCAACAGAGAATGAAAAGGCAGGTCATGGCAAAAATAAGCAAGTACAACTGTTACCCTTTGTTGTATGTACAACCTATCACATACATGATTATTTATGGGATAGCTTGTAGTTATGGTCCAGAAAGTTGCTGCAAACACTGAATTAGCAAATAATGAAAACCACAGTTCCTTGAGGAAATACAGGAATATGTTCCTGGGAGCTTCTGGTCACAACATTTTTGTCAACTGGTCAATACGTAACTGTTCAATGTGTGCTTACACACATTATTTAATATATATTATAGGTGCATTAACCCTGAACTCACAACCAATAGCTCTATAAATAATGCCTGACTGAAACTTAACTTATTTTCTCCATAAGGCAAACCATAGCCTTCTTGCACTTAGAAACACTAAACAGCACTTTAGGACCAGAGTTGTGGGTCATTTTAAATAATAAAATCAGCAACCGAAAAGCATGAAAATTCCAAAGGTGTGACCATAAATAGACCATGAAAGAAGATATTTCTTCATAGTATGAGAATGGAAACAAAAACTCAGAGCATTGCCTCGTTCGGCCCAGCTGGGAATGTGTGTACTACGCAAATCACATTTCTCTATGCTCTGCCCATGTCTACAAACGACCACAAAAGAGCCATAACTACTGATTTGGGGTTACAAATAAATTTTCGTATTGGCAAATTAGCAAATAGTGAATCTGTGAATAATCAGAACCAACTGCATTTCAAGTTAAGCTGTGATCACATAACTAGCAATGTGAAGATAATGAGACTTTGAGATGGGCAATCCATAAAAAAGAGCAACCTGACATGGAAAAATAGGAAGGGACCTACCAAGCTTTCAAGGAATGGGCCTCTAAAATCTTGTTTGTTTAGAGTAGTAAATAGTATACAAGTTCTAGGCCAATTTATATGATGATGGTTAAGAACATGGTCTGTATTTTATTAGCTGCACACTGTTAGTAAATTTCTAACTGTCTAAGCTTCAATGTTCTCATGGCTCAGCACAACATACTTCAAAAATGATTAATAGCTACATGACAGAGCTGCTGTGAAAATAACCATGCAAAGTGCCTGTCAGGTGGTAAGCACTGAATAAGTGGTAGCCATTTTTGTTGCTGTTGTTATCACTATTATTATTAGGAAATGAGAAACATGGTATGGAATAACCAAATCCTATTCAATGAAGAATCATATATTCTGCCGCACCTAACCAGGTTGTATAGTCAAAGTCTGACACCTGTGGGTATCTAACTTTTCTCATGGGGAAAAGTTTCTGCTTATGTGAGAAAAGCTACCTGGCCTCTTAACTGCGAGCACAACCAAGAAATAGGCCTGTGCATGGCTGAATAGTGAGCAACTTGGTAACTGAGTTACTGTGATTTGAAAACATTCTTAAACTCACCTTTAGTGTACTAAGAGTGAGGTCCTCTTTTAGTTTTTTAAAATAACCAAATATGCCTCCATTATCCTTTGAATGTAGCTCTGTAAGACACAACATTTTGAAAGGATAGCTGTGGTTAGTTTAAATATTAATTCTACTTAATAAAATTCATTATTAATTGGGAAACTAGCCATAAATTTAACACTAACAACCCCTTGCAATGATAATTATAAATATATTACTATCTCAAATAGTCTCTAAACATGATATATTAGAAGACTGAGGCTAATTCTTACAACAAATCAGACAAGTCAGTGGTGTGTTATTCAAGTGATCAGCTATTGGTTCCTCTCCTGGAATTCTAAAACACCTTAACATCCTCAAAGTATTCTGAGTCTTCCAGACATTTATAATATGTCCATAAGATATTCTTGGAAGTATCATTTCTATTGATTTGCACAGGCTCTAAGACTGGAGAGTCACATCATTTTGAACAACGCAATTGAAAATCCTTAAACATCTCAAAATTCCCACCCACAGAACGAAGCTGGCTCTGATTCTGAGCCAGGGAGAGTTCAGGGAATTTATGTCGCAGGTCTTGCCTGCTGTGGTAAACCTGGCTTCTGGACTACAGAAGAGGGGGGGAAACTACAAGTCATTGTTTGACTAGGAATTACTGCAAAAATTACCCACCTAAAGACACTAAGTGAAATGAGTAGGATGAAAGAGCCTAGAACATGGAACTGAGCACAGCAGACTTCTCTTCTTCCTATCTGGCTTGTCTCCTCCATTAGGAGGATGTGGAGCTAGTAGGGTGCTGAGTATAAGGGAGGGTGTGAGCATTGGGAAAGGCCCAGCAGATGATCTGGGACTGGGTCTTCTTCCCTAAAGTCATAGAAGAAAGTGAGAGACAAAGATAGAAAAACAAATGCCTGTAGCTGGGTATGAAGAACCCTGTGATGAGCATCCACATAGGATGAACATCACCCTAAGAGGACCCACATTTTCCTCATTGATCTCTCTGCCTCCTGTATGGCTCTTCCCTCTGTGGTCCTTCCATGCTGTATCCCTTCTCTCGGGGGCTGTAAATAACAAACTGTATTTTCATTGGCAGCCATCTCCTAATCTGTTGTCCTTACCATATCTGAATAATAATAAGACTTACATTTTAAAACAGAGGCCAATGTTACTCTGATACCAAAACTAGACAAAGACACCACTAAAAAGATAACTACTTGCCACTATCTTTTATAAATATGGATTCAAACATCTTCAGTGGAGCAGTAGCAAACAGAAATCAACAACACTTAAAAAAAACAAAAAAGCATACACCGCCAAAACCAGTTTGGCTCAGTGGGTAGAGCATTGGTCTGCAGAATGAAAGGTCCCAGGTTCGATTCCGGCCAGGGGCATGTACGTTGGTTGTGGGCACATCCCCGGTAGGGGATGTGCAAGAGGCAGCTGGTCGGTGTTTCTCTCTCATCGACGTTTCTAGCTCTCTATCTCTCTCCCTTCCTCTCTGTAAAAAATCAATAAAAATATATTTTAAATATATAAATAAATAAAAAGTATACACCATGATCAAGTGGGATTTATTCCAAGAAAGCAAGGTTGGTTAAGCACTCAAAAGTCAAATAATAATGTAATGCATATGTGTGTATTGTTATTTAAAAACAAAAACTACAGAATCACCTCAATAGATGCAGAAATGCCATTTAATGACATTCTATCATGACAAAATCATTCAACAAATTAGGAATTCCTCTATCTGATAAAAGACATATGTGAAAAACCCACAGTTAACATCATACTTGAAGGTGAAAACAATTCTTTTTATGGTGAAGTCTAATACATTTTCAAAATACATATACACTATGGCCCATACATTCCATCCATGGGTGTCTTAACTCATAGAAATATACACTACATCATATGGATAGGTAGTGCTTCAGAACTGTTCTCTAGAAACAAAGTGAATGATTGGGAATGATTGAACAATATGGGAATGATTGAACAACCATGGAACATTCACATCATAGAACATTGCACAGCCAGAATAGTGGACTAAAGCAATAGCAGTTGACTTAGGAGCAGTTTTAGTGAAGTTTTCTTGCATGAGAAAGGCATGATGCAGAAAAATATAAAAATATATCATTTGTAAACAAATGACAAATCCTACTGTGTGTGTGTGTGTGTGTGTGTGTGTGTATAAAATTTATGGATATGGAGATATTTAGATGAATGTGGATATGCCTGTACTTAAACATAAGCATATGTGTGTCATTTGTAAGCTTAGAGAAAATTTGGAAGAATAGATACTATATTGTTCATAGGGATTACTGGGGTGGAGAGGGGCAGAATTGGAGCCAGAAAGGAGAAAGAAAAGAATGAAACAAAAAATTACCTTTCAAGTTTGAGATGTTCATTTTGTTCTTCCCATGGGAGCTTATTTTTAATATATTTTCTGGAACGCAATTTATTGTTTCAGCCATACTTACTAACAAGTATGCTTTAACAAAAGAAAACTTATTTGAAAGATGTTGCAGGCCAACTGAATGCAGAATGTGAGGCAAGCCTTTATTGATTAAGTCGTCGAGTGCCTAAAAAATGGGGGGGAAAGAATTTATAAATGCAAGTAAGTAAAATCTTGTTTTATATATCATTGCCTTTCTGTCCTCTTTTTGCATTCCTTATTTGGTTCTGGAAAAAAAAGACTTTAGGGACAGACATGAGGTACCATGAATAGCATGTCTATCAAGAGAAACGTGTGATGTCAGAACCATCCCAGGCTCCACAGCACCTCTGCAGTTCCCCACCAAGTTGTAACCTGCCCCAGGAGCTCCCCCTGCCACATAATGAGAGTGAAACAGGGCTGAGAGCAAAGGAGGACACACTTAAAAGTTTTCTTTATTGATTATGGTATTACATATGTGTCCTTATTTCCCCATTATCCCCCAACACCCCCCCCAACTACAATAGCTCAGTAGCCATGCCTTCTGACCACTCTGCTTTCATGTGAGTAACTTAGAGCTACGAGAATAGGAATGGGAGGATGGGGAGACAAGCCAGCTCCCTACCCAGCTTAGATCTGTGCTCAATCACCAGACCTCCGCCTGGTGAATACCCTCAACTCCCAGACCCCAATCTTTTGCACTTGTATTTCCCTGGTAAAAACCAACATGAAACTAGCTTGGTAGATGCACCCTGTACTTGAAGAAGGCTAGGGGAAATCATCCTCTCAGGATCAGCATCCCCACTTTAAATTCCTGACCTAACCCAGTCCATTTATTCCCCCTCTCTCCCAGACAACCCTTTGCACACTTTCTTTGTTTCTAGATTTTAACTCTTCCTTCCAGGCAATGATCTTGATTTCTCCACTTAACTGAGAAAATAGAAGCAGTCAAGTAGCATCCACAGACCCCACAGTTCCACCATCTCTCCAACCTACCTAAGCACTTGCCTCACCACTCTGTCTGCCTTCCTGCCATTAGGCCGTGGGACCTATCCCCACTGGTCTACTCAACCATTCTCCTCCATCATAAATGTTCCCTTTCTAAGTGGCATTCCCATCAGCACACAGCCATCCTGTCTTCTCCATATCAAAAAATAGAAACCCAATATTCCTGACTTTCTCTCCAGCTACTCCCCCAATTCTTGCTCTCTGTTGTATGGCCTAATGAGTTGTCAATATTCTAATCTCTCTCCTTTCATTTGCTTATAAACCTATCTTTCCCACATTGAAATCTTTTGGTCAACAGCACCTATGGTCTACTATGGAACAAATCCAATGTTCAATTCTTAGATCTCATATGTCATATTATTTATGATCTAAGTGATTTTTCAACCAGTGTGCTGTGGTACAATGGTATGCCGCAAGAATTTTTAAAACATGCAATACCTGACATGCAATGACCTCTTTTCTGATTGTCAAATAAAAAAGTGACAACAGCCAATACAATAGCTGTCTTGTGTGAATTAATAAAAATTATAACTATTTTTGTCAGATTGGCAAAAAATACATTTTTTGGTGTGCTGCAGGATTTTAGTAATTAGTTTATGTGTGCCATGAGATGAAAAAGGTTGAAAATTGCTGATCTGTAAAATGTATCTCATATGCCAATTAAACTGTCACATGGCCTCAACTGTGAAATTCATTTTAATTTCAGAGATGTTAAATGTGAAAAAAAAAATGCATGTTTAGGACTCAGTAAATTGTGGTGCTTGATTCATCAGCAAAATTTGACACTATTAATCAGTCCTTCTTCTGAAAATGCTTCTCTTGGCTTTCAAACCACTAAAATCCCTTGATTTCTTTCCTATTCTACTGGCCACTCATTGTCAGTCTTCCCTGCGGGTTCCTCTCCGCTCCTCCACCTCTTAATATTGGAGTGTCTCAGGGCTCAGTCCTCTTCGGCCTCCTCACTTCCTAACTTTAGATCATCTTAATCATGGTTTTAATTTCTTCTAGATGCTGATGAAATAAAAGTTTTTCTCTCCAGCTCCAATCTCTCTTCTGAACTTAAAAGACATTATAATCAACTTCTGACTCAGTACCTTCACTTGAATATCTGAGAGATATCTCAAACGGAATATATCTAAAAATGTATTCTTGGTCTCCACCTCCCACCCCACTACACACACACACACACACACACACACACACACACACACACACACACACACACACACACACACACAGGTCTGGGAATTTGTGCTGTTGGTTGAGTGATGTAATTGATTGACAGCACAAAAACAGTATATAGTACACAAAAGGCTCAACAGATTAGCTAAAGTGATACTTTTAAAATATAAGCAAATCAGGCCAAACCCTCCAATGGCTCCTCATTTTGTTTAGAGTAAGAACCTAATTTGCAAAGGCCCCATTTCAAAATGGTACCCTGTTACCTCTCTGACCTCATCTCCCACTGTTCTGCAATCATTCACACAGTTCTAGTAACACTGGCCAAGATGTTTCTTACCAAGTTAGGCTATCCTGCCTCAGGTCCTTTGCTCTCACTGTACACTCTTTCTAGATTATTCTTTCTCCATATATCATATGAATTGTGTTTTTAGTTTGTTTTAAGTCACCTCAGTGAAAACTAACCTGATCACACCCAACCTAGCCTTATGCCCCAATCCCTTTTACACACTTCTGGGATTATTTTCTGCATAAAAGATTCACCTTCTAACATATTATATGCTTTACTTATTTATAATGTTTACTTATATGTTTATTACTAGTCTTGCCCACTAAAATATACATTTCCTGAGGGTTTAGAGTTTGTCTGTATTGTAAATTGATGTGTTTATTGGACAGCACCAGAGTAGTGCTTTGTGTACAATAGGCTCTTCTGAAATATTTGTTGTATTAATGTAAAATGCTGATGCTGGGGCTATCTATTTTAGAAAAGAAAGTGTTTTATGTAAACATTGTTTGGGTGAGTGTGAAGCCATGTTGTCAATGGGAGGTCTGTTGCTATATTGTCCATTCCTTCTTAACCTCTTCTGAAGGGTGGAAATGAGCACACACAGAAGAGCCAGCCTTTGGAGCAGCTAGTAACAAACTGTTGTACTAGGAAAATGGTTGATATCCCGGACCTAGAAAAACAACAGCCCGTTTGGGGGTGAGGGTGGGGAGAGGAGTTTTCTCTTTTCTCTCCACATCAGTGATTTAACGAGTCTTGACAATTAAACACAAACCCTTGAGAATCAAAAGAAAATTAATTAGAAATGCTATTTAACACTCCTTTCTCTCACTCTATAAAAAAAGTACCCCTGTATAGTATAATCTGAAGACTCTTAGCAGACCAACAGTTCTGTTTTAATTAATTAGCTAATAGAAATCAGTATTTCATTATCCTGTCAGTCTTCTGTTTAAAAAAATGACCAGGCAGACATTCCTTTTAGACCTCAAACCACTTTTTAAAATAGTATTTTTAGGATATGTTGCATTTATGACTAGAAAGAGAGAAATATTCTTAAACATCCAAAATTTTGGAACACTAAAATGAAATGTGAATATATATTTGTAACTTTCTAATAACAGCTCTTTAATTTTACACAACTTGCTTACAACTTAAAATAAACTTTAAGGCCATAACAATGAATCATCTGAAGCATAATTATATGTAAAGCTTGTGAAATAAAATAAACAATAAAAATGTAATAAGATTATATTTAATAAATTACTTTTTATATATTCCTATCAAAATTGGGGAGAACAAAAATAAAGCAAGTTTGAAGTGTCTCTCAAAATTAGTAAATTTTTTTATTTAATAAAAACAAATACCTTACTTAATAAAACAGAATATTGTTTCCTAGCATTAAAAAAATAATAAAGCTATATATATTATATAATAAAGAGGGAATATGCTAATTGACCACCACACCCTCACAAGATAGAAGCAGCCAATCCCCTCAGCCCTGCCAGCAGTGAATTTTTATGCAACCATTACCTTTAAAAAAAAAAAATCCTTACCTAAGGATATGATTATTTCTTTTTGAAAATCGGTCTCGGGGAGCAGGCCTAAGTCAGCAGGTGGGCATCACCCAAGGGACCGTGCACCCCTTCCCCACATCCCCCCATGTGCATGAATTTTCATGCAGCAAGCCTCTAGTATAAATATATATATATCTCCATATATATGCATGACCTGTCACCTGGGCGTAAGAGCCCCTTACCTGTCCATAACCCCTTTGGATAATGATTGCATTACCATTCATGTGCTCTAACACTTTCCAGTAGACACTGCCGATAGTCCTGAAATCTTTAAAAATAATTATTTCAAATTGTTTAAATGCTACGAGGTCATCAAAGCTTATGTCCCAATCATTCAATTGACAAAAACAAACATATTGAGAGGGGCAGTCTGGCCCTCCCTTTGTAAAGAATATGGTGGAAATTAGAGGAGTTGTCACCTCTGTGGAGATAATCATATTGCAATATATACAGTAATAAAATTACACATCATGCACCTTAGACAACGTGATATGTTCATTATTTCTCAATAAAGAAAATCTTAATAAAAGAAGAAAACTTTCCAAACCATTGTCTGAGAGGCAGTCTCAAACTGGGGAGAAGGACATGCATAAAAGCGAGATTGAACAATTGGGCTATTTTCCTACATCAAAGTCAACCGTTATTGTGTAGGGAATCCAGGCAAATATCAAAGTTAGATACTTGATATGGCTAGATGAACAAACTGAATGCATGTGTAAGTGAAAAGATTTAGGAGCAATAAGTGATATTTGCCCAATCTGAAAATGAGCTCAGTTTGTGTCCAATATTAGGTCTGACCTCAGGATTTGAGACATTGAAGAGCACATTACATAATTTTCTCAAATAGACTGAAATGAATCAAAACTTATCCATAGAATATATCCAATGTTTATATAAATGATTGTTATCCTTACCTGTATATTTTCTTTACTAGTAAGAGGTTTTCCTGAGTCAAATGGTTGAAATGTCTGTCAACATACAAAGCATTAACATTAGAAACAAGAATACTGAGTGTTCTTTTAAATAAAACTGTTAATAGTACTACACATGCTCTAGTCAAAGACAAAATAGTAGAAAGAAGTAAAAAAATCACAGAAAAATAAACTTTTTTAGGTTGTCAATGTGAATATTTTGGTGTCTTTTCTTTTTGATATACTTAAAATTTTAAAAATATTTTATTGAATTCAGAAAGGAAAGGAGAGGTGAGAGATAGACAGAAACATCAATGATACAAGAGAATCACTGATTGGCTGCCCACAACCCAGGCATGTGCCCTTGACCAGAGTTAAACCAGGGACCCTTCAGTCCACAGGCTGATGTCTATACACTGAGCCAAACCAGTTAGGGCTATTTTAAATTTTTATAAATGGATCTGTATTCCTTTTTACTAAACATTATATCATAATTGCTTTCCTACACCATTAACTTATTTGTAAGCTTTGGTCTAATAGCTAGGCAATGTTCTATCCTATGAATGCAGCAGAATAACCTATTTCCTCTTGTTAGACATCTAAAGGGACCACTTCCCACCCTTACCCCACCATACGGCTCTATTTAAATAACATTAATGACTATTTTTGTATTTCTGATGATCACTTTTGAAAAGATCCTCAGAAACAGAATTACAGGCTCATTAGATAAGAAGACATTGAGAAAACTAAAAATAAAAAAAAATTTTAAAAAAGGCTTAATTTATACTTCTCCCCATCCTATATAATAAAAGCATAGTATGCAAATTGACCCCTCAATCAGGAGTTTGACCAGGGGGCAGAGCTGGCCAGGGGAAGGGCAGGAGGACCTGGCCAGCAGCCACTAGGAGCCCTCCTAGTGCACAAATTTCATGCACTGGCCCTTTAGTGTTTTATGAAAATGCCAGGATTACTTCACGTTTAACAGCACTTAGTATTAGCCCTTAAAAATACCTTGGCCAGTTTGAGGTGAAATTATGTTAATTCTTCAGAATGACTCTTTGTAGTTCTTTTCTTTTTTTAGTGAATTACCTATTAATATGTTTGGCTTTAAACAAAATATTGCATTAGGAAATATTCAATTTATTTGTCACAGAAGATTGTGGTGTCATTGTGTTGGATGCATTTGTAGATGCCAATACTGATGTCCTGCTCATATCCCCTGGATCACCAGGAAGTCACCAGCAGCTTTTGTTAACAGGTAGCCACCTATGGAAAGTGTCCTACTTTATCTGTGCCTCTTTGCTGGAGGGCAATCCATGGCCACAAGAACATTCCAGAAGTATAGGGAACTGGTTTCTCAAAGAGTCCCAATTGCCCACAGCAGGGCCGTTCTTAAAGTTCCATAGAATGATCTTTTCTCACTTCCCTCTCGGGCCTTCTCACTCACTCACCATTCATTCTGGAACCACCTCCCAAACATACTACAGTATTTGCCCCCGAATCTTTGTCTCAGGATCTGCTTTTGCGGAACCACTAATCCAAGATTTCATATAGAGCTCTTATTAAAAGAAAGTGTTAGTAGTGTTTAAATTTTTTTTTTTTTTTGCTTTTTTGAAGATATTCTTCATCTCCTATAATACAATGAAAAGTGAGTGGATCCAGGGGGAAAACCTTGGTGATATAATTTGAAGAGAGTTGATGGGATTTTAGATTTGATGATGAGAGCAGAATATCAATGAATGGGATGTTAAAAGATATAATTTTTAAAAGCCTGTGAAAAATCCAATGATAGCTGAAACCAGTTTGGCTCAATGGATAGAGCATCGGCTTGGGGACTGAAAGGTCCCGGGTTCGATTCTGGTCAAGGGCATGTACCTTGGTTGCGGGCATATTCCCAGTAGGGGGTGTGCAAGAGGTAGCTGATCGATGACTCTCTCTCATCGATGTTTCTAACTCTCTATCCTTCTCTCTTCCTCTCTGTACAAAATCAATAGAATATATTTAAAAAAGAAAAGAAAAGAAAAATCCAATAATAATCTGTAAGACTTTTCAGACACAGCAGGTACTCAAATAAAGTCATTTCATTCAATGCCATTTCATTAACATTGATGAAGAAACAAATTGATCCCTAGTAGGGGTCATTGTCTAAGTGAAGTTTGCATGTTGTCCCCATGCCTGTGTTTTTTTTTTTTGTTTTTTTTCTGGGGTCTCTGGGTTCCTCCCATATCCCAAAGATGTGCATATTGGGTTACTTAGCATGTCTAAATTGTCCCAGTCTGAGTGAATGTCAGTGTGTAAGTGCACCCTGTGGTGGAGGGACGTCCTGTCCATGATGGGTTCCCATCTGGCACCTGAGCTGCCAGGATAGACTTCGGCTACCCATGACCCTGAATTGGATTAAGCAGGTTGGAAAACCATGACCTTACTTCTTTTTATGAATCTTTCTTACATGCATGCATAGTTCACAATTATTTTAATGGCCAATATTAGAAGTGTTTTTGGGTCTTTATAAGTTTGGTGATGTTTGGTTTTGTGACCAGAAATATGCCATAGGAAAACTGATCTTCCTTATATCAATTTTCTTATGATGAAATTGGTTTCATAATACATCATTGCACTTAAAGTTGCAATTTCCAAAAACCTCTCAATGACCTACTGTACTTTTATAACTGAAATCTAATTCACTAATTATTTCTTTAAATAACTAATAACATTGGCACCCATTTTAATTTTAAACCTGAACACAATTCCTCTTTTAATTATACTTTTTAAATTTCCAATTGAACCTGTAAAACTGTGAATTTTGAGAATACAAAATTTGAAGTCCCAATACACTGGGAGACAATGTACCCACACTTTTGCCTTATGATAAATAGTTGATAAAAATGAAATTTGGCATTTACCTGCCAACATTGGCTTCAGATTGTTTATTTATTTTAGTGAAAACAGTGACCATTAAAAATTCTCTCTTGTTTCTCATTCCACCCAACTGGCTTCTTTCTCCTTCTCTCACTCCTGGATTCCAAATGTGGATGACCCTAAGGGTCATTTGTCTGACTCCTACCTTTTTCATCTGCCTCAGTCCCTAGCTGATTCTATTCACTCCCATTATTGTAAATATCTATGCTAATACTCCAAAATTTACCTGAATCCCAAGCCTCTCCCCTGAATTTCAGATCATATATGCTCTGTACCTACCAACACCACATCCCTTCCTGTATGTCGAGCCAGGATCTCATACTCACTGTTCTACTCCTGCCACAGCAGTATTCACCATCTTGTGTTTTTGGTTTTTTAATATATTTTATTGATTTTTAACAGAGAGAAAGGGAGAGATATAGAGAGCCAGAAACATCGATGAGAGAGAAACACAGACCAGCTGCCTCTTGCACATCCCCCACTGGGCTGGGGATGTGCCCGCAACCAAGGTACATGCCCTTGACCGGAATCGAATCCACAGACTGACACTCTACCTCTGAGCCAAACCGGCTTCAGCAGTATTCCCCATCTTAGTTCATAAAAACGTCTTCCTACCAGTTTCTCATGTTGAACACTCTGTAGTAATACTTGATCCCTTTCTCTTGTATCCCACATCTAAACCATCATCCACAAATGCTGTGAACTCTGCTATTGCAAACTCCAGAATTAGACCACTTTTCACTTCTTACCCCAACCATTGTCATATCTCACTCAGATTATTTGCAAAGGCCTTTTAGCTGGTCCCCTCTTTATACTCATGCTTTTTCACAGTCTAGTCCCCAAACAGCAAGCAAGGTGTTCATTTGATATTCAATTCCTATCCAGTCATTCCTCCATTCAAAGCTCTGCAAGGTTCATTCAGAGTAAATTCCAGCCCTAACCAAGCCCTGTGAGGTCCTATAAGGCCTAGCTCTTGCATCCCCCTCCTCTTTTCTTCTTCCTTTCTATTCCAGCCTCACCTGTCTGCTTGTTTTTTTCCTCAACCACATCTTGCAGGAATCCTCCTCAGGGCCTTAGCTCCTCCTTCTTGGAAAGCTACTTTCTCAAATCTTTCACCCTCAAAACTCTCTTATTAGAGACTTCCCAAATCACCCTCAATAAAACAGCCACCCACTGCTCTGGACACTCTGTCTTCCCAACTCAGTTTGCCTGTCCTCACAGCACATCTCCACATGACATATATTTATGTGCTTAATATGTTTATTGTCTTCCTCACTGGACTGTCCAAGAGTAGTATGCCTCCAGGAAGGCTTTAATTTTCTATCTGTCTTTTTACTGTTCTATCCTCATGCCTGGAATAGTGCCTGTATTCAGTAAGCTCTCAATAAATATTTAACTAAATTAAAATATGATTTTAATAATAAAATATAAACTGTTTACAATAGGGGAAGGCTGTTGACTGAGAAGCAAGCATGAAAAAACTCTAATTTTACTGAGATAAGAAAATAATTGATTCATGCTACAGAAAATGAACAAAACCCAACTGATTCCTCAAAAGATAAATAGATCAATACATGTATACACACACACACACACACACACACACACACACACACACACACATACAAGTATCCTATTGCCTATTGAATGTCCTCTTAGGATTTTCTGTAGATAACCTCATGCTTACCATGTTACAGTAAATTATAATGCTGTACCTGTCAGACTAAGAAATAAGCAGATGCATTTTAGGGGACTATGCCGAAGTAATGAATTTATTATATATAAATATAATGTTATCTTAAGTAATTTTCAAGACTTACAGCCTATTCTCCGGTTTCTTTTAGGTCTTCCAAATTTGACTCCCACCAGCATTATCTATCAGTCTCATCCCTCCCACATACTGTTTCACCCAGGAAACTGACTTGTGACCTCCTTCTATTTCCTTTATTGCTGGCCCACGAAAGTCCAAGCATTTCCCCAAACAAGACCACCAGTGATTCCCAGATCACCATGAAAACTAAAGCAAAGGAAAGCAATAGTTCACTCTGATTTGAAGTAAACACCAGTATACATTTTTAAGGATGCCTCAATTATCTGATTTACAAATACAAATTAAGCAAGCCAGGTAAGACAATTCCCCAAAGACAAAAAAGATCAGACAAAATTGAGGAATGTCTTCTCACAGAAATCATAAGAAATTTAAAAAACATGTTTAACACTTTGGTATAAAGCATATAAGTTAAAAACATCCACACACAAAAAAAAAAAAAAAATGAGGAGAAACTGTTCTAAGAACATTAACCAGAAATTATAAGATTATTCCCCAAACTTAAGAGGTAGTGGCTAATAAGATGTGTCTACTGAAACCGTAATAACTATAATACGGAATTTTATTGTACCAATGTACTCCAAGTCCACACTCCCTCCCCCATGACACCCTTCCATTCCAGACAGATGACAGCCTGACAATAGCGATAGCCAGGCAGAACAGAGAGATCTGTTAGGGTCGAAGACTTATAAGCACACCTTTGTGGAATCATTCTCTGTATTTCAGGAAAGTAGCCTTCAAAAGGTAAAGAAATGGCTTTGAATCAAGTCAATAGATTTACCTTCACTTTCAAATACGCTTTAGGAGGGGTCGGGACTAGAGAAGGCATGTGCTTCCCATAAAACATCTGGGCTATCTCATGAAAGGCTTCGGAGAAGAATCTTAATTCTGTGAGGACTTCGATCTTTAAAGGAAAGGAAAAAAATGAGATTTAAAATGAAACAGTTTGTTTTACTTGTAAAATAAAAATTTTAGAATAAAATTATCAACTGAGATCCAAGATTTGTACTTAATGTTTGTAAAGTGTCAATGTTGGTAACATGTTAATAAATTAATGTTTAGAAAATATGGGTGATGGAGATGCACGTGTTAGTGTAGAAGGCACATGGGTGATACACCAAGAAACTAATAAACAACACAACAACACCAGGGGACTATTCAAAACAAAGGATGTTTTTACAAATGTGGCTACTGCTTCATTAGAGGCAAACACATAAAAATATGATAAGCCTGCAAGGATTAAAAAATAATTGGAGTTACCTTTATGTTTCCATGGTGAACCTCAGTTTAAAAGAAAAAACAAAACAAAAAAAACCACTCCTGATAGTCTCTCACACCCCAAGGAGAGTCAAATAAGCCAGGAGGTGAATGAACACAACATAGAGACAACCACTAATTTTCTTACCCATAATTAATGAGCACTGTAGATTTTAAAGACATATACTTAACAACAATAAGTGGTTGGTAACTATACATTGTATATAGTTTATTTTGAATATAACACAGCAGACCTTTCAATCAGGGAACTATAAGAAGAAAACAGTTATCAAATTCATTCATTCGTTTAACATGTTTATTGACAACCTCTTATGCATCAAACCCTCTTGGAGTTTACATATTCCATCAGGATGTATATTTAGCGAAATGTAAGTGATACATAATGATATATACACAGCATGAGAAGAGATTGAGGGTACTGACAAAAATGCTATCTTCAACACTGGGGTCAGGAGGAACTCCTCTGAGGAAAAGGTGTTTGAGAAAGGTTTGGGAATGATGTGAGGGAGAGAGAGACATGAAAATGTGCTAAGGAGACCTCAACAATAAAGGTCACAGGGGTCTTGGTGTGCTCAAGGAACAGCCTGTATGGCAGGAGCTTAGGGAGAAAGGGGCAGAGGGATGGGGGGTAGGTATGAATGATGGCCTGTGCACCAGAGTGGGGACTTGGGACTTTATTCTCTGGCTGCTAAGAAGTTATACCATGCAGGCCAGACGGGAATGGCAAGAAATATTCAAGGTGATGAAAAGCAAGAACCTACAGCCAAAAATAATCTACCCAGCAAAGCTATCACTCAGAATCAATGGCCAGATAAAGAGCTTCACTAAAAAAAAAAAAAAAAAAAAAAAAAAAAAAAAGCTAAAGGAGTTCATCACCGCCAAACCAGAATTATATGAATTGCTGAAGGGGGTTCTTTCAGAAGAGAAAGTAAACAAAGATAAAAATTATGAACAACAAATACATAACTATCAACAAGTGAATCTAAAAACCAAGGGAATTTTTAAAAAATCTGATTAACAATATTAACTGGTGAATATAAAAGAATCAGAGGTATGGAAGGGGAGTGAACTGACTATTCTGGGGGAAAAGGAGAGTGGGGTGTGTGGGAAGAGACTGGACATAAACTGTGCACCTATGGATGAGTACAATGGGGGTGGAGAAAGGGCAGAGGGTGGGAAGGGAACCTGGTGGAGGGGAGCAATGGATGGGGAAAAAATGAGGAACATTTGTAATAATGTGAACAATAAAGATTTATTTAAAAGAAGATGAAGGAGAAGGAGAAGGAGAAGGAGAAGAAGGAGAAGAAGAAGACGAGGAGGAGGAGGAGGAGGAGGAGGAGGAGGAGGAGGAGGAGGAGGAGGAAGAAGAAGAAGAAGAAGAAGAAGAAGAAGAAGAAGAAGAAGAAGCAGCAGCAGCAGCAGCAGCAGCAGCAGCTACTGCTGCTGCTGCTATAGGAGAGTTTGGACAGGGCAGGCCCTAAACTGACATATCTTGAGTGTATGGATTTTAAAGAAATAAAAAGAAGATAAGTTAGGAGAAATTAGATGTGACAATAACATGAACATAAAACATAAAAGGTCAGGAGGATATTTTCTTTTAAAAATTTTAATAGATTTTTATTGATTTCAGGGAGGAAGGAAGAAGGAGAGATAGATAGAAACATCGATGATGAGACAGAATCATTGATTGGCTGCCTCTTGCATGCCGCACACTAGGGATTGAGCTCACAACCCAGGCATGTGTCCTGACCGGGAATCAAACCATGACCTCCTGGTTCATAGATCAATACTGAACCACTGACCCATGCCAACTGGGCAGGAGGGTTGTTTTTTTTAAAAAATATTTTTTATTGATTTTTTTACAGAGAGGAAGAGAAGGGGATAGAGAGTTAGAAACATCTATGAGAGAGAAACATTGGCCAGCTGCCTCCTGCACACTCCCTACTGAGGATGTGCCCGCAACCAAGGTACAATCCCTTGACCGGAATCAAACCTGGGACCTTTCAGTCCAAAGGCTGATGCTCTATCCACTGAGCCAAACTGGTTTCGGCAAGGAGGGCATTTTTAATGGAGGAAACTTCTTGTTTATTGGGTTGCATATTTTGGGTCTTGCCCAAGACACTTTGGGCTCTAATCTCCCCAGTGTCATAGAACATCAAAGTAGGCATTCAGGAGTCACACTTCTCTGACTTATAGATAAATATTTTTCTCGTTGCCCCTTGGAGGGAACATTTCCTCTAATTTGTGTGAAGATACTCTTCTCTGGTCAGACTGCTGTACATGGACTACCAGTCTGACCACTCAGAAACACAATGGTGATAACAGTGGACATGTATTTACAGAAATGGCTAGTACTGTGAACATAAACAAGCCAGATGGGGGGGAAAAACTACCCATAAATAAGCCCTTCACTCACACAAATACTGATCTAACAATATCCTTTCCACAAATGTTGAGTGTGTTGAATAAAAAATCTGTCAAGATGTGGCAGTTCTAAAGTGGAGCCAGACTAGCTGATCATAAGGAGGTCTCAGAGCTTTCCCTGAAAGATGTTGGTGTATTACATAAACTTAACAGCATGATCTACTACTGTTTGATGTGTCAAAAAGCAGCTTCATTTGCTATTTCCTGAGACTCTTCCCACTCACCGACACCAGTTTACTCAGAAACATCAGGCAAACTCTGCACACACAGGCGGTCATTCCTTTCCTCCGAATGATGCAGCAGTTGTCCTTTTTCATTGCTTCTGGTAAAACCCTGGTTTCTTCCAATAAGACCCACTGTGTCTCACCCTGTTCTCTTCACACTATTCCCAGATACATCTGATCATGTCCTTCTCCTGATCTTGTCCTTCTCCTGATCCCCCTCCCACCCTGAGACTCCAGAATGGAATTTATAGTTCTTCAGTGGCTTTTAAGAGACTCTAGTACAAAAAGAGTTGTCCAGTGTCCTGTCAAGTTAACAAATAATCATTTAACCAAAAACTGTTCTTTCAGTGCCTCTCTGCATCTCTTTCTGACATGTTACTAATGGTCACTGCAACCAGAATCAAATGGTTACCCCCTCGCCTCTTTCCTTCTACTACTCAGACTCCATAGTATGTCCCAGTTGAACTCAAGCCTGGGCCCCTGGTTTTCTCCATGTCATGGACTTTGGTACCCTCACGTTATTCTCTTCTCCAACCTCCCTACTCAGAACCTCCAGTCTAACTTGAACCAGCCCTGTGCCTAAGCAAAGCAATACTTCCTCACCTCAACCTTTCACACTACTGTCTGCCAAGAATCTTCCCTTCCTCCTCTCTCCTATTCAGTTAGGTCTACTCTTTTCAAGCCTAAATCTTATCTACTTTGTGAAAGATAGAGATTCAAAGCCGTCTTCCCCTCTTTCGAACTCCTGGAGAACATTGCTCATCACACTCATTGGGAAATGGTTAGTGGAAGGTGCACACGTTACTGTTTTGTGTGTATGTCTTGTCTCTCCTCCTTGTTTTTATGTCCCTATAAGCAAGGGCCATTGGGTTATACTTCTTTGATTAAAGTAGCTGATATGGTGCTTTTATATAAGAGGTCTTCAATAAATGTTGTTTCCCAGGTGAATCAATACATATTTACCAAGTACCTTCTAGGCGAATTTCCACTAAACACTAAGGAAAGTGTGGTCAGTAGGCATTTGATAAATGCCTATAAATTTTAAATTCAATTCAATTATTAATTACTGAATATCAAGTATATGAATTTATTTCCCAAGACATCATACAGGACTAAAAGGTGAATAAATACAGGCCCTAGCATTAAAAAAATGTGGCAGTCTTTAAGAGAACACTGTTTTTTTTTATGAAAAAGTTGTATGCAGGTTTTTGTTAAGTGTTATTGAAATTCAAAAGCAGGATAACTCTTAGTAATGGTGATTCAGAAATTACCATGGCTAATAATGAATTCTTTATTCCAGAATTAAAATAGATTATCTTAATCAGCAACAGCATTCCTCTTAGGCAAGGTATTTCCTCTATTTAGAAACAGAATGTTATGGACTATTTGAGTCTGAAAATATAGGCCCAAGGTCAGGGTCTGGATGGAAAGAACAGTTTAAAGGGAATTCTAATTTCTCCTCATTAGAAAACAGGAAAGATTTGAGAAGAATAGAGGGCATTTCCAAAGAAGAAGGAGGATTAAGTCAATAGTATGTAGAGCCCTCCTACTCACAATTACAAGAGCTTACTGCAGGTCTTATCTCAAATTCATGTTCAGTAATGCCCAACTGGTAGCTAACATCAGCTATAGTGGGAGTACTTACACCATGGAAATTTTAAGTGCTACAAATCAGAGCTTTTTTTAGAGTGAGTTGTGAAACATCTGCTGGCACACAGCTAATCAAGTTATGGGCTGGGAGGCAAAAGAATGAGATATTGGCCAAAAAATATTTTAAGCTCTGAGATGTCAAATATTCTATTTCTAATTGATTGTTTTGCCTCATCTTAAATTTTCCAGTGTTCCCTATTTTCAGTAAAGTCCAATCCTATATAATAAAAGCTCAATATGTTAAATGTCCAGTCATCCATTCAACCAATCAAATCTTAATATGCTAATGATTTGCTAAGGCTGCTCAACTGCTTGCCTTGATGTGCACTGGTCACCAGAGGTCAGATGCTCTAACCAAGAGGTTAGCTTGCTGCTGGGGTCCAGCCAATCAGTGGGGTCCCTTGGCCTAGCCTGTGCCCTCTCACAATCCAAGACCCCTCAAGGGATGTCTGAGAGCCAGTTTTTGCCTGATCCCACAATCCAGGCCAAGGGACCCCACTGGTGCACCAATTCATGCACCAGGCCTCTAGTACAGATATAAAGGCCTTAGATAAAGTGTGTGTGTGAAACATGGAATAGTGTTGAATTCCATATCAGAGATGAGGACATGCAGAAGAGGGAGCAAATGTCCTGAATGTTGAGATAATCCATTTACAAAACAAATTCAACAAAAGTGGGAGCTTGTGACCATAGTTGATGGGAAATGGGGCAGAGAGAATGAGATGCTAGAGGTTCCCACTCCACATGGAGTTCAAGCCAACTGCACATGAACCCTGAAGGCTGAGAACCTCAGCAGACTCCTAGGTTCCATAGTTAAATTGTAATTTAGTCTGTGTGTTTTGTCACTTCAAGTTTCTGAGCAATTAAAAATCCTGTGTACCATAAGATACATAAAGATCCTTAGCAAAAGTTACACAGAAACTTCAGAAAACTGACTCATTAGTCTCTATTCTTGCAGTAAACCAATGCTTCAGAAATGGTGATCTCTAGACTGACTAGTATTGGGCAAGCCTTGTTACTAGGTGTAGCTGTTCCTCACTTTACTGGGGCCCAATGTAAAGTCATTTAAACCTTTCTAACTGGCTCTTTCTCATACTTTATTATAATAATGGGCAAGTTTTTTTAATATCAGTATATCATATTATTCCTAATTAATTAATACTTATTATTATGAGTATTAGCACCAAATTAATTCATGGAAATATCTTTAACAGTTCAAGAATATCAAATGTTTTAAAAACTTGTAACATACCTTGAGGATTCTTACTTCTAGATTTCTGACCAAGTCTTGGCAAATTGCAGCAACAAAATATTGGTACAATGCAAGGAGAGGCAGAATCTACCAACAGAAAAACAAAATGTATTTTATCAAGTTAATAACCGAATAATAAAATTTTGCCAGGTAGTGTAGGAGATGTTGTGTAAAATGGTCATTGCTTTTTCCATGCAAGGAACTAATACTGTTTTATGTAAGTAAAATGTGCTTTTTAGCATATGCTTCATAATTTTATCAGAACTTAAATTTCCAAGTACATGCTGCTTGGTACACAAACCCAAGGCTACACATATATTCCAAAAGTAAAAATTCAGTTAGTTATCTTCCTTGAAAAATTAATTCATCATCTATGTATGAATCACTGAGGCCTGTGGAAACACTCTAGATTTGTTAGACCTACCAAATAAATACCAAATTTAAAGCAAAGGAACTCACATCCATAGCCCCTGATAGTGCCTACTTGTTCATCTCAATGTCAGCAGCAATTTGTCTTCTAATTAGAATGTCTGTATTGAAAACTAATATTTATCACTTGCCTATTCTATGGAAAGCACTGTTGAATAAGAAAAAAATATCTAACACATCACTGCCCTCACAGAGTGTATAGTCTACTGATTAAAACCCAAACTTACTCTTCACATAATGTTTTTATTGTCCTAGAATTAATCCCAAAGTTCAACTCTTCCTGAAATTTCACAGGTATACATTAAGGGTTCAAGACTATTAATATTTTTTTCAGACTATCAATATTTCAATTTACCTAGCCACTGCTAGAGACTAGTGTCGAAAGGACAGTTTTGCCTAGACTTCGGAATAGCTTCTCCAGATCTCAATTCAAAACTGAAGCTCACCTTGGGTCCTACAATTTGATTCCAACAACGTGGGTCCTGCCCACTAAAGGAAGACTGAGCAAGAAGGATCATTAGGACGCCTATTAATTAGCAAACTATTTCCCATGAATCCACAACAATGGGTTCCAGAGCAAATTTTACAGGCTCCTTAGCTACCTACTTTCTGGAGGGTAGTGTCACACAAAATGAAAACTGTTTAAGTCCTGAAAGTTCAGCCAAGAAGATTCTGTCAGTCCACTGACAGCTGCTAATAGCAACTGCTTTAAAAAGGATTAGAACTGATCTTAAACATTTAAACAGTACACAACACAATTTTCTACAATTACACAATAAAAACAACACAATACCTTTTTTCCCCCCACAATTAATACAGCACAAAACAATGAGTTGGCTATTACCTTTGAGATTTTCTTTTCTTTAGTGAGAAATAAAACCACAACATTATTGCTGCCAATTGCTCAATTATTCAGAAAAATGTTCTCAATTTCTTAAGCTTCAGAGGGACAAAAAGTCTTATTTCTTTTCCAGTGCAGTGATATGTAGTATATATGAGTGTGACTAGGCAGCTAAAGGTTACCCAGGGGATAGAACTGTTTTCTAGATCCAGAAATGAATCCCCTTAACAATGGGAAGAGTACCATTTTGTTATTTTTTTCTAATAAACAATCTCTTGCCAAATATGCAAATGTTAAAAAAAAAAGCATTTATCTACCTTTACACTTTAACACATGACTTTATAATTTAACAATTCATACCAGGGAGAAATAAATATTTTCAATACAAGGAGAGAGAGTGAATTTAGAACAAGGGAATAGAAAACAATACATGAAAAAAAAGAAAGTAAGTATGAAAATTATGTAAGCGGAACAGAATAGATATTAAGAAGCACACAAGAGGAAAAAGATAAAAAAAAAAAAAGTGGAGAAAATAGCATATAGGAGAAAAATGGGAATAAAATAAAATCAAGGAGGAAATATTAAATGACCAATAGTTAAAACATTCTAACTTGTTTAAAAAATATAATTACCTTCAAATTTATGACATATACATATTGTGGTTTATTTCCTTAAAGGAAAAATAGAGTTGTTTTGAAATTTTTTAAATTTCCTGGGATATTAAGAAGTATCTGTCTTTTCTTTCACAGACTAAGTTGTTTACTTAGAATACACCCTTACCAGAGAAAAGACAAGTGACACAAAGCTAAATTACTTATTTATCTCAATAAGTAAACTGCCTCATAATTTGGGTACTGATGTGATCTGTATGACAATGTGTTGAATTACATATGTACTAGATTCTTCTGTTTGAGACTTGTGAACCATTCTAATCCATTTCACCAAATATCTTAAGGGGAAAAAAGGTAAACTAGAGTAAAAAGAGAACAAAATCAAATAAACACTGGTTTTGAATCCAAAAACAATCCAAATAATGATGTCAAAGAATCTCAATTAATATATTTTATTTTGAAGTACAGATAAGAATCTTGAATACAGAGATTAAAAGTTAAAGAAGAACTGACCAAAATATTAACAAATTTTGAAAAGTATAAGGTAAGTGGTCATAAAATAAGGCCACAGCAAATTAAGATTTGTTGATTTTGACCAATTACTTACGATTATGTTTTGCTTAGCAAAGTGCAGCTCGCGTATTACAAAATAGAGACTGGCAACTACAGAGCAAATATTAGCCCGGTATGGATCTGAGAAGAGCTCGATGCCTGGGAGAAGCTGAGTGATTTCATACTGAGCATAGCAACGTTCAGCTTTAGGATGTGGAAGTGTGGTTCTAAGCAAACCCTGAAGATGATAAAAGGTGAGACAAAAAGCTGTATGTAGCATTGGCAATATGACACAGAAAGACAAGTATAATACATGTATTACTTGCTAAAATGCTTAGCATATGCCTAGCACACTCTACTCTGTAAAAAAAAAAAAAAACAGCACCTGTCATCAATGTTATCTATATCAGCAGAGATTCCAAATGCTTTTAACACTCAAGATGTTGCCTTTGAAAGCCCATGGTAATTGGATACATATTATTTTCAGAAGAAATTATCATTATATTGTTATCATTTGAGAGGGACAATTTTGCATTAGGCATTATGGCAAATTCTTTATAAACACTATCTTATTTAACCCTCATTTAACCAACCCCTAGCAGGATTATTATCTCACAAATGAAACAATGAGGCTTAAACAATTTACCTGAGGTCACACAGCTAGTGGGGGTAGAAAGAACATTCAAAGTTATATCTATTTAATTCAAAAAATGATGTTCTTTTTACTTTACCAACCTATAAGTACAGGAGGCAACAGCTTATTTAAAAAATCTAAGTCAAGTAGAGGTAATTCTTAATTTTTACTGAGTTAATTGAAAAGGTGATTTAGTTTATTTGACCAATATTTCTTAAGTAACTTATTTGACCAACATTTTCTAGATGTTGGGAAACAAGATGAATACACAAAAGCAAATTTTATATTTAGGAGTGCTTCTTATATTACCTTAAAAAATTAAAAACTTCTGAGTGACAAATGCATTTAAAATTATTTTATGTAAATACTGGAAAGAACTTTCATCAGATTATTAATAAGGTAACTATTCTAAAATGTTAGGCAGTTGCTTAAATTTTTAGTCTTATAAATTTGCTTTAAAAACATAAAAAGAATCAAAGGATAAAAAAATAAATCCTGCCAAATTTAGGTGCAGTATTATCAAGAAATATGTCAACATTAAGCAAAAACTGACATTTATTTTTAAATTACAGATGGCCTTTGAATTGCATGTAGAGGGCTAACTACATACACTGATGTATGCCAATGTATGTATTTATACAGGGATTTGTGCACCCATCGAAGTTACTGTCTATGGGGAAATCAATCCCCCATGGATACCGAGGGGCAACTATGTTTTGGGGAAGTAAGGACTTATACACACATTCTCGACTATGTAGGGTCAGCATGCCCCCAATCCTTTTGCTGTTCAAGGGTCAACTGTACTTATTTTCTAAAACTTAAACTGCATTACTTTTGAGAGCAAGGAGTGGAATAGGTAAAGGATGCAATAAGTGGAGGCGAAATCAGGTTATTGTTCCCTTTACACCCTTGCCTCTTCTCCTTCCTCCCTTTGAAGCTCAGGCAAGAGGTGAACAGAACATAAGAAAATTGAAAATTCTGGCCTTACATCCAGAGACACCTTTTCCAAAGATCTTATCTATACAGCTGTCATATCAGACTCCTGTGATACACAGAACAAGGCACCCATACTTCAAAGTAAACAGAGCCTTCAGTACATTGCAAAGGCCCCGGAGACATTCTTGAATCTGAAAATGTCTTGTATTTCAGATAAAAGCTCCTTTTTTCTCCAGTAAAGTCAAACCCCAATCCTAGGAACTGCAAACACTCCTCATGCTTCTGTGGTCTTCAACCTACTTCTTGCTTTCATTACATAGTATATTTGATATCTTGGAATCCAGCAAAACTTTATTTAGGGATGAGGTAATCTAAGGCAACCAGACCAACTTTGCTGCTCACAGGCAACGTGATCTTAATAACAACCTGAGTCTCAGTTTCCTTATCTGTAAAACTCCTTCCAGAATCCCAAGGGGAAGACAGAGTCTGTTGGATACTAAAGGTGAAAGCAGCAAATGGGGGTTCAGCGACAGAAGGAAAGATGGGCTTATGACATGTAATCAATCTTAATGCTATTTCCCTACTTGGACATTTCATGAATATGATAAACTACTGCCCTTATTATTATTAATTTTTTTTACTGAGTAAATGGTGATGCTACTGTGGAAAGATAGACATCAAATATTACCTGAAAGAGTAATGCAGACAAAATGCAACAGTTGGTTCTCTTCTCAACATCCAACACTTTAATAAATCTAAATAAGTATAAGAAAAAGAAACCAATTCATAGATAATTTCTCAAAAATATTCTTATATATATAAATACATCTCTCATATTCACAAACTTTCCAAAATTAAAGTAGCCTTTGTTATTTGAAAGGTGCTACATACTCCTATAAGATCTAGAACATTAAGAATGATTTAAAAAATTAAAAAATCACCTATAATCCTACCACCTAAACATTGATTAGTGGCAACATTTTGGCCCATTTCCTTCCAGATATTTTTCTAGTTATAAACACACATATTAAGACTAGAATTATGCAATACATATAACTTTATAAACAAATCTTTGTGCATTGACATAATGAGCCACATTATTACTTTATAGAACTTTAATATTTTTTATCTTATGAACATACCACGATATAAAAGATTCATACCATTTTCATCCGTTCAATATTGAGGTAAACACTGTGGTATCTATCAATACATATTTGAGCACTTGTCCTATTAGTTCTACAGAATAAATCCCTAGAAGTGGAATTTTGGGGGGGAAAGGGGTTACATAATTTTAAAGTTTTTAATGAGTATGGTTACATAATCCTTCCAAAAACTGAAACAGTGTGTTTCCTCACCAGGAGTATATTATGCACACTAGTAAATCTCTCCACCAAAGATGAAGATAATGCCTCTGAATTTACTGCTGTCTCATGTTAAGTCCAGTAGAAGAGTTTGAGTTTCTTTTCATGTGGGTCTTAAAATCCACAGCTAAAGCTATAAACCACATTACCTTCTTCTAAGCCTTAATTTAGATAAAAACCAGCTGGTTTCACCATATTAACTATATTAATTAATTAAGATCTGAGTTCAGCTTCTCCATGTGGATATTCGGGTGTGGGGTTTGCCCTTCTGAGCCATGGGGAGAAGTGTCTCCTCTACTCAGGGAGTCTCTGAGAACAGCCAAGGCCCCTGGAGTATCATCTATCCCATGGAAGGCAGACTTGCAGCTAGACAATTGAAAATGACTTCCTGTTGTTGAAAATCAGTAGATAATAACTTCAGGGGCTCAGAGAAGCCGAGGTGCCCAATGGCAGGAATGCAGCAGCAATTCTTTTCCAAGCCGTGAATCTTTCTCAACCTTTCTCTTCTCTACTGCCAAGTTCTACTAAGTCACAAGCTCAGACTTGTGTAGGGATTGTGTGTGTGCATATGTGTGTGTGCATGTGTGTGTATGAGTTCTTTTCCAGGAGTGCAAAACAATCAAACTTCACAACATTGTTTAAAATGTTTAATACATTACTGCTTAATACTTTTTAACTAGGTAATATCTTACCTCCCCTGCCAAAGGCTGCTAATTTTCTTAAGACGATGTGATTTTTAACTAGTTATTCTTTTTAAAAAATTGCTTTACAGCTCAAAGTACTATGCAGGTTTTTGCCCACCACATCACACCCTATAGGTAAACAATAAATGTAATGTAATTGAAAGGTGAAAGATACCTGTACCCATAGCCCTCCATACTTTTTAAAAATATTGAACACTTCTTGAACTTGCTTGTCATCCTTGTGCAGGAGCCATGCTAAGCTTCTGTTTTGTTAGTATATATGTGCTGCCGAAGTGAATACTGTTCCTTCTTTTTAAGTTTTTCATATTAATCAAATATTTAAGACATTTGTACCTAGCCAGTGTGGCTCCGTGGTTGAACTTCTTCTATATACTAGTAGGTCATGGTTCCATTTCTAGTCAGGGCACATACCTGGGTTGCATGCTCAATCCCCAGTGGGGGGTGTGTAGGAGACAGCCAATCAATGAATTCTCTCTCATCATTGATTTTTCTATCTCTCTCTCCTCCTTTCCTCTCTAAAGTCAATATACCAGTAAATATACTATATATTTTTTAAAGAAAAAAAAGTACTTCACAAAGTCGGGATACTGCTTTTTCATGAATATACTGATATACTACCAACCAGGGAAACTGGTTGAGTATCATAAGGATATCGTGGGGCGGGGGGGGGGGGGGAGATATATGTGATGCTACCTGGGTATAAGGCATCAGGACAAACTTTCACATGTTATGTGATAATGGGCTGAATAACAGCCCCCATGTCCTAAAATATCCATGTCCTAATTCCCAAAACCTACTAACACATTACCTTACATGACAAAAACTAAAAGACTTTGTGGATGTCATTAAATCAAGAACCTTAAAATGTGGTTATCCTGGATTATTTAGAGGGAAGCTATTAGCTTATTGTGCAGATCATTCCATTATCACACTCACTGGGCTATCTTTGCCGATATTTCTGCCCCTTGCAGACACCCCCAAATGCCAACTCTGGACAGGAATTCCCCACTGTAGTCTTTGGTACGTGGAGGTGAACAGCTGTTGGTGGCACTGGTGACCGAGGTACCCAACTCTTTCCATGTATGCAACACATCTTGTTTTCTGAATATGTCATCAAGAGCTTGACACCAGCATTTAAAAGCAGCCCTACAACAGAAACATAGCATCGAGCATTCCATTTTCTGAGACCTATATTATTAAATATTTCCAAAAGGGAAGGTGAATACACTGAAGAAACATTTTAAAACCTATACCAGCCCTAGCTGGTTTGGCTCAGTGGATAGAGCGTTAGCCTGTGGACTGAAGGATCCCAGGTTTGATTCAGGTCAAGGGCACATGCCTGGGTTTCAGGCTCCATCTCAGTAGGCAGCATGCAGGAGGCAGCCAATCAATGATTCTCTATCATCATTGATGTTTCTATCTCTCTCTCCCTCTCTCTTCCTCTCTAAAATCAATAAAAATAATTTTAAAAACCCACACCATTTGTGTATTATGTATTTATAACCATTTCTCCTAAGTAGCTTTTGATGAATAAATGTTGCAATGTAATATTATTGAAGAACTAGAAATTACGAAAGACAATATTTTTTCACAATTAAAATTTTTTTTCAAACGAGGTTTTCTCTCTCGTTCTGTAGACTCCTTTAAAAAAAATCTACCTTTTCTTTCCTGCGAAGATAAGAAGATTTCCAAGTTGATGCAATGCCTGAACTTTAAGACTTCTTTGATTGCTGGCTTGGAGAACATCTGTATTTTAATCAAGAAAAAAGAACAAAGATCAGTTCCTGAAAAAGATTTCCTTTGTATCTGCAAGAACATTTTAAATTATATTATTCTTTAATTGTGTACAGAAGCTAACTGCACGCCAAATGTCACCTGATATATACGTATATACAAAGAGAGTCAACAATAGTCTATTGGAACACTGTGGAGTGGAAGATTGGGTCTAACAACAGGTAAGAAACATGGAGAAAGTGAAAGAAAAGTCACACAGGTAGAAATGGTTAAGAAGAGAAAAGCAGAAAAGGGGTGCAAGGGAGAAAGGGGTGGGTATATATGGAGATGATATGTGTGGCTGGAGTATGGTTTTTCTGGGCAGGTGAAGAAGAAGGTTATGGTAGCGTTAAAGAGGCATCTGAATGCCTTGTGGGAAAATGTGGATGTTATTCTATTTTAGAAGAGAAGCCTTGAGCAGGGATGTGATAAGATTATAGCCTATCAAATTCTTCCTTTCACCCAAATGCATAAAAGCAAATATTTAATATCACCCAAATTTGAGGGGTGGGGATAGGGGCTGAGGGGTTCTGATGAACACATACTTTCAAGAATATGTGGCTAAAATACCCAACCAACTTAGCAATAGTTTCTAATGAGGCTGTACTTCCCCCTAGAGGTATTTTGGAAGTCTTAGGAAGGGTTTTGTTAGTTGTCACTATGGGACATCTTCTGGTATTCTGTAGGTAAAGATCAGAGACACTGGATGGCCTGCAAAGCACAGAACCTTCACCCACAGTGAAGAAAAAGGTGAGAAACCCATTTGCAATATTCTGAGTCTAATACCTAACTTCATCCTACAAAAAAAAAAAGGTACATGTGCATGTTTTTAAAATGCTCTGAATTTGCCAGAAATGCAAACACACACTGTGGCACTGTTTTGTTTAGAATTTTACCTAGGTTTACTTGCTATTTTAGAAAACTATGTCACCAAGATTAACATTCTGATGCCACGTGTCACCAGTATAACAACGAACCACTCAGCATTCGGAGCTGTGACATCCTTGTGATCCTGCACACAGGGTATGAGCCTCTGATTGCTTCACTGTGCTTTCCACTGCTTGAGTACTTACATACCAACAATAGGTTCATATATTGAAAAGCGACTTTATCCTTTATTTTGTACTTAAGAATTTCACATTGATTTTGGGGGGGAAATAATACATGCAGAAAGAATATATTAAATGTAAATTTTACACCAGAGAATAGAGGGGGGAATTGCAGAATGACTGCTTCAAGGAAAAAAAAGGAGGAGATGTTGGGTCTACAACATGGGTTGAGTATTTACTGCTGAATTTGTGAAAGACAAAGAAAGTAGAATCATTGGGGCAGAGCACAAGAACTTGACAGTGGCCACATCCTGACCAGTGGTTCAGAGATTAAGTTACTAAAGAGGGATGGGCAGAAGGGTGGCCTAGAATCTTGCAATGTGGCAGTCAGGCTGGGGGAAGTGGGCAAAAGGAGGTACTGGAAGCTTCTTGTCTTGACACTGTTCTGTCACAGTCTGCAAGGGTATGATGGATAGATTCTATTTTAGGCTCTTTCATCCCTTTTTTAATTCTATTTTTTAAAATAATATTTAAGCCCAGCCAAGGTGACTCAGTGGTTGAGCATCAACCTGTGAACCAGGAGATCACTGTTCCATTCCCCATCAGGGTACATGCCTAGGTTGAGGGCCCAATCCCCAGTCAGGGGCATGCAGGAGGCAGCCAACCAATGATCCTCTCATTATTGATGTTTCTATCATTCTCTCCCTCTCCTTTCCTCTCTGGGTCAATAAAAATATATTTTAAAAATATATTATTTCAGCACCAAATGTAATCTCCAAATGTCATGCAGGAGGTCATATTGAAAATAAATACACAATGAGTAAATCTTACCAATAGTTTCGTAATATGAAGAAATTACGAGTCCGAGCTGTGAATAGGGAAGTTTGCTTTTCTCCACTGAACTGAAAACTCTGAAGTGTTCCTGAGAAAGGTCGGGGGGTGTGGGCATGTGCATCTCTTCCGTCCCCAGGCAAAACTGCACCTTTCCAGTAGCAAATTTGGCATTGTTTATTCCTTTATCTCCTACTCATAAAGAGAATGAAAAAGAAATTTAAAATGGAAAAAAGAAGGGAAGTTGATGGTGAAGAAGAAGGTATAGAAATGGAAAGGGAGGAAAGAGGAACGATTTTTTATGTAGCTGAGACTTATTTGCAGGCTGGGGACTTAGTTTCCTTAAATTTACTATCTATAATCATTTTTAAGAGAACACATGTGTGTGGATGGGCTCTGTGCTCAAGCTACTTTACAGTTTTACCAGAATGTAAATGTTGAGATAATGCTTTGCTTCTCATGGGGATTGGTGGAAGTTATACCACTGGGGTTTGCCCCCTTTTTAAGAGCTTCCAAGAGTAAGATGTGAGTTTGCCTCTGGGCAGCAACCTCTATGATAAAAGAAACTCTTAGGTAGTCCTGCTTAGGTCCTGTATTCTCATACCTATGGCCTCTTTTATGGAGTCAATCCATCTCATATTTGGTCTTCTCTTTTCCTTCTGTATTCTATTTCCCCAGGATAGTGTCTTTCCCAAAGAAGCCTATCTTCTCATGATGTACTCAAAGTAGAACACGTTTTATTTTATTTGTTTATTTATTTTTGCCTCCAGCAATGTTTCAGGCTTAATTGACTTTAGGCCCTTCTTGTTCATCTTTTAGGCAGCCCAAGGTATCTATAGAGCTCTCCTTGAACACCATATTTCACATGAATATTTGACTCATCTTTCAGTATTTCAAATGAACATTTTGGTACCAGTTAAGATTCAGAGTGAGTTGATATACACCATTCTTAGGAATTTTATTTCCTTTTTTATGTTTATTTTTAATAAATTTTAAAAATCACTGTCAATGTATGCCACAATTGAAAGACCTTTAAACATAATGTAATGTGAGTTCACTCAATGTAATGTGAGTCTGTGGACAGTACAACTAAAATCTGTAGATAGATTTTTTCAGAGGGCAGCAACCATATATGTGTGTGTGTGTGTGTGTGTGTGTGTGTGTGTGTGTGTATGTGTGTGTGTGTGTACATATATATATGTATATTAGATGTACAATCAAAACATGAACAAATATTATTTTTGTATCCCCTTTACACAGGGAGTATGGTAGTTTCACGGGAAGCATAAAGTAGATGAGACAGTGCCTTGGTTAGCATAAAGAGAGAGATGATGTGCTCCACTAGGCAGGAAGAAAGTGCAAGGCAGCAGTGAGTGGGCTTGGAAGTGGAGGGAGGAGGCACCTGTGGCAGGCAGATCTGCAGGTGGCATCCCCACCTAAGTAATGACTAAGGGATACAGAGCAATTATTTTTACCTTGTGTCTGTGCAAGAAATAGTGAAAGCAACTTTCTGCTGTGTCGGATTGATCTGTTGTGATACCTGGACTTTTCCAAAGTCTCTCTAAAACATCTCAACGTATCTGCCACATCCACAGGCACAGAGAGGAGCCCTTTGGCGTAGCCGTATTCTGAAAGGAACAGGAAGAGTAACGCTCATGATGAAATGCGGCAGCAAGTGAACTAGTAGCAAAAGACTAATTCAGATAATTTATTGGTCCCAAACTAAAGATGCTAAATTAAAAGCCTCCAGGTATGTAGCAGATATTTCAACATTAAGATAATTTTTTCTGTATGTTTCAAATTTTTTTAAAATATATTTTATTAATTTTTTACAGAGAGGAAGGGAGAGAGATAGAAGCTAGAAACTTCGATGAGATACATCAACCAGCTGCCTTTTGCACACCCCCAACCGGGGATGTGCCCGCAACCAATGTATATGCCCCCGACCGGAATCGAACCCAGGACCTTTCAGTCCACAGACCGACACTCTACTGCTGAGCCAAACCGATTTCGGCTAAATTTTGTGTGTGTGTTTTTGTTTTTTTTTAAAAAAAAAAACCTTAAAAATTTTAATTTTTATAAAAAACAAAACAAAACCCACACATAAACTTTAGATCCTGTCAATTTTTCTTAGGAAGCCTACAAAAAAATAAAGGAAACAAAATTGCCTGGAGATGGGCAATTGCTCTCTTTAGAAAAGGAAAGGACACTTTCCAATACAGGAACAGAGGCAAGGAAGATGAGGTCATAACAGAATATGATACCAACAAACAGTCCTGATAAATAGAGTTGCTATAAGGTCTCTGGAGAGGACGTGACCATCCAAAACTTAGGCTGCAAAAAAATATGTACATGAAGCAGACACACACATACACATACACAAAACAAACAAACAACAACAACAACAACAAAAACCAACAACAACTAAAACAAGAAATATAGGCTTCAGACAGAGTAACAAAGAATTTGCTTCTTTAACAAGTTGAATAGTCGAAACACCCCCTGCAAAATCTGAGGTACTGAGAGTACTGCAACTTTTAGGGAATGCAGCTATAAGAGTTTACAGGTTAGCTCAAGAGATGAAACATCTAGCTATCATGTTCAATGACCACCAAGGAGCAGACACTCTGACCAGTAACTATGACACACACTGACCTCCGAGGGACAGACGCTCAACACAGGAGCTGCTGAGCAGCAGTGAATTGGCAGCTGCAGTTCTTGAGTGGAACCAGACAGGAGGGAGCCCGATTCTGGGATGTGTCACCGGAGAACACCTTCTCGCAATCCGAGACCCTCGGGGGATGTCAGAGAGCCAGGACAAGGGACTCCACCATCCACTGGACCTCTAGTTCTAAATAATTTACCTCGATAGTCTCATCAAATTAAACTCAACCGTAAGAGGTAGGATGAGGAAAGAAGACATAGAAAAGTCTAGTAGCTTCCCTCTGGTCACAGAACCAGCCGTGCAAAGAGAAATATGGCAGCAGCAGTAAGGGAGGTGATTCGGTCACAGTGAGAAGCCATGGCGAGTCCTCTTGAACAAAGAAAGGTTTGCCAGGGGCCTGAAGCCCTCACTGAGTTAGTGCTCTTCATCTTCTTTACTGGGGAGCTGAGCCAGGGTTTTGAGGAGGACCCTGACAGGAAGAAAGTGATGCTTTAGGAAGAGTCAGCTGACAGTTGTATGGACAGCAGACTTTAATAGAAGAAGGTTGGTGGCTGAGTGACAGCATTGTGTGATTTGAACTTGACAAAGGTAGTAGCAATGTGAACAAGGGAGGGTCACAGGGAATTTTCCATTGTTGAAGCAACAGGAAGAGTAGTTAAACTGGCTATGTGGGGGAAAAGAAAAAAAGTGGGAATTACCTATTTCCTCTCTTTTTCAGGGCCAATGATCTTGCTTCTTACCTCACTTGAAAAAACATGAAACAATCTAAAGGGATTTCCCACAAGCCCCCATCAGTATATCCACCCATGCCTATCTACATCTCAACAGCATCCCTCTTGCAGTTTTCCTTTCCCCAAATCATTAATTTTCCCTCTGATGAATATCTCCCATAGTACATTTTGCTGTTTTATTTTTTCCCTGATTCAAAAAGAAAATTTAAAAATGTTATGTTTACTGCAGCATTATTTACAGTAGACAAGACAGGGAAACAACTCAGATGTCCATCAACAAATGGATGGAGAAGGAAAATGTGGTGTATACATACAATGAAATAAGAAGGAAGGAAATCCTGCCATTTGTGACCATATGGATGGACCTTGAAGGTTTTATGGGAAGTGAAATAAGTCAGACAAAGAAAGGCAAATGCTGTATGACCTCACATGTGGAATCTATATAAACCAAACACATAGATAGGTAGAATAGACTGGTGATTGTCAGGGGTAGGTGGGGATGTGCAAAATAGGTGAAGATGGTCAAAAGGTAAGATTTCCAGTTATAATTTCTGGGGCATGGTGACTATATTTGAACTTATAAAAAGTAAATACTTTAAAAAATAAAAAAACAAAAAAACAAAAAAATAAAAAACCTTTCTTTTGACTCTACTTGTACTTTCCCCTCAAAGTACCATTCTATTTCTCTAAACCATTTTTTACAACAAAACACATTAAAAAGTTCTGTATTCATTGTTTCCCATTCACTCTGGAACTCTCTTTAATCAGACCTCCTCATCCCCATCACTCTACCCCAAAGTTCTTCCATGTGGCTAACTGTAATGTTCAATTTTTAGACTTTACCTCACCTCTGACCCTTTATCTTACTACTCTCCTCCCTCCCTCTCACACCAGGCATGCTGATAAGTGCTCTGTTGAGCTTCCAGGCCTGATCCTCATTTGTGCCCTTTCAGGTTGGACTCTCCGCTAACCTTATAGCACCCAAGAAAAAGTATGCTAGATATCAGTGGTCATGAGAAGATACTTTCTCCTGACTGTGATAATATGGTAATTTTTAGATTATCTTGCATATTATAGGTTTCACATTGAGTTGTGATCATGAAAATCTTGGCATCTGTGAAACTCAGATCATTATCATGTTTATAAGCTCGGTGGGCCTTATGTGTGTCACTATGACATGTGTGCAAGCTGGCATTCCGCCCTGTCCCTTCCACATGCTCCCTCAAGTCCCCTCTCTCCTAAACGTGCACGTCCTGCATGATCCTGACAAGGTATACTCCCACTCCTCCCACCGCCATCCTTCTGCACACCACCCTGAAGATTATAAATTTCTGCTCTGTTTTTCTTGCAAGAATTTATGAACCTTGATTTTTTCTGTTTCTCCTTAGAGAGTGAGATCAGGGAAAGGAGCCAGCAGAGGAACAGGAGGAAGCTGGAAGCACTCACATATTAATATTTTGAGACAGTCAGTTACTTTCTCTAGGCCTTTGTTTCAAACATCTGTCAAAAGTGGGATGAAAAAAAGTGGGGTGAATATTATTTACCTCTGGAGATTACCTGTGTGTGAAGTGTCAGCATGGTGCTTGCCATGGAGTAAGCACTTGATAGATGGAGGCTTACATTATGACTGTGAGTCAAGTGTTTTTAAAACATATATGAACACTTACCAGTACCAGGCACCAGGCTAGGCACTGGGGGGATGAACAAAGCAGATCCCATCCCTGCTCTTACAGAGATTACATTCCACAACAGAAATCACAAAGGCATGCCAGGAGGACAGGAAGAAGGGGAGGTGACTGCCATGGCTAAAATAGGGGTCAGAATAAAATTATCCTCCTGATACTTTCTCAAATATATTTTTTATTTTCTAAACTCTATTGTGGCGTTTGATTTTCCTTTTTTGAAGCCCTACTGTACCTTTTCCTTATGGTCTAATTAGGGTTCTACTTGGTGTTTTGTGGCTGCCTACATGAGATTTAAAAGAAAAAGACAATAAGGAAATAACAGCTTCAGAGGCCTTATCCTGACATCTGCCTCAAGGAGGTTCCTGTATGAAAAATCCCATGGATAATTCAAGAAGCTATTTCAAAGCCACAGCAGTTTGAAATAGGTGAGAACAAGAAGATAAGGAGGAGTGGGAGGAGAAAGAAGGGAAGAAAAATGAAGAGAATCATTGTCTCTCAGTATAACAGTGTAGACATTAAAACTTAAATGCCAATCACTCCTGGCATATGGGTCCTCGAAGGAAAACTCCCAGGGAGTACATGAAATTTTTGCTGCTTTCTACACATTTGGTCACATCAATTCAAATGTCCAGAGGCAGTAATAAAACACACTTGCCAAAGGACTGAAAATTCCAACATACCTGAAGTCTGAACAACCCTATCAGAAAACTTAACTATCAATAAGGTCAACACTCAAGAATGAGGCTCCAGACAGAATGCAAACACAGCTTCAATAAAATACATAGCCACAGAGTTCTCTCGCCTATGAAGCTAACAAGCAGGCAAGTTACTCATCCATACAAATAGTAATCTATAAAGCCGGGTATTCTCACTTCTCCAAATCCTACAGAGACCTTCCCAAATTACATATGCATTATTAAATAGTTAGAGGGAGAATGGAATGCTTTTAAATAATGAGAGCACCAAATGTTTCCAGGCTCTGGAGCATTACAACATCTGTTGTGGAGAAAGAAATGTATCAAACATTAGTAACAAACACTATTATGCCAAACGAAAATATATGATGTTCTAAAGAAGCAATGTGGTGTGGAAAACATCAAGAATATGCTTGGTCTTTTAAAAGAATTGCAAACAAGTCATGGTGACATATACAGTATAAGACCCATCGTGATTCTAAACATGTTAACATGTTAATGATCTGAGTTGAATACAATGAAAAAAATGTAAGCCTCCTAAATATTTGCCAAATAAGCCCCAAAGTGTGGGCCAAAATACTGTTCCAAGAGGTCTGAGTGTCATAAAGAGTGATAATCTGAATGCCAAGATTTTCAGGATAATGACTCAGTGTGAAACCTATAATTAATATGCAGGATAATCTAAAAGTTACCATACTATCATAATTAGCCAGAAGAAAGTAATTGTCTTCCCAGGACCACTGATATCTAGCATATATTTTCTTGGGTGCTATAAGGTTAGAGCAGTGTTTTTCAACCTTTTTTGGGCAAAGGCACACTTGTTTCATGAAAAAAATCACGAGGCACACCACCATTAGAAAATGTTAAAAAATTTAACTCTGTGCCTATATTGACTATATATAAAGTAATTCTCTTGAATAGGAATCAAATAAACACAAAGAAAGTATTTTATAATTACTTTATTATGAAATATTAAGTAAACAAAATAGTGAAAAATTATAAAATTCTTGTCTTGTCTGCACCTACGGCACACCAGGCAACATCTAGTGTGCCGCGGAACAGAGGTTGAAAAACGCTGGGTTAGAGGAGAGTCTAACCTAAAAGGGCACAAATGAGGATCAGCACTCAGTGGGGTACTTAGGGGCTCCATAATCAGACCAGGGTTTGAATCACAGTTCCAGTATTTACTAGTAACATTTCATTCTCTCATCTGTAATGTAAGCATAAAAATACCTACCCCTAAGATTGCAAAAATTAAAGCACCTGATGGTTGCCAAATATGGTACCTGCCACTATAATAGTCTTTAGATTTTTATCCATTCAAATATTCCTGCTCTAACCATTACTCAAACTGGCTTATACTTCCACCACTGGTTGAGATTCAACCCAAAGGATCCCTGTGGCCTGATCCTACCTGCCTTCCTGCCTGTCCCACCACCTTGACTTTCCAAATGAGCTTTAACAACAGGCAGGCACAGTGCTTTTCTGACGTAATGCTCCAGTCACCAATAAGCACTACTGGTCACACGGGTCTAGAATTTTACTAGGTATGTCTTTTCTATCCCTTCCATGGCAGTCATTATTTTGATAACCAGCATTTCCTCACATCTGCCAGTCCTTTTTCAGGATGTAGAGGATAATATGAATCACATTCTGAATTATGTATTACAAATTTTGGGATCTCCAGAGTTTTGACAGACAAGATCAAGAAAGAGAGAACATACCCAGGAAGTATCACACTCTTTGACTAGAAGTAGTCACATATCATTGACCTACATGAATCCCCCCACTGTTCATTGAATATGAGGGGACACTTGGATTTATCCTGAACAATAAAACCTAAATTTTGTAGTCACCAACCTCCTTCTACTGGACCCTCTACACTACTCTGCAGGCCTTTGATCTTCCCTTCTCCTATTTCCCTCAAGGGCCAGTCCACCCGTTCACATTTGAAATCTCCTACCCTATCAGCCTTGGCTCTGCTTTCAAACCCCTGCTTCATTAAGAAAATCATCAGTACCCAGTGAGAATGCCTTCAACTTCTGCTCTTCCCACCTACCAACATTTCCACATGTGAATCTCTTCCCTTCTCCTACCCTTCCCCCGGGGGTGTTCCACCCTCCTGTCCAAGGCCAGTTCTCCTGCAAATATTTTAATTATGGAAGATCTGTTATGCAGAATGCAACAGCAAACCTTGCTTTAAAAGGGTTTCAAGATAAAACTGGTACTGACCTGAAACTGTGACCTTTTGGAGGTAATCTGAGTCGCTATCTGTTTCTGCCAGTTGACTGGGTGGAGGATTAATCTCGAGTTGCTTCCCAATAAAATTCCGACAGGTTATCTTAAAAAGGAAAAAGGAAAAAATATAACTTAGGTATTTATAGCCCAAAATTTGGCTGGCTTAAAATATTTTTCTTATTTTTCATTTGTCAAAAATAAAAAATAGAGACAAAAGAATGCTACAAATAAAAACTCGCAGAGACTTTTGTGGGAAAAAACAGCCACATAATTTTTCATATTTCTTTAGTACAGCACAGCTGGAAGAGCATTAGGCAAATTATGTACAGCAATTAGAATATAATTTTCAGATAGCCTATAAATTTACAAGTCTGAATATATCTCCCATTATGTAAGTTGAGATGTAGTTAAAATATAGGCTGCTTTCCCAATGGCAGATTTTTCCACCTTACTCATAATTAACACAATTTAAACTTCCCTGGTAAAGTTTTTCAGAACTAACTTCCCCTGTAGTGTTTTAAAATTTTATTTTCTAATAGATACTTGAGTGCTAAAATTATAAAATATCTGAAAGCAAAACATTTTTAAACAGAAGGAAATTATTTTGAAAGGTCCAAGATCCTCTTATCCCTGTTGCTCCATTCCTATTTCTTGAGCTAACCTATTGCTACAAATACAGCCCCTCCTTGTCCCCTAGTCTGATTAGATGCTGCTGCTTGATTGTCCCCTGTAGGTACTTCTACTATGAGATGCAAATACAGCCTAACAAAATGAAAATTCCTTCCCACAGCCTTATATATGCCTAGTTGACCTAGGCCTTTCCACCTCTCCAGCTTCATTAAACAAAACGTTATTGAACACTTATCACATGCCAAGCTCAAGGACTATAGAGCAGAGAACAAAGCAAACAAAAATTCCTGTTCTTATGAAACATATTTTAGTGGAAGATGAGAGATAATAAATAAAATAGAGAAGTACATTATAGAGAATATTAAAGAGTTACAAATACTATAGAGAGAAGTAAAGCAAACAAGCACAAAAATAGCATAGTGAAGAAAGTACTCACATAGAATATGGCATTTAACAAAAAGGCAAGGTAAAAGTCAATATGGATATTAGGGAGAGGAGGATTCTAAGCAGGGGAACAGCAAAGGCAAAGACCCTGAGGCAGAACTGTCTTAAAGAACAGGGCAACCTGAGGAGGAGTAATAGGAGAGGAGTTACTGGGGATAAGTTATGTAGGGCATTAAGGCCATGACAGGATGTTCACTTTAACTCTGAAGCAGATGGGAAGCTGCTTTGGGGTTTAAAATTGGGGGATGACATGGTTGACTTAGGTTTTTAAAGGTTGTTCCATCTACTGCATTGAGAATAGATTATGAGCTGGAGGCAGAGTTTCAGGGGTGTTGGAAGCAAAACCACTAATTAGGAAGTCATTGCACTGATCAAAGCAAATATAACTATAGCTTGGATCAGAGCAGGGGTTGTGGAAGTAGCAAGATGTGGTAAGGTTCTGAATACATTTTGAAGGTAGGGGATTTGAAAACCAATTTGAAGTGCAATGTGAAAGCAAGAGAAGGTGTCCCCTGGGTGTCTGGACTGAGCAGCTAGAAGAGTGGTGTTGTTAGTGGTTGAGGGTCAACCTATGAACCAGGAGGTCACAGTTTGATTCCTGGTCAGGGCACATGCCCAGGTTGTGAGTTCTATCCTCAGTTGGGGGTGTGCAGAAGATAGCCAATCAATAATTCTCTCTCATCATTGATGTTTCTAGCTCTTGCTCTTTTTCCTTCCTCCCTGAAATCAATAAAAATATATTTTGAAAATTAAAAAAATGATAATGATTAGCAGAACAGGTTTGTTTGAGATGAGCTAAATTTGAGAAGTATATTAAATAATAAGAGATAATGTTGATTGGGCAGTGTGGTATTTTAATGAGTCCATTTGGCTAGGCTAACCTATGAAGGTTAATGAAGGGAAGAATCCATTTTTTAGAATACATAAATCCCAACCCAGTTATTCAATCAAACTGTAATCTAGGTGCTACTATGAAAGAATTTGGCAGATACTAATTAAAGTTCCTAATAAATTGACTTTAATTAGGGAGATTATCCTAGGTGGGCCTGACCCAATCAGGTAAGTCCTTGACAGTGCAGGTGGTCTCCAGATTCCAAATTCCAAACAGCCTCCAGATCTAAAACTGTTCTGGCCCCTGTGGATTCTCCCTGAGTGACTTCTTATGGATAACAGCTTCTGGTCCTACCTGTAGGGTCCTTTCCTGCTCTTGATCCTGACTGCCTACTCTACAGATTTTGGACTTGCTTAGTCAGTCCCCATGATAATATAAACCAAATTCTTATAATAAATCTAGAGAGATAGATGACAGATAGATTGATAGATAGATTGATAGATAGATAGATAGATAGATAGATAGATAGATAGATGATAGATCAGTCTTACTAGTTATGCTTCTCTTACTGAACCCTGACTGGTACAGGAAATTAGATATGTCAATACAGAATTCAGGAGAAAGGTCTAGAATTGAGATGTAATTTTGATAGTCATCATCATAAAGATGATACTCAGATCCAAGACTGAATTAACTCACCATGTCAGAGAACGTGCACAGAGAAGACAGGGGACCAAGAACAGAGTCTTGGGACATACTTAACTTTAAGATATTGGGGAGAAGGGGAGTAAGCAACAAAGAAGACAGAAGAGGAGCCCCTATCTCTCATCTCCAACACTGCAGCCTGGGGCCTTCTTTCTGTCCCATCTCAGGATTTCTGCCCTTCTTCCTTTGGACTAGAATGCTCTTTCTCACTGGATGGCTAGTGCCGTCCCATCAAAGGTTACCTGCTCCAAGAGGGCTTGCTGATCACACTTGCTAAAGTCTCCACCTCCAACCACAGCCTATCTCTATTCTATTGACCAAGTTTGTTTCTTCAGAGAACTACCACTGGTTTTAAATCTTTTTTATATATCAGTTTACATGTTTATTATCTGACCCTCCATCCACCCCTCCAAAGTTAAGTCCCAAAAAGCAACAATTCAGACTGGATTCTCACTACATAGAATATACAAGAGGAAAAGATATACAAAGGCCATGGGGAACCTTTGTGAAAAGAAGCAATGGCGTCCTTGCAGGGCAGCTGCAACACACAGGCACACAGACAGGTATAGGGGCAGGCATTGGATGTCAGCCCACACAGATGCCAGGGGCCTGTGGGCAAGATTTGGACTATATGAATGCGATGGCTCTGATACTAGCTCTAGACACTGTCCTGACTGTTGCTAACGGATAAATCAGCGATGATAAGGACTTATTTTCGTTTACCCTGTTATTGAAAATACTGGCACACAACTAGCTTTCAATAATGTTTTTTATTTGAATGATAAATATGCCTACATGAAACTAGTAACATTTATTTGATTCCTAAATCTTTGTTAAAATGTGTACTAGTAAGAAATCACAACTGCATAAATAATAGAGTCAAACACACCTTCTCTTTATATTTGGTCTCATATCTTACACAAGGTTGTTGGATAATATCTGGGCCCTCAAACCTGGATATTCTCAGAAGGAGCTGGCGCTGTGCATACACCAGGAGTGGTGTCACTTGCTCTGTGTATCTCTCACTGGACAGGGTAAAAATAAAATTAAAAGCAAACATTAGTTAAAACTTTTTTTCGGGGTAGTCTGTCACTTTTAATTGCCCTTACAATCAGTACTTACTGTGAAATTATATTGAATTGAATGGCAAGTGATACTAGTGTTTCCCATTTTTCTACTTGATACAAAAGTTCCAGAGATTTTAATACAAAATCATGGATCCATTTCAAATCAACCATATTTACATTATCCAAAGGATGCTCAAAAGTAAGGCTAGAACCGCCATTATCATTTTTAATATTCCCATAGCAACTTGGAACACTGTATTCTCCTTTTTCTTCCATAATCTGCAAGAAGCACGTTAAAAGTGTGATTTCAGATTTAATTACACATTTTTAAAGTTAAATGTGACATATAAAATACAATATGAAGAAGACTGAATGAAAAAAAATTCAGAATATTTTTATTACGCAAATGAAACTTCATAATGCTACCTAATGTAACTTTTGTGATGTTGGAAATGTGTTGCTACATCTGTGCTGTTCTATAGAGCAGCCACCCAGCCCATGTGGGTACTGAGCTGTTGAAGTGTGACTAGTACAATGAGAATTTCAATTTTATCTCATTTTCATTCATTTAACCTTAAACTTAAACAGCCCTGGCCGGTGTGGCTCAGTTGGTTGGAGTGTCATGCCATACACTGAAAGGTCACAGGGTCTGATTCCTGGTCAAAGCACAAACCCAGGTTTAGGATTCAACCCCGAGGTGGGGCGAGTGTAGGAGGCAACTGATGAGTGTTTCATTCTCACATCGATCTTCCTCCCTCTCCCTCTTCCTTCCCCTCTCTCTAAAGAAAATAATAATAATAATGTTGAATAGCCACATATGGCTAGTCATTACTATATTAGCATAGACTAACGTCTACACTTCTTGTGCATAGTCACTATTTAAGTTAGGATATTGAACCTAATTTTTGAGGAGAAACAGGTTTTATTATATACAAATGATTAAGTTTCTCTAATACACTGGTTAATTTCATTAGTTTTTAGAATAATATATCCAATTCCCTGATGCAAAGGTCAAATCTATTGAGAAAAAAAGTGTTCTAGAAGACCCTCTTTTAGCCGAAGTTAAAGATTACTGTGTGAGTATTGTGTTCCAAGCTTTGGGTGTCCAGAGTATATGTTGAATCTCTGTTATAAAGGTACATACACATTTATGACTAGTATTTTTTTTCCTGGTTAATGGAGCCTCTTCCCACAATGATATTTCCCTTTTTATCTCTCAAGTGTTTCTTGAATTGAAGACTATTTTATCTAATATTAATATAGCCTCATCAGCTTTTTTATACCTCTTTCTACTGTTAAAAATATTTTTAACAGATATATCTCTTTCTACTGTTTTATTTTTAATCCATCTTTTTCTTTATATTCAGATTCTTTTCTTGAGGACAAGTCTAGGTGTCCTTTTTAATTCAGTCAGATAATCTCTGCCTTTTAATTGGGATATTCAATCCGTGTATATTTAATACTAGAGGTCTGGTGCACGAAATTTGTGCATGGGTAGGGTACCTAGGCCTGGCTGCCAATCAGGGCTGATCAGGGCCTTCTGGCTGCCAGTGGGGGCCTTCTTTTGTTCCATGCTGCTCCCTGCTGGTCAGCATGTCATAGCAAGTGATAGAAATTCTGATCTCCCAGTCAAACTCCTGCAGGGACACTTTGCATATTAGCCATTTATGTATATGTAGATGGTTACTGACATAATTTGGTTAGATTTCTTATTTTTGTTTGTTTTCTATTTGTCCCATATGTTCCTTTTCCATTTTACAACTTTGGTTTTTAGCTATATTTCTTTTTTAGTGGTTACTCTAGAGGTTATTAAATGCATCCTTAACTTATTACATTCCACTTAGAGTTAATATTGTACCACTTTATAGCTATATAAAGTGTAAAAACTTAGGACAGTTTAATTTTATTTACCCTCCTACTCTTTTATGCTATCGTTGCCATATATTTAACATCTGGAAATTACTCCATGACTCAATGTGATTATGTGTTAACTAATTTTCATTGTGTTTAGGATATGGCATGTTTGAATTTTACCAATTTTACTTTCTTGCTTTAAAGCATAATGTGTAAAGTTTTAAATGTAAGTTCTACCAGATATAAAATATGTGATCAGTGCTGCGGCCCCACCAGCAGGCGAGGGGATCCCAAGGCAGGTGTTGGGAGTGGAGGCCATGGGGGCATAGGCTTCCAAGGAGACAGAACTGAATTCACATCATCCTGTTTAGCTCCGGAGGATGTCTGGTTATCCAGAGACAGGTAAGATTCCTCAGGGAAGGAACAACCTAAGACAGGCACAGTCACACAGGGGCCATCAGGAGAGAACTTGGGGGTCTACAGAGATGGGGCACAGACCCTCACCCCCCTAACTTTTAAGGGATCTGAACCCTCCCCCCTTTTGAGGGAGGTCTCCTACCCCCATGGCTGCTTCACTTCCATGCCCAGCTCAAATCAGGACCCAGGTAACAGACAGAGACTTGGCCAATAGCAGCTGCCCCCCCACTGGAACAAGACTTGTTTGAGTTGTCTTATACCCATGGTGTGGGAAAGTGGGTTTTGCTATCTAAATCCAGCCTAGCACCAGAATGTTCAGGGCCTACTCAAGAAGGCAAATGATCCTGTCCACTAATATTTACAGGGTAAAATAAGATTGTTGTTAGAGAATTAAATTTGACAGTAAAATAGTAGGGTATTATTTTCAGACTAATTTAAGTTGGCTAATTAAAATAATCAGATAGTCTAGAGAAATTAATTGTACTGGACAAAAAGCTGTTCCTAAAGTGTTAACTATTAGGTCTAGTAATAATTAATGTTGTTTTCTAATACTTTTTTAAATCGAATTTATTTAAACAATACAACAAAATTTAATCAACAATATAGTTGCCGTTGTTTTCTACTACTTGTGCCCAATGCTCAGGAAGCATTTTAATCCCTCTGTTGTAAAATTCTTGTGATTTTGATGCAAAAAATTCGGTCAATGCATTTTTGAGGCATTCGTCATTATTAAATTTTTTTCCAAGAAGAAAGTTTTGCAAAGAACGAAACAAACGGTAATCGGAAGGGGCAATATCAAGAGAATATGCAGGTTGAGGGAGAACTTCCCATTCCAACTGGCGCAGTTTTTCAGCAGTGATTCTTGCAGTATGCGGTCGTGCTTAATCGTGGTGAAGAATTACGCCCTTCCGATTAATCAGTGTGGGTTCTTTTTCTCTTAAAGCTTGGGCTAACCTTTCCAATTGGGCACTATACACTGCACTTGTAATGGTTTGGTTAGATGGTAAAAGTTCATAATGAAGAATTCCTTTAAAATTCCACCAAACACACATCACTTTTTTCGCATGCAAGTCAGGTTTTGGCGTGGGCTGCGGAGCCTCATTTTTGTCCAACCATTGAGGCCGCCTTTTCAAATTAACATACAGCACCCATTCTTCATCTCCAGTAACAATTTGCTCTAAAAACGGCAAACGGTTTTGACGAGAGAGGAGCGAACTGCAAATTGTGACTCTTTGATTATGGTTGTTGTCGGTCAACTCATGAGGAACCCATTTTCCAAACTTTTGGACTTTGCCAAGTGCACGCAATTGATTGGAAATTGTTTTTTGTGAACAATTTAAAGTTGTCGCAAGCTCTTGTTGGGTAATTTGAGGATTTTGCACCAAAAGAGCTTGAAGAGCTTCTTGATCAAAATTGGACACACGGCTTCGACCACTCTTGTCATCTAACGAAAAATTTCCCTCGCGAAATTTCTCAAACCAACGCTGGCATTTTCTGGCGCTAACTGCATCTTGACCAAGAGCACTACAGATGTTTTTTGCAGCCTCACTTGCTTTTCTTCCTAATTGGAACTCGTAAAGCATGCAGTGCCGAATATGCTCTTCATCCGCCATCTTCTTAGCCCTAGTTTTGCAACAAAAACCAAACCAAACACAAACTTTTTCAAGCAAAACTTGTTAATTGCACTTCACACGTTCTGTAGATACCACGTGTTTGAAGGTTATGTCAAAACAAGTCAACGCCAAACAAGATTTTAAGCGAATGTTTAAAAACGACATTAATTATTACTAGACCCGATAAAATTTTTTATTGGTGGTTCATGTCATGGTAAAATTGCATAACATGTAATGAACCTAAAGCAGTCATATTTTAGTGCAAAAAATAAAATTTAAAAGCTATCAAGACTAAATTATAAAATTTTTAAAAGCCTCCTAATATTTAAATAAAAATATGGGGTAGTAGAAAAATATCATGTAAGGAAAAATATTCTGCAAGTAAATTACATCTAGAAAATTTTTACTTTAGAAAATTAACTTTCATTTATAATGCTAACAGCAAGACACTCATGTAAAACATACATGGTCTCAAAACAATCCAAAGGAAAATCGTTTGGGCAAAAAATGAAAAAGGGTCACAAGTCAAATTTATAGAAAATATTCTTTTATTAACTTTTGGTTGAGAATATGTTTGTATATTTTCAGAAAACAACTCCAAGACCATGTGGATTCCTGCAACAAAGAGGAATTGACAGGACTGCTCCAGCCATGAAGATAGAAGAGAAACAGTCCAGAGATGGAAGACTATACTAGCAGTCAGCAGCTGTGTGACACTGAAGATTGTACAGAACCAAACCAGAGAGGGTCAGACCTGCATTACCACCATTGTCCACCATCCAGAACTGAAATATCATGGTTGACATGTACACAAAGTAACTATTTGACATTGAAATTGGGACCCAAAAGAACTGTTAGCCCAGAAAGAAACTCACTGCAGGCTGATTCATTTGCCTCTCAGCATAACCATTATTGTTTGTCTCATTTTCAGCTCTTATAAGTGTACTTCTAGTATCACATGATCTCACTCATCAAGGGGAAATAATGAACAACATAAACTGATGAACAAAAACAAACCCAGAGACAGGGAAGCATTGATCAGACTGTCAAACCTCAGAGGAAAGATAAGGTAGGGTGGGGATAAGAGGGAGAAACCAACCAAAGGACTTGTATGCATGCATATAAGCCTAACCAGTTGTCATGGACAACAGGAGGTGGGTTTATACATGGGGAGGGGTTTGGGATGGAAATGGGGGGATGAGGACAAATATATGATACCTTAAGTAATAAAAAAAATTTTTTTTAAATAGGCTAAATTCAATTGAAATAAAAGGTTAAAAAAAACTTTATGATCTCTTTTGGGATCTGTTTCTTTCTCTATCAAAAGATTGCTATGAGGATTAAATGCACTACGGTTAGTTAATGTAGAAGCTGGGTCTTAATAGATGTTACTTTCTGTTCCCTTTAAAAAATTAAATTTTCAGGGTAAGATATTTGTAATTAATAGCAATGCAAGATATTTAGTGAACCAAATAGTAATAGAAGCAAATGAAATATAGACAAACCAACTAAGAACTAAAGAAAAATATTAATTTTTACTTAGCCCAAGCCGTATGGTACAAAAATATTTGTTAATTGAATACAATTAAAATAATTACCCAAACACTCTTACCTCAATAGAATTGGAATTTTGTAGTTCTATTAACATGTCAATAAGTAGGTCTGCTCCAAAATAGAATGGTAATACAGAGATGCAAAGGAAACCATCTTGACTAACAGGAAATATTTTACACAGGTCCACTGCTTGTTTAAGAAGGATCTGTAGCTCCCGAGCAAAGTTCCAAAGGGCCCGACAGCAGTTCTGAAGCAGAGTCCAATAGCCACCACGGTGAGCAAAAACCTAAGACCATAAAAAAGCAAACAAATGGACAAACAAAAATACCTAAGACCAACACAACATTCAGAAGACCCTAAAATTCCAAATGTTACACATCTCTGAACAACTTTATCTTTCTGCAATATTAATGTCAATAATAAAAATAACACCATTTGTTATGTGCCCCTTATATGTGCTAGAAACTGTGGTAAGGCCTTTGTATGCAGCATCTTAGCTCCTTCTTACAATAGTTCCTATGAAGTAAGTATGTACTAGTATGCTATTCAATTTATAGATAAGGAAATGGGATTATGGAGCTAAGATCATGAATCTACTAAGTGGTGAGCTGAAGTCTGCACTTTGGTGGTCTGATTGCAACACTCCCATTCTTCTAGGTGTTGGTAACGTGGCAGTAAGCAAGAAAACCAGATCTGCCTCAATTTATTAGAGGAGACCAAGACTAGAAAAGTAGACAAATAAAAATGTAATTTCATGAATAATAAGTTATAAAGAAATGGACTAGGACCTCACAAGGGGGAGAGAACACATCCTTTTAGATAGGGTGGTCAGGAGAGAAGTCCTCTCTAAGAAAGTGAGTTCCTGGATGTTGAGTTGAACAAGTCATGTGAAGGTGATAATAGGGATGTTGGGTAGGGAATAACATTTGAGGCTAAGGTGACAGCAAGTTAAAAGCATGGAGGATGAACCAGAGGACTGAGAAACAAACAAGTTCTCTGGTTTCAAGACTACAGAGGGGAGACTGGATTCAACAAAAGCAAGAGGAGCTGAGTTCTGAGAGATGAGCAGGACCCACAACTTCTAGGTCCCGAAGCTGGTGGAAAGGAAAGCAGGATGCATTGTCATGGTCAAGATGATGTGGGTTACTTGACATTTTAAAAAAGCCATTCTCTCCTCTCCACAGAGAATATGAGAATGTAAGTGTGTATCTTCCTCCTTACTAAGAGAAAAAGGAAATTTATTTATATCAAATGATTCCAATTTGAGTTTCATAATACACCCTATAATATTTAAGAAGAAAAAGAGAACATTTGAAAAGAAACACAAGTGGCCTGTAGAACCAGAGGTCTGGGGCAAAGGCAGATCTTTCCTGTGGTCTAGAAAGATCTTCCCCTGCTAGAGAAAAGAAAGAGGTCTATGGTGCCCCAGGAAGGATCAAGTTTCCAGAGAGAAACCCGTGTCACCAGAGAAACCCATGTCCTAAGTGTGGCAAGAAAGCAGCAGAGGGGTGTGTGAATATCCATGAAAACTGTGTAAACAGGAACTAAGGCCACCTCTTCTCTAGGCAGATGGATGACTAATGGTGAAAGGAGCTCACCCCTCTCCCTGACAACTTGACAATGTGTAAGACCTCATTACCATGGCAGGCAAACCTCAGAAATGACTGAAAGAGAACCCAACAAATTTAGTCTTAAAACTGAAACCAAAATTACACATAGTAAGCAAATAAATACATCTTACACACCCAAATTTATGGGTTCAGATTTATGTCTACCACATTAGCAAAAACGAAGGACCTTACCATCGCTCTCCTACAATATAAAAATATTTTCATAAAATGGTCCAATAGACTCAAAGTTGATGCTCGATCCCTTTCTTTAGCAGTAAGAGCTCCTTGAAAGTCAGGGTCAGAAGCTGTTTGTGTCTTAGAAACATTTTCATCACTCATTTGGGAATCAATAAATGTTGTAAACTCTATAGCATCTACAGTACAAAAATAAAGAATGGTTATATAGAAACATCTAACTTAAATAGAGAGTTAAGTTCCAGAAAACACAGTAGGTGATAAGCATCAAATGAGTAATTCAGATAAGAACTGCTATATAATTTTGGAGAAAGGACAGGATTATCATGAACACAATGAATCAGGGAAGGTTTCTAGAGAAGGAAGCATTTAGATTAGGTCTTAAAAGGTGGGCATGATTCAGCTATGAGGGAAAATTATGAAGAAGAATATTCCAGGCAGGGGCTATGGCCAACGTTATGTCTTGTGTTTTTTTTGTTTTTGTTTTTTTTAGAGAACATTTACAGGATCACATTGTTTTGTAATTTACCCCAAAACAGGCCATTCTCAGGACACATACACTAAAAGGTAAGTAGTATTCCCCAGGATTAGGCAGTACAGCAACCCAGGCCAATCATTCTCCTGTTGGTATGATATATCGGGTCTAGTAATAATTAATGTCGTTTTTAAACATTCATTTAAAATCTTGTTTGGCGTTGACTTGTATTGACATAACCTTCAAACACGTGGTATCTACAGAATGTGTGAAGTGCAATTAACAAGTTTTGCTTGAAAAAGTTTGTGTTTGGTTTGGTTTTTGTTGCAAAACTGGGGCTAAGAAGATGGCGGATGAAGAGCATATTCGGCACTGCATGCTTTACGAGTTCCAATTAGGAAGAAAAGCAAGTGAGGCTGCAAAAAACATCTGTAGTGCTCTTGGTCAAGATGCAGTTAGCGCCAGAAAATGCCAGCGTTGGTTTGAGAAATTTCGCGAGGGAAATTTTTCGTTAGATGACAAGAGTGGTCGAAGCCGTGTGTCCAATTTTGATCAAGAAGCTCTTCAAGCTCTTTTGGTGCAAAATCCTCAAATTACCCAACAAGAGCTTGCGACAACTTTAAATTGTTCACAAAAAACAATTTCCAATCAATTGCGTGCACTTGGCAAAGTCCAAAAGTTTGGAAAATGGGTTCCTCATGAGTTGACCGACAACAACCATAATCAAAGAGTCACAATTTGCAGTTCGCTCCTCTCTCGTCAAAACCGTTTGCCGTTTTTAGAGCAAATTGTTACTGGAGATGAAGAATGGGTGCTGTATGTTAATTTGAAAAGGCGGCCTCAATGGTTGGACAAAAATGAGGCTCCGCAGCCCACGCCAAAACCTGACTTGCATGCGAAAAAAGTGATGTTGTGTGTTTGGTGGAATTTTAAAGGAATTCTTCATTATGAACTTTTACCATCTAACCAAACCATTACAAGTGCAGTGTATAGTGCCCAATTGGAAAGGTTAGCCCAAGCTTTAAGAGAAAAAGAACCCGCGCTGATTAATCGGAAGGGCATAATTCTTCACCACGATTAAGCACGACCACATACTGCAAGAATCACTGCTGAAAAACTGCGCCAGTTGGAATGGGAAGTTCTCCCTCAACCTGCATATTCTCCTGATATTGCCCCTTCCGATTACCATTTGTTTCATTCTTTGCAAAACTTTCTTCTTGGAAAAAAATTTAATAATGACGAATGCCTCAAAAATGCATTGACCGAATTTTTTGCATCAAAATCACAAGAATTTTACAACAGAGGGATTAAAATGCTTCCTGAGCATTGGGCACAAGTAGTAGAAAACAACGGCAACTATATTGTTGATTAAATTTTGTTGTATTGTTTAAATAAATTCGATTTTAAAAAGGTATTAGAAAACGACATTAATTATTACTAGACCTAATATAAACACAAAGGATTTCTCCTGCTGCAAACCTTTTCTTATCAGTTGAACTCTGCATCCTATATGATGAAGAAGTAATATGCAAATTGGCCCACATGCTCTTGCACAAGATGGAAATCCCCATGTGGTCTAACTGCCAGTTAGAGGGATGAGAGGGATGTCTAACTGCCAGTTTAGGCCCGATCCAAATTGGGCCTAAATGGGCAGTTGGACATCCCCCAAAGGGTCCCAGATTGTAGAGGGTGCAGGCTGGGCTGAGGGTCATCCCCACCCCCACCCCCCAGTGCATGAATTTCATGCACTGGACCTCTAGCTAAATAAGAAGTCTCAATAGCAAAGTATTCTATTGCTAACTATTGCTGACTTCATATAGATCTTAGATAGGGAGCTAGTTTAAAAAAAAAATCAAGAAACTATGTATAACAATCTACACATAAAACTCAAGATTCTTTCTAGGCTAGAAAATTTACTTTCAAATACTTCAATATTCATAGTATGACATACAGGTACTCGTTAAATTTAATCTACACTCTAGAAGAAACTAGAAAGCATGTCAAGTACCTCAAATATGAATCAACTCTCCTGAGGCACTGAGCCAGCATATAAAGTACCTTTTTCAGCAATAAGTTACATACCACTTAAAATACCATTATTAGAAATATAGGTAAGGGTCTTTTAACAGCATAAAAAAAACTTATAATTTTTTATTTGCGAATTGAGTGGTATTCAAGGTAGGTGATTGTTTCAAATAATGTCATCAGTGCCAATGGAGAGCCCTGTTCACCTGCATCTCTCCACCTCTCAGAGCGGCCCCTGTCACCTGGCCTGATGACGATATTAGTTGGTTCTGCCATCAGAATAGTATTGCAATCATCTTGGAGTAAGCTCTCCCTGAAGGTGCTAGTTGGAGATCATAAGTCAAGAATAGACTTCCCTTAAAATCGGTTGTATAGGATAGCTATATGATTGTTTCATGTCTGCTTGCATCAGTATGTTTGGTGGAATTTATTCTCAAATTTACTTCCACTAAAATATAACCTCTTGAGCACTGGGGGCTACCAACACTTCTAAAAGAACATTATATTTGCTACACAGCCAAACTGTTTTAGGTCAGAACACAATATAGGTATTTCCAAATATATATATGATACTACTATAAAAATTGAAATTTTTAAAAATAAGAGTCTCCTACAAAATGTTACAACTCACCTAAATTCCTGGGTCATTGGGAAATGGTGCATATAATTTTGTGTGTCTGCCCAGTGTGTATGTATGTGTGTGTGTGATTGGTGAATAAAAATCTAAAGCTAATTTGATAATATATTTTTTAAATATATTTTATTGATTTTTTTTTACAGAGAGGAAGAAAGAGGGGTAGAGAATTAGAAACATCAACGAGAGAGAAACACTGATCAGCTGCCTCCTGCACACCTCCTATTGGGGATGTGACCACAACCAAGGTACATGTCCTTGACTGGAATCATACCTGGGATCTTTCAGTCCGCAGGCCAAAGCTCTATCCACTGAGTCAAACCTGTTAGGGCGATAATATGTTTACTTATTTTACCTGATGGTAAATTCATCCTTCTTTTTTTAGCTGTATGAAGGAAGTCAAGCATCACTTTATAGTTTTCTAGAGTCAATTTTCCTGTTGGTAATACTGTTCCTGAATTATATAATGAGAATATACTAGGATCACATGACCGGAAACTGCAAGAGGGGGAAAAATCTTGTTAAAAAACATTGTAAGTAAAATTGAATTAAATATGTCAAATAAAACCTACTTTAATATTTTAAATATTTGTGAGTTAGTGCTCTGAATGTTGCTGCCAAAGAAATTTCTTATAGCCCTGCTCAAAAACTCTTAATAATCCCCCACTGTATATAAATTAAACTACAGACTTAATAGATGGTTACGACTCTCCATGACCTGGAACTAACCTACTTTGCAAATTATCTTATACCACTCCTCTATCATATACCCTAGATTTTGGGTTGACCACTTGGGGTTCTTATCTTATGTTTTTCCTACCTGAGCATTAATTCATGTTTCCCACCCACCAGGAAAGCCTATTTCTATATCTGTACATTTCTAAATCTTGCCTAGATATCAAGAGACAGGCCAAGTGGCCCTTCCACATTTGATCTTTCCTGTTAGTCTCAGCCAGAGTAAAGTGACCCTCCTGGGAACACAGAAGACTTTATGAGTATTTTGTCTACTACCATTATCTAGAATTATCCATGAACATTTGTAATCTATCCTCCCAGATTCTAACTTATATATCCTATTCATGCTTACATGCCCACTGCACCTATCTCAGGATCTCGTGTCTAATAAATGCTCAAAAAATCTTTTCAAATGACACTACATTGCCTTTTTAATGGCTGCATAGTATTCTGTTTATGTATTTATCTTCTATTTTTATCTCCTATAACACTTCAGCCAAAGACATTTATTAAGAGCTCAAAGTGTCTTTTGAATTAATAAGAGAAACTCTATATGAGAATATATTATCTGGGTTTATAGAAGCTTACAATATATATTTATGGAGGCTTAAAATATCTCTAAATGAAATAGAGATTTGCCTAATGCCCACTAATATCTACAGTTATTATGCAATTAATATTAAATTCACTTAGAATTATATTTTCTCCTTTTACTGAAAGCTTTATTGAGTAAACATAGTCAAGATATATGCAAATTAGTACTTCCTAAGCACTTATATCTAACACCTGTTTGGGAACGAGTCTAAGATAAGAAATATATCAATGAACAAAAAATTAAATATATCAATTGCCAAGTAAGACAGAATAATAATTTTAAAAAAAGATAGAAACACACTGTAAACCTCCTTAAGTTATTATCAACATTGAAGCCTTGGACACACAAATACAATCCATGTTCCTGAAACTTAAAAAGTATTACTTATTGATAATATACTATACCTGACCATTGTATGTGAAACGCCAAATTTCATCTTCATACGTTCCCCTAGCTTTATTAAAAGCAAGTTGAAATGTGCATTTGCCAGATACAAGTTCATCTGAGCCTTCCAGGGTATCTCTTCAAGACATATTTGACGGAACCTCTTCCTTTTAATATAATTAAATATTAGAGGATTCAAGTTTTCTACCAGGATTCGATGTGCTATTTTTCTAACATCAACTCTCTTATTTCTGCCAAGGGACAAAGAAGTTTTGAAATTATATAAACTTTCAGATATTTGAAGAGAAATGATTCCAATTTGTACATAATCAAGAAGTCACTTGGCTACCCTTATGCAAATATAACAAGCTTATTTATCATTTACTTAGAACTAAAAATGTAAAATAGGACAATAAAGAAGCACAAGAATGCGCACAAGGGACAAAGTCACTGCATATTGTCTTCAACTCTCTCTGATGTCTATGTCCTAAGCTCAAACCAAACAGAGCTTTTCTTTTCTATAACTAAAAGGCCACTGAGATTAGACAAATAAATTATAACATAATTATTTGCATTCATCAACTAACTTCAGTATTAAACAAAAAATTCATTTCTCTGTGTGGTTCCTTGAAAAAAAATAAAGCAAACATTTTTCTAACTTTAGCTAGATTAGAAGGAAATAAAACATCAGTCATAATCCTATCAAATAAAAGGGTAATATGCAAATTAACCATCACTCCATCACAAATATGGCAATGCCTATAGCCACAAGGTGGCAGCACTCAGTCCTCTCAGCCTCACCAGAGGCCCCCAACCCGAGGGGGGGGGGGGGGGGGGTTGCTGCTGCTGAGAGTGGACAGCGTGAGCAGCCTTTATCACCACGGTGAAAGAGCAACTCTGGTTAGCGGCAAGGAGCAGCTGGGGTGGGATGCTTGCTTCATCACCATGGCAATGTCCAGGCCACAGAGGGCCTTTAGGGGACAAGGGGGCTGGCACACAGCCTCTGTGGCCGAAGCACCCCAGAGAGAATGCAGTGGGCCCACCTCACACAGAAATGGCAGGCAGCCTACTGTGCACAATATCGCGCAATGGGCTACTAGTGATAAAGTAAGTTCATAAAACCATATTCAATATGCTCTGGGAAAAAACTAATATTTCAAAATTTTTCTAGTGAGTACATATTTTAAGTATAAAATACATTTGTTTAATATTATTCCTATCAAAATATCAAAGAACTTTAGCTCTCTAGTTAAGCGGTATACCTCTAAAGCCCTAAATAATGGGTTTCAAGTAAATGTTTACTGAATAAACTAAATAATAAATGAATACCTTTCTTGTGCTGACAATTCAGCAACCCATGGATTTCTGGATAAAAAGTCTCTTAGAGTTCCCCTAATTTTCTTTTTTCTTTTTGGTATTTCTGTAGTCTTAATACAGGAAAAAACAAAAATGTTACAAACAAAAATTAAGTTCTGAATACAATATTATAATTAACTCATACTCTAAGGTCTATCTATTGAGATTAAAATACAGTGATTTCTTTATACATCTCACTTAAAATTATTATCAAAAGTAACAAAAATATCCCTGTAGACAAGAAAAAATATGAGTATAAAAATATCCAAATGAGCCCTGGTCGATATGGCTCAGCTGGTTGGAGTGTCGTCTATATACCAGAAGGTGGCGGATTCAATTTCTGGTCTGGGCACATACCCAGGGTGCAGGTTCAATCTTCAGGGGGGCACATGGAAGGGGCAACCAATTGATGTTCCTCTCTCACATCAATGTTCTCTGTCTCTCTCTCTCAAATAAATTTTAAAAATTAAAAAATATATTCATTTGAAAACTTAAGAATTGTATAGTTATAAAATTATGCTTGTATTTCCTTCTGTTTCATGTTATAATAAATTATAATGCTGCCAATCATCTGTAGATACATGTATCTCTTCATTTCATTTGCTCAAAATTCAAAACTTATGAAACTTACTTTCGCAATCTCCATTATTGCAGCTTTATACTTCTTTGCAAATTTATCTAATTTCTGACCCAAAATATTATCCTTATATTTCGTTTTTTTCATTCCAACTAGGGACTCATGTCTCCTAATACAAAAAAAGAAAAATTTGTTAAATGAATCTGCAAGAATTTGTAAAACTACCCCAAAGTAATAAATCTTTAATGAGTGTTGTCACTAAAATTATGCAAGAAGAATTTTTAAAATTGTTTGTGTCCTATGCGTAGACTAATATTCCTGGTTATCAAGGAATAGTTGGCCTCTCAAAAGAGCACAATGTAAATAATACCATAAAATTTGATTTAGAGCTGGCATGTGATGCAGAAAAAATAGAATTGCACCAAAAATAAAACATGAACACATAATTATAAAACTGAGCAGATAACTACATAAAAGTGACCCTAGACAAGCTACCCTGCTTCCAACAGATTAGTCTTTTTGGTTCCATCACCTTCTGGATATCAATAAGAGCTAAGCATTTTAGATTACTATGTTACTAAACTCTCTCCCTTCCCCCAATCACCTATAGGGAATATTAATCTTGTTTTTTTGTTTTGTTTTGTTTTTTGGGTTGTTTTTGTTTGTTTGTTTGTTTGTTTTGTTTTGTTGTTTGTGTGTGTGTGTGTGTGTGTGTATGTGTGTGTGTGTGTTTAAATTTGTCATGGACCCTTATGGCCCATTCTCCAAACACTTTAAAGTCTCTCAATATCCCACCCTCTAATGATAATTAGCACCTATTTTTCCTGAAATTTGTATGTTTCCTAAAATTTATATTTCTTTTGGTAAGTACAACTAAACCCTGCTGTAACATGATAAACAGGATCCAAAGCTTGAATTGAATAAAATGTAGGGTCATATCAATGCAAGGCTAATGAAATGACCAGGTGAGCCTAGATAGCTAGTTCTAGGTGTTACAGTTCTAAATTCATCATGCTCCCACTGGCAGTTTGGCCTCTTGTTTCAATTTTGATGAGGAGGAGCCTGGATCTGTGGTTAGTTGGAGCTCCAGCCCAGCTGCAGCAATTACAAGAGTCTCCCAGTTAGTGTGGTATTCATTTTGGCAAATGTTTTGTTTGTCTCAACTAGGAAGGCTGGACCAGTGATGGATGGAATTGGAGATCCATCCTGTGTAACAGGCAACTTGAGACTGGTTGCCATTTTCAAGAGACTAATCAGCTTGGTCTCTTCCTTACCTCCTCCCTATCCCACTCCACTAGAATGCTTGAACTGGTCATTGTATTCCACGAAAAAATGGAAAGCAGGAAAACAAGGTCTCGAATGTATGCCTGAGCTACTGTCTTCCCAATCCTTTCAGCATTCTCCTCCATGCTCAGAACTGTCATCCACTGAATGAATTAAATGCTTCATAGAATGCTTCCTCTTAATTTTGACAGCTTTTTATGTTGTATTATTTTAAAAAGCATTTATTCATTTTTATGTAGTCAGAATTACTGATCTTTGATTTCATAGTTTATTCCTTATTTGATTACTTATATTAGTTCATGTTTCTGACTCAATGGCTGTCTACTATTATTTCAAAAAAAAAACCACTTTATCCTTTAGCTAATAGTATTGTATAAATTTCTCCTCTTACTCTTTTTAATTTTTCAAATATTTTTATTATTCTAGCTTATTCCATATAAACTAATCAGATTGGAATTACATTAAATCTATAAATTAAATTGAAGAAAACAGAAATCTTTACAATATTCCATCTGCCCAATGAGCAATATACTATGTCTTTCCATTTATTCAAGTCATTCCTTTTAATATCTCTTAGTAAGGATATTTGGTCTTCTTTATATGAACCCAAGTCCTCTCTTCACAACTCCTACTAAATTTAATCTTGTACTTCACAGAAATGGATAATTTTTCTATTGTACATTTTAATTGATTTTGCAGGTTTACATCTAGCCATCCTGTAGAATGCTATTATTAGTTCAGATAGTTTTCAGTTAATTAGTTTGTTAAGTTAAAAAATAATTATTTGTGTTCTTGCCTGGAGGCTCAGTTGGTTGGAGCATCATCTTATACACAAAAATATTGCGGATTCGATCCTTGGTCAGGGCACCTATGGGAGGTAACTGATCGATATTTAGATCGATATTTATGTCTCACATCAATGTTTTTCTCTCTCCTTTACCCTCTAAAATAAAATTTAAAAAATACATCCTTGGGTGAGGATTTTAAGTATTATAATTATTAGCAAATATCAATCATTTTCTTTTCATTTTCAACGTACTTTATTGTAGGATTCTTTATTGACATGCATTTTGAGACCCGTTTATGTGATAATTACATAAATTATAATTGTAATTTCTATTTTAATGCATTGGAAAGAACTTGCAAAACAATGTTAAGTAATTTAAGGAATAATAGGTTTCTTTGTTGTAGAGCTTATTTTAACAGAAAATATTCTTCTAATCCTAATTTGCCAGGAGTGATTGCTAAATTTCACATGACTTTGAGCATCTACTAAAGACTCTTTGACTACCAGTGATAACTATATATTATTTTCTTTATTGATCAAGCTATTACACATGAGTCCTTATCTTCCCATTGTCCCCCACGACCCCCACTCATGCCCTCAGCCCACTGGTGTCCACTGGGGCTTATATGCATGCATACAAGTCCTTTGGTTCTATATTTACAGATTTGCTACTCCTATATTTGTATTGAGAATACAATTTATATTTCATTGCTAAATTAATAGGCTAATATATTATTTTGGATTTTTGCTCCTATATACTGCTAAGTAAAAACAACCCATAATTTTCTACTTTCATTGTCTTTTCATAAAACTGTATCAGAGTCTGTTGTGATAAATTCATTAAGAGACTTTCTACCCATATTTTGAAGTAGCTTTATGTAAAATAAAAGTTATTTCTTTCTTTAAAATCTGAAAGATTGCCCAGCCATGGTGGTTAGTGGTTGAGCATTGATTGACCTATGAATCAGGAGGTCATGGCTCAATTCCAAGTCAGGGTATACGCCTGAGTTGCAGGCGTAATCCCCGATTGTGGAGGAGGTGGCAGATCGAGGATTCTCATCTCTCCCTTACTCTCTGAAATCAATAGAAATATATTTTAAAAAATAAATAAATGAAATCTGAAAGAACTATCCTAAAATTTTTTGAGCTATCCAATTTTTTACAGCTTCAATCAATTTTAAATTAAGTTTTCCCAGATAATTACCACTTTCAACTAGGTTTTCAAATTTATTCATATAAAAATATAATTACTGTTAGCTAATATTTCTTTAACCACTTCAAATTTATTATTATTTTCTCTTGGATTACTTGTATTTTGCTTTTTCTTATTATACCAGCCAAAAATTCACATAATTTAGTTATAACTTCAGAGAACTAGCTCTAGCAGTTCTCAATTAAATTAGTTTAAAACCAACTTATAATTGATTAGTTTCAACTTTAATTTTCTTCTTTCTGCTTTCTTAGATTTATTTTATTATTCTAATTTTGTGAGTTCAGTAAAAGTTCATTCAGTTTTATTTTTCCTGTTTAGTAATAAAAGCTTCTAAAGCTAAAAATGTGTCTCTAACTGCTGCTTTGAGTACAATTGATATTAAGGTTTCTTATTATCATCATTTTTAAAAGGCTCTATACCTTTAGGTAGATTTCTATTTTTCATCCAATAATTTTATATGTCAGTAATTTATTTTTTATGACATTTCAGTTTTGTTGTACTGTAAGAGAATGTGGTCTTTACAAATTTTAGTCCGAATGATCTGAGCTTTGTTTTTCAATTGACTTTTTTAAAATTTTAATGAGTGCTTTAAATTGACTATATATATATTAAGTTGTTCTTAATTAGATTAGGTATATTTTCTATGTCCTTTTTATTTCTTTTTTAAAGTAGTATGTTATATTCTATATTATCATGTTTCTGTCTTTTCAACAGTTATTTCCATAAACTTTGACTTTTTGTTATGTAGAACATAAAAGTTTATGAAATATATTCATTGTGACTTATAAGAATTATTGGTAGAATCATCCACTTTGAGTGTGAAAAGATGGCATTAAAACTAATTAACAAAAAGCCATTCAAATTGGAAAGGAGGAAGTAAAACTGTTATTCGCTGATGACATGATATTATTCATAGAAAACCCTAAAGACTCCAGCAAAAAAAACTACTAGATTTAATAAACGAATTTGGCAATGTAGCAGGATATAATATTAACACCCAGAAATTGATGGCATTTTTATATACCAAAAGTGAACTCTCAGAAAGAGAAACTAAAAATACAATCTCATTTACCATTGCATCAACAATAAAAAAAAGATACTTACAAATAAACTTAACCAAGGAAGTAAAAGATCTGTACTCAGAAAGCTACAAGATATTGAAAAAAGAGACAGAGGAAGATATAAACAAGCAGAAGAAGATACTGTTAATGGATTGGTAGAATCAACATCATTAAAATGCCTCTAACTACCCAAAACAATCTATAGATTCAATTAAAATACTAATGCATATCTCACATATCTAGAATAAACACTCCAAAAACTTATATGGAACCAAAAAAGAACTTAAATAGCCAGAGCAATCTTAAGAACAAAGTTAGAGGAATCACAATACCAGATATCAAGCTATACTATAAAGCCACTATATCCAAAACAGCCTGTTACTAGCACAAGAACAGGCATATAGATCACTGGAACAGAACAGAATACCCAGAAATCAACCCAAGCCATTACACTTAATTAATATTTGACAAAGGAGGCAAGAACATACAATGGAGTCAAGACAGTCTCTTCAATAAATGGTGTTGGGGAAAATTGGACAGGTACATGAAAAAAAATGAAACTAGACAGCCAACTTATACCATACACAAGAATAAACTCAAAATTGATAAAAAGTTCATGTAAGTCATGAAACCATAAAAATCTTAGAAGAAATCATAGGTAGTTGACCAATTGCAGAGGGAAGGTGGGGTGCAGAGGGAGGGGGGAGCAATGAGGACATCTGTAATACTTTCAACAATAAAGATAAATTACAAATTTAAAAAAAAACTAACAAAAATAACGTTCTTTAAATATTGCCAGGATAATTGATAAAACTTTGAGGGGGTAAAAAACTAAAATTTAATATAAATCCCCATACCAAAAAAAATTTATATGAATTAACACATTAAATAGAAACTATAATAACATAAAGTTGGAAGTAAATACAGCTGCATCTGTGTCTGCTGCAGTATGAGAAAGTTTCTTTGTTAAAACTGTTAAGCATGTGAACACAAAAGAAGACAGATATTACTATCAAAGCAGAAATCGAGGTGTTGCATTTGCCCTTTGTCTACTCTTCCTGACTTGGAGAAGAGTATCCTGAAACATCTGTTCAGCCTTAGAACTGAAATCTTTACCTTCAGTTGGAACATGTTTATATACCACTCAATTTTCAACCTCACGTCTTTTATTATACCACTGGTCAATGCTTCTAAGCCACTTTCTCTATTTTACTCTTTCAGAATATCTATTTTGCTTAGATTGGACCTCCCTGGTCCAATTTTCACTGCCCACTGATAATGTCTTCTAATTTTTTTTTTATTTATTTATTTTTTTTTTTTGGTATCAAGAATATTACTTACAGCTTCTAAACATCTCATTTTGGCTATGTGGTGTATTTGTTGTTGTTTTTTTAAATGTAATGGAACTTTCTAATTCTGACCAATGTTCTTTTTATCTGAGCCTGCTTCATTTAATGCAAGCAATTTCCTCTTTTATGTTTTGAAAATATGAAGCGCATATATTCCAAGCGTTTGTTCCAATAATAGAAGTGCCTATTTTAGAAAGACTATTTTCTTGTGTATTTTTATGATAATGTTTCTCTTCCGCTGCCATTTTTTAAATAGATTCCATGTTACTAATGCTTCCCATTACTAAAATGAGGTAGATCTGGGCACAGGGGTGAAAGTAAAACCCAGCTGTTGGAACAAAAGTTGGGTTCATTTGGCCTCTCTCATAACTGGCATGAAACACTATAATTTTATTTGGAGACAAAAAGAATCATTCAGGCTCAGAGAACAAGGGGAATAGCTTTCAGTTTTCACTACTTCTATTTGAGGAACTCCTCGTTCACATCTGCAAATGAAACCCTAAGGAATGGCTCCGCTTGCTAATGTAAAGGAATCAGAAGAGCATGTAAATGACCAGCACTGGACCCAGATAGCCCAGAGATGTTATTATCCATCTTGAATCAATAGCAAAAAGGCCTAATTTACTTCCTGCTGCATACATAAACATACTCTAAATCTTATGCCTTAGTTGTGTTGTATAAATATATTTTATGTTTACTTACTATGTTTTTACACACAGAGACATAAATCCTATCTACGAGGTGGCTGTTTTACTAATTGTCTATATCCTATACTCGTTTTCATCTACCTTATATATCTTTATGTGACAATGTTACTCATTTTTTAAGTTGTTAGTAGCAATAAAACAGATATCACAAGTACCTTTTCAAGAAGTCACTGACAGGATTTGTAATCTCCACCATAAGGGAATATTTTTCATCGTTTAGACATTTCAGCATAATTTGGGAAAAAAATTCCAGGAATCTAGGTCTCTGTTTAAATTTCATAACTATGAAAACAAGGAAGTTCATACATATATAATTACCAATACACTGTTGTTAGTGTTGAATGGTTACTATTACTAATACACATTTTGTTCTAACAGAAAAATTTATTAACCTGTTTTTTAGATTTCTCACTTTTTTAAAAAAAATGTAGAGTAAATGTGGTGAGAACTACTATTTTCTAAAATCAAATAACCTTTTCAGTCTATATTTCATTTATTTTTCAAACAACACAGTGTTAAGAAAGATTTCTTAAAAGTTCCTCTCATGTATGACTAGTTGAAAAAAAAATTACAGAATAACTAGTTATCCTACTTTTTATTATATTGCACTCTGAGTTAAGCAATAATGTTGCTGTTTCTTCACAGCTGAACTTAAGGATCACTAACACATTTTTCAATCCTCTAGTTTTTATTAAGTTTCATCTACTACCCAAATAAGTCACAATCAAGTTTCTGTCTTCCCAAACTTTAAATCAGGCTCCTATTTCAGTCTCTTTCATCACTTGACAATCAAGAGTCTGAATTATTTTCAACAAGTAAAGACCCCAAATCTTCTGCCTGGTTAGACCAAGCATGTCAAACTCACCACCAACAGGTTGCATGTCCCAATTAGGCATGTGGCCTGCCCAGCCGAGAGTTTGACATGCTTGAGTTAGACCTTTAAGTAGTAACAACAAAATCTATGGAATGAATGATCTTCAATAGTAAGTTGAGTGAAGAGCATGTACACATTTAAGTCACCTACCTTCTTTCACAGCACCTTTGACCGACCAATTTAAAACTATAGGGTAAAGAAAGATAGGGTCCTCTGATCCTGAGAGTTCAGCTGTAACTAAGGTTAAAAATATTAATAAGTAATACATACTGTTTAATATCAATAACCAAATAGAAAAATTCTTTGGAGGAGACAAAAAATAGGGGGGGGGGGACCCCAAGTATTCTTTCTAAATTATGTGCCTTAAAATTATAATAATAATATTTTAGAGATTAAAAATTTCAATAATTTCAATTATTTTCTTTTCATTCCCCCCACCCAAGAACCAAGGAGTCTGCTACCAAATAGCTGAAGAGTTTCCAAGGCACAAGTTTCTGTTATTCAACAGCTGTCATATATCAGCAAAGCCCAGACTCAGAAACCCACCAATTATATTAACTCCATTTTTATAAAATTATCATTTAAAGACAACAAAGCATAGAATAATGAACAGCACAACCAATGGAGCCTAATTGCCTGGGCTCAGAATCTAACCCAGACATCTTTAAATTATGAGATCTTGGGAAGGTACTCAGCTTCTGTGTGCCTCAGTTTTCTTATCTCTAAAATGGGAATAACAACAGTAAGTTCTTCGTATAATGGTTATATAGAAATTGTATGAGTTTTGATATGTATAAAACACACAGTAGTTTCTGGCACATAGGAAACAGTAAATTAGTAACATTACACTGTGCTTCCTGGTAAAATGTTAGGTTTTTGTGTTTGTTTGTTTTGATAATATGAAAAGAAATAAATCACATTTCTAGAACACTTTACATTTTAAGGAATTACATGTTTATAGGTACCCAGACAATTACAGCTTTCAATAAACTATGTTTACTGGTTGTGTGAATAATAGAGCATTGGGTTCCATTCATAAATTCAGCTTATAAACACCCAGATATCACTGAGACACACAGTAAGAGAGGTAAATTAGGGACACATAAGTCTACAGGTATGGTCAGTTCCCCAGAGACTATGGGGCCAAAAGTGGAGCCTCCCACTTGAAAGAAATGTAGGTACTCTCCTGTTCTTCTGGAAGATCTGAAGTACCTGCTTTTTAAAAATGTGATAATACTTATCACCACAAACTAAATCAATTGCTTACGCAGATTTCCAAATTGCAAACTCCCAAAATTCCAATCATTGTGTTAATGTATTACTATATAACACAATGATCTGAAATTAAACTAATCTTTCACTTGAGTAGACGGTGTTTCAAGTCACACACACATTAAGACCTCTCATGCTGTCATTTTTTATTTCTCAATTACCCTTTGCTGTTAGAGCAGTGCTTCTCAATTTTGCACTCTCCCTCCCCAACTTATTTGGCAACATTTGCCTCCCAGTTGGCTGTCACAGCTGGGGGAAAGGGACGGGGAGTCTTGTGTGCTATGTATCTAGGACAGAGGCCAGAATGCTGCTCAACCTCCACAATGCCTAGGACAGTTCCTCACAGCAATTATATGGCCCAAATTGGCCATAGTGTCAAGGTTGAGAAGCCCTGCTTTAGAATCAGAAGAGATAGGCTCAAATCCAAGCTAATGATGCAATCCTAACTAAATCACTTAATCTTTATGGGTCACATCTGTAAAAAGCAGTTAGCAACCCCTTATTAACAGAATATTATTAGGATTATAAATTTAAATTTATTATATAAAAGCCCTATGTAAACCTTAAAGGGTTTACCCAAATGCTAATCTCCCCTTCATCCTTTTAACAAAATATTTTCTTATTTAAATATATATATATATAAGCTCAACACAAGTATACAGAAAGAAAACAAAATGACTACATTGCTTCGTCAGTTTGAGAAGGTATGATTCCATCAAGAGCAACTGTTCATTTATTTTTTCAGGTGACAATGTCTGCTGTGGCCTCTTGGTCCTAGAAGTCTTCTTAGAACAACCCTAGAAACAGTGGTTACATCTCAGGATGCACTTCAACATGTTTCAGCAATTGTCATTTTCTCATTTTCCCAAATAGCATTCTTAAAATTCTGTTTCTGTACTTATAAATAAAACCATGATCTCCATGGCTAAACAACGTGAATTAATAAATGCCAGAGGCATGGGGGGGGGGGGGGGGGCCTCACCAGGGACACATGCGAGGAGTGTCCTGAGGCAAAGCCTGAGTGATAAGCAGGGGCTGGATGACAGGCTCTGAGAGAGAACACTTGGTGGGGGGAAAAACCTTCAAATCCCCTCCAGCTTAATCAAACCCTCTCTAGATAAAGCAACCCCCTTGAAAAAGGATTGTGGCTAAAAATGTTATCCAGTTAAACTGTGCTGATCGTTGAAGGTTTTTGTGGCAAACAAATGCTTCCATGGAAACTCAACGTATAACAGAGAAAGAAACGGAGCTACTCTAACTGATGCAGCCACAACCGTCACTGAGGAGCTTCAGGTAATTCCTAGCACCTCAGAAACCTGATCAACTAAGTGACAATTAAAGTTTGATTAACCAAAGCATTTAACCATATAGTTTCCAGAAAAGGCAATAAAGCAGGCTCTAGTAAGCACCAAGCTTGGGAGACAGATATTAAAAAGTTGTCTCAAAGAGTAGCAGTCTTCTAATAAAGATAATTTAGGTGTGACAATGAGTTTGGGAAATCTACTTTGAATACTGAGAAAAGCTCTGACATGTTCTCACTACATTCAGTGATGCACGCAGGATAATCAGATCTTCAATTTGGGAGACTTTACAAGGGCTTTTAGTCCAATGTCCAGCTGGGTGCAGGAAGCTCACTACCAGCCGTAAATGATGATCAGTAGGGGTGAAAGGGAGCTTTCCAGTATTTTAGCATGAATTAATTTTTTTTAATCACAAAAGAAGCCGAAACCAGTTTGGCTCATGGGATAGAGCATCGGCCTTTGGACTGAAGGGTCCCGGGTTAAATTCTGGTCAAGGGCATGTACCTTGGGTTGCAGGCACATCCCCAGTAGGGGGTGTGCAGAATGCAGCTGATCGGTGTTTCTCTCTCATAGATGTTTCTAACTCTCTATCCCTCTCTCTTCCTCTTTGTAAAAAAATCAATAAAATATATTTTGGGGGGGAAAGTGGGGGGAGGGGATCAGCTCTTCACTATATATCACTTTTCTTTTATGTAAATATAACAAATTAAAAACTGTTTTGAACATGTTTACTAATAACACACGATCTCTTTAAAGACTCAACTAAATATAAGCTTAGAGATGAGGAACAAAAAAGAGTTACCTCCTCTTGTGTTTCTTCTTGCTCAATCATACCAAATAGGGATTTGCATTCTGGCGTGATGTCCAACATCTTTTTTCCATAATTTATAATAATTACTGCCAGATCATGTTCCTTCCATGAACGCAGAATCTAATTTAAAATATTTAATAAATCATCTCTGTTGGAAACTCTTGATGATGCTCATGTGTCTTACATCATCTTTCATAAATTCAACAGCCCCATCAATGTTTTGGGTCTAAGAATTACCATTTCTGTTAAGGAAACTGAAAGCTAACCTCCAGATCATATGTCCCTAGAATTAAAACTGCTCGATTTTATTCTTTTTGAATAAGGGAAAAATAACAGGAATCTCATCAATAATGAATACCCTGTACCTCTGGGACGTATAGCCCTATACGTTTGGTAAGTTAACTACTCAGAAAATGTTTCCACTTAAAAGATCCACATTTTTTAAAAAATTCTGCTGAAACCAGTTTGGCTCAGTGGATAGAGTGTCGGCCTGCAGACTGAAAGGTCCCAGGTTCCATTCCGGTCAAGGGCATGTACCAGTGGGGGATGTGCAGGAGGCAGCTGATCAATGTTTCTCTCTCATTGATGTTTCTAGCTCTCTATCCCTCTCTCTTCCTCTCTGTGAAAGATCAATAAAATATATATTTTTTAAATCATTCTTAAAGTCCACATAACCATCACCTCTTGTCCTGAGTTGCTTTCCATGTGAAATGGCAAAATTACTAACAATGGTGTTGGGGGAGGGGCATTTACAACCATAAATGCATGACAAGGCACTCTGATAGTAGGCTGAGCTAGAATGAAGCTGTTTTGGGCAGATTCTCCATGAACCCCAGTAGAAGCAGACACTAATCATAAGAAGGTGAGTGGCCCACTCCATATTTTCCTGTTATTGCTGTTCTTTGCCTTCTCTGCCTGGTCCTTAGCTACCTCTCTAGTGTAATCATTGACCACTCATCTTCTTGCACTTTTAAGTTTACAAAATATTGGCCCAAGTGTAAATTCTGACCATGGTTTCAGGACTTCATGCTTCCTTACAGCTGAGCCATTTCCCAGAACAGCTTCCTCTTCTTTAATTAGAGTAATGTCAGGGTTATTAACATAACCTGGTCATTAAAACCTGGATTCTAGCATCAACTCCAAGAAAGCTTCCCTGGCCAGCAATCTAATTTGTAGGGAGCTTGCTGCAGTGAAGGGTCACATGAAGGAAACACTCACGGAGAACCCCACAACGCAATTCTCTGTGGGTAGAAATAAGTTCATATGAACTTGTTATATGTAGATGAGTTCTGTCAAGTTGAATAAGTTAGTATTTACAATGAGTAACAAGTGTTACTTCCCATGCAGGGAAAGGATATAATAAGTGACTGAACAAGGAAGTGAATAGCTGCTTAAACCTGATAAGACTGACTTCATGCAAGGTGTAAGAACTGGAAATACTTCTGTGGGACCAGCGCCATAGTGGTATAAAGTAATGCTGACTGTGGAAACTAAGGATGGGAAGGAAAATGGTGAAATAGCATTTGAAAAGGTAGATGGGGTTAGTCATTCAAGGCCTTGAATGCCAAGCAAGGCAGTCCAATCTTATTATAAAATTGATGCAAGAAGGAGATAGTTTTGCTATTAGAAAACACAAATGGCGTAATGTTTGCTCTCTCCTCAACTTTGCTTTCCGACATATTTAGGTCCTCTGTTGATGGAGTATTACACAATCATTTCTCCTTGTTATAATATGCCAGTAGAAAATATTAAATGAAAAAGAACATTTCAAATCAAAAGAAAAAGAGAACCAATTGTACTTAACACATCAAATGAGCAGAAACAAAAAGACTAGGCCAGATGGTTAGCATAATAGTTTTTTAACAATGGAAAATAATGAAACACTGAAGACTATGTGTCTCAGAAGTGACACTTCATGTTGCAATTCTGGCAACTTTGGGGAAAACTACTGCTGCTTGTAGAAGAAAGACTAAACCATCTGAAAAGAGTAGCAATTTTTTCAAAGTAGCAGAGAAAAGAAACTGGCATTTGACAAATTGGGCTTTATAAGAGAAAATCCATATAAAAGTGTGTTTATATGAAATGAACACTTGAAATCTGGGACTGCTGGTCATGCTGGAGGAAGTTTCTGGAACGACAAGTCTCAGCATATCAATTTTGGAAGACTAGTTCTAATAGCAAAATCCTATTTACAGCAAAATCTTAAATTAAAAAAATCCTGCCCTGGCCAGGTAGCTCAGTTGTTAGAGCATTGTCCTAATACGGGGGCATTATACAGCAGGGTTACAGCATCTGATTATACAGCAAGGTTATGGGTTCCATCTCTGGTCAGGGCACATACCAGAAGCAACCAATGAATATATAAATAAGTGGAACAACAAATCTCTCTCTCTCTCTCTCTCTCTCTCTCTCTCTCTCTCTCTCTCTCTCTCTCTCTCTCTCTCACGCCCCCCCCCCCATCCCTTCTCTAAACATATCCTATCCTCAGATAAGGATTAAGAAAGATTTTGACTAATCGACTCTGATTCTTTCTCTTGCCTAGTGGAAGCAGGATTGGCTCCTTGGACTAAGTGCCCATTGAGATTCTTAGATAATCCTCTTCCCTTCTCATCCTACACAGAGTCCCCTTTTATCTATTTCTATTGCTCCCACTGAGCCCATATATTAATGACTCCTTGGTCTTTATACATATTTGGCCTCTTCTGAACTCCAAGCCTATAAATACAATCATATGATCATATAATGGCCACCACCTATATCCTATAGGCTCCCAAATTCAATATATTCAAAACTCATGATCTTTTCTCCATTTTACACACAAAATTGCTCCCCATCAACACATAGCACTGTATTCACCCCACTGCCCAGGGCAGATAACTGAATTGTTGTTGACTCTTCCCTCTCCCTGTTTTATCCCCCTGTACTCAATAGGTTTCCAGGTTCTCAATGCTCTCTCGTTAATAACTTTTTTAAATATATATATTTTATTGATTTTTTTTTTTTACAGAGAGGAAGGAAGAAGGATAGAGAGAAACATCAATGAGAGAGAAACATTGATCAACTGCCTCCTGCACATCCCCCACTGGGGATATACCCGCAACCAAGGTACATGCTCTTGACCTTGACCGGAATCGAACCTGGACCTTTCAGTCTGCAGGCCAACACTCTTATCAACTGAGCCAAACTGGTTAGGGCTCATTAGTAACTCTTGAATATTTTCCATTCCCTCTTCCACTTTTCCACAGTAGCTTAATTTATCATCTCCCACCTTCTAACTCATTCCCTGCCTCAGGTCTTACCTACCCACCACACCCCATCCCTTTAATGATGAGCTGTTACACAACAAGAATAATTTCTTTTTTCTAAAATGCAAATCTCATTATATCATTTCAGGATTTGAAAAGCCATCTACTGTTCCTCTTATTTAATCTATCTGCTTTTTGTTTTGGTGTGTGTGTTTTTAATTCTGTGTCCTGTTGAGAGATATTTTCTCTTACTTCAAGGCCAAACACCCTTGAATCCCTTGGGATTTTATTTTGTGTATAGTATGAGGTAGGATGCTGGCATTGTTTATTTTCAGATGAATTGTCAGTTATACCAGCACCTTTTAACCTGTTAACCGGGGAGTTCCCTTTTTAATGACGCAACCTGTAATGGGCACGTACTCTTTCACTAGGACGTGTCAGTACATCACGCCCGAGGACGTAATTTCATATTATATTTTTTTATTTATACTTAATGAAAATAAATGAAATATATATATATATGTGTGTATATATATATATATATATATATATATATATATTCGTTTATTTATATATATAAAGCACAAAGGAAAATACAAAATTACCAAAAAAAAAATAGAAAAGAATACCGACAAAAAAAAATGGACATGTCGAATTAAAAAATTATAAATTTTACAAACAATGATAAAGATTACAAAAAATAGCCGAAACCGGTTTGGCTCAGTGGATAGAGCGTCGGCCTTCAGACCTAAAGGTCCCGGGTTCGATTCCAGTCAAGGGCATGTACCTTGGTTGCGGGCACATCCCTAGTGGGGGGTGTGCAAGAGGCAGCTGATCGATGTTTCTCTCTCATCTCATCGATATTTCTAACTCTCTATCCCTCCCCTTTCCTTCCTCTCTGTAAAAAATCAATAAAATATTTAAAAAAAAAAAAGATTACAAAAAATATATACCGTCCCTCTCAGGGCGCAACATATATTTCAAGAACGTATTCATACGTCCTACCCGTTCCCGATATTGTTTACGTTTGACATATTTTTAGGTCCCGCTCAGTTAACAGGTTAATAAATAAACTATTATAATAAACTAGAGGCCTGGTGCATGAAAATTCATGCACTGGAGGGGGTGGCAGCCCAGCCTACCCCTTCTCACAGTCCAGGAGCCCTCAGGGGAGGGAGGTGACCTGGCGATCAGGGGAAGATAACACTCCCATCACACCTCTGCTGCTGCCACTGCCAGTAGTGCAAGCCTTAGCCAGCCTTGGTTACCTGAGCCTTGGGTGGCCCTGGGCAGCTGGACAGCCACCATCCAAGGCTTGCCTGCACCCTGGGCCAGCCCTGAGCAGCTGGGGGACTGAGGAGACTTGGGGACTCTGAAGGCAGGCATGTGGTGGGGCTGAGGGGACCATCTTGTGGCTATGGGCACCACCATCCTTGAGAGCATGGAAGTCATTTAGCATATTCCCTCCTTATTGTCTATGGGTGCCACCATCTTTGCGATGGTGTGAGGGTCAATTAGCATATTCCATCTTTATTAGATAGGATTATTATTTTCTTAATGAACCAAAATAGCGCTTTTGTCATATATTAAGTTCTTCTGTAGACCTGGGTCTGGTTCTTGCTGGATTCTCTTTTTTTTTTTTTTTTTTCACTGACATTTGCCCATTATTATACTAACACCACTTTTTACTGAAGTGGATTTATGGTAAATTTTAATATCTATTGAGGACATTTAAATTATCCTAATCAGTTTCAGAGAACCCCCATTGGGATTCTTATTTGGAATACATTACATTTAAATATTATTTTAGGAAAGATTTACATTTCTATGAGAGGAAGTCTTCCTGTTCAGGAACTTGGTGTGACCTACCATATGTTCAGATCTTTTCTGTGTCCTTTGGTAAGATTTCACAGTTCTTTTATTTATGTTCTTTAACATTTTGTTAAATTTAAAATATTGTGCATTATAAGTGCTATATTTTCCCCTCTCCATTTCTAACTGGCTACTGTTAATTTTTTTTAAAAAAAATCTATAAGTATTTTACATATAATCACTTTATAAAATCTCTTTTTCTTCTAATAACTTTTGACTAGATTCTCTTAAAATTCTCTTTTTACTTCTAGTAACTTTTTACTAGATTCTCATGGTGCTTTGAGACCTCTACAATTATAAATAAATTATACTTTTCTATTATAAAATTAATTTCATATTCTTATCTATTGCATGAAACAGAATCTCTATAAATAATGAATCATACTTTTAAGAGTCAGTATTTCCTGTGCCTAATTTTTTTTTAAATGGCTTCAGAAATTTGCCATTTAGTAAGATAATTGTTGTAAAACTTTGGTAAATGTCTTATCATTACATTAATTCCCCCTTTCCTGAGGTTTTGCTTTCTGTGATTTTATTTATTGTGATCAACCTTGGCCCCAAATATTAAATTTCCCCAACCATAGACATCATATATATATGTCTAACCATAGGCATTGTGATGGCTCAATACCCCAGGATCACCCCAAGCAGATGATCCTCCTTCTGATTTATCATCAGAAGCTCAATAGTAACCTCATGCTACATCTCAGTGCCTAAGTCATTCACCTCACTTCACCTCACTCATCATGTAGGCATTGTATCACCTCACATTATCACAAGAAAGGTGAGTACAGTACAATTAGATATTTTGAGAAAGAAAGAGACCATATTTTCATAACTTTTATTATAGCATATTGTTATAATTTTTCCATTTTATAATTATATATTGTTATTCATCTCTTACTATGTCTAACCTTATCATATGTATGTATGGGGGAAAACATAGTATATATACGGTTCAGTAGTTTCAGGCATCCAATAGGGATCTTGAAACATTTTCCCCACAAATAAGGAGTGACTACTATATTCAATAGCTTCCTTTAATTCCTAAGTTATTTTGAAATTTTATTAAGAAAAATTGGTAAGTATTATCAAATGCCTTTGTAGCATTTTTATATAACCTTATTTTTTTATCCTTTAATTTGCTGTTGTAAAACATTCAAATTTTGTTTTAATTCAGAATTGATCTATATTACTTGACAATAAGACTGTCCTAAGACCAGAAAATCCCCAGATGCATCAAGGATAAAAGAAGGGTGGTAAGACAGAGGAGAATTGAAAAACACTATAGAATGCCCTTTTTTCTGAGGAATAGAGAGACAGAATCACCTAGGAGAGGAAAATATCGATCAGCTGTGCCCTGCATGCCCCCACAGGGGATCAGCCTGCAACCCAGGCAGGAGCCCAAGCCTGCTCTCCCCCTCCCTACCCCTCTGCCTCTGTTCTGGGTGGACACTCAACCACTGAGCCAGACTGGCTAGGCTGAATTCTTTTTCAGATGTGAAAATTGCTATTCTTCCTTTATTTTTATTTGCATCTTCCCAGTACTTTTATCTAATCATTTATTTTTCAACCAGTATTTGTCACTCTGTTTTATGAGTGTTTCTTGACATGAAATACATTTAAATCTGACTTTTTAACCCATCTGCCAAACTCTGTCTTCTAAGTCCATTCACACTTAGTGAAGTAATTAATATACTGTATTTTATTCTTTCCATCCTATATACTCTTTTTCCTTCTAACTTTTGCTGAATTAGGCATTCTTCTTCCCAGTCATTCTTCTGTTCATTTTTCCTTCCTATCAATTTAGAAGTCCTACTGTGCTGTAAATTTCTATTCATAGCTACATATTCCTCTGGGCCATCTTTGAATATATTTATTCTATCAAAAGAAAGTAATGTTATAATATATGTATTTTATACTATATTTTAAACACACACACACACACACACACACACACACACATTCATGCATCAAGATTCTCTGACTGCTCAACCCTCCCTCAGCCCCAAAGAGGATTTAAGTTTTAATTCTAGGTTACTAATAAGTTTTCCTTTCAAGGATGATTCTTCTATTTCAAGAAACCCTACTTAGCATTTATATTAGAAAGTCCTAGTCACATCATTATTATCTATTTAATTTTAATAATATGTATATTGTCAGATTCATTGCTCCCATTATTCCTCTTTTCTTTTGTCTTTCCCTATCTTGGGACTTCTGTTCTGAGCCAACTGTCATTTGATAGAGTATTTCCTCAAGTGTTTTCCTCAGATAAGTACACAGGCAGAATACTTTTTCAATGCCTGTACTTCTGAAAATGTTTATTTTGCCCTGAGAAATGAATGGTATCTTTCCTGGTTATTAATTCTTAGACCCTCAGGATTTTACAATGTTGTTCCATCTTAATTTTAGTGTTACTGATAAAAAAAAAAAGTTTTAAACTAATTAATTATTTTCCATTGCAAATAACCTATTCTTTGAGTCTCAAAACTTCAAGATTTGTCCTTATCCTTGGACTTCAGGCATTTCACCAGGATATGACTACACATATGTTCTTACATTTATCTTGCATAGGACCTATTACTTCAGGGAGCCTATTACTTCTCCATTTGTTTCTTTTTTACCTCCAAAACTCCTTTCATTTAACATTATGACTTCTGAGTTTATCGCTAAATAATTCTGTACATTTTCAGGTATTTGGTGAGCTTCTACATTTGACTCAAGAAATACCATAACCAGAATCTGTTTAATTTTTACTAAAAAATTAAATTTCTTTGTTCACTGACAGATATTCTTGTTTTGTTTTGATCACCTAATGGCACTACCTTGAAAGTTTTATGTCTTCTTTTGCTGTTGTTTTTAAATCATCTCTGGTCTTTTCCAACATGGTGAGAGTAAATGGCACAATTATTTTAGTTCTGGTCTGCTCTTTCCCCTTGGGGTTCTAAGTTTCCTTTAGTGAGTTATTACGCTCCTCATTCTGCTATGGCTTATGTTCCCTTGGAATTTACACAGACCAGGTCCTAGATGTCTCTCCAACAGTGTAAGTCAATGAGTGATGGAAAGAATATGATTTTCTGCTCCTGAGGTCAGGCCATAAAGAGCTGCAAATAATTACTTCTTTGCTAAGGTGGAGGTTAGAGGTGTGTCTGTTGCTTCAGTTCCATAGAAGCAAGCTTTGTCACAACCAAAGTGATGGACCAAATCAGTCTCTTCCCCCTCCCCCCCCCCCATGCAGTATTCTTTCAGATCCCTGCCCAAATCAGAAAGGCCCTATGAGCATCACATAAAACAGGCAGGTAGACACAACCCTTCTTTGAGGAGATTCACTGGATTAAGTCAACAAAACCTTTGAAGAAGCATACAACGCTTGTCTTTGAGCCAAGCAATGAAGATAAATAAGCCTACCTCTCTGCCTCTGGTCCCTTGGTTCTTTCTGGTTTCCAAAATGCATGAGGTACCATAAAATGCCTTCTTTTCATCCCATTCCTCCCCAAGGTACACCCTCCATGCTTTACCAACTGGCATGCCTAGGCTACTTTTGATCTAAAATGCTTTCTAGATATTAATTTTTAAATTAATTCCTATAAAAGTAACTTCACTTTCTGAATCATTACTGCTCCTAAATTTTATGATACAAGGCAAAGAATAAGATAAATACCTTTGTTATGTAGAAGAGACAACAAGCTATCATATGCTGTATGCTTTCAAAACTTGCCATATTTTTCTTTGAGTGGATGACACTTGGTAGTCCTTGCAAAACCACCATACACTTTATCAAGATCTAAAAAATAGAAACGCAACAGTTTGCTGAAAATATTATCCTTACACATTATAAAATATTCCATTAAAATCATGCAAGTTTTAAGGCATTAAATTTTATTGTTATCAATAAATTGTTTATCATGTATAGAGGAATATTCTTTGAAAGAAAATTGGTATCAATTTTCAGATCAGTCCTTCATCTAAAATAACTTGAAAATCTATGGAAATAATAAGTACATGAATAACTATAAAACAAATCATATTTTGTCAAGTGTCATAAAAGATATAGACAGAATATTACATGGATATAAAAAGCATTAAGATCAGATCCAGTCTTAGGAAGTCCTTGAAAAACCATATGGAGAAAGATGTACCGTATTAAATATACTGATACTAGGTACTTGAAATACTAGTTTCCTTCAAAATTAAAACCAAATATTCATATCCCAGGAAAATAATTAATTTTGATGTTTATTTCTGTCTCCTTGCTATAAGTATTATAATACTACCCCATCAGAAAAATTGAATTAAGATTGCATCAATCTATTTTTTATTCAGATTATCCCAAAGGACAAATTAATATATGGATGTTGGTCTTTTGGGGGTTTGTTAATTGCTTCAGACTACCATTCCAACAATAGTATTACTATTGTCACAGTACACTTACAGGTTTTAAAATGCTTCTTTACTCCCTTCCACCATCACCCTCTTCTGCCCTTCCAGATCATGTCCACAAATCATGTTAACATTAAGTTGTCATTTTCTCCTGCCTCAAATAATTGTGTGTGTGTGTGTGTGTGTGTGTGTGTAAATACTAAATGTACATAATAACAGAATTATGTTAGGTTACAAAATAAGATTTATACACACTTTTGTGAACTGTGCATTGCTCCTTCAACCATGTCTTGTGAAAAAAATCCCTCCAAGTCTACAGGTTTAGCTCCAATTCATTATTCCTAATACTGCATAATTATTTACTGTGGATCAACCATCAGTCAGCCACTTCCAGAATCTCCATGTTGCAGTTTTAGAATTGAGATTTTGCAGTGTGGCCATCCTCCTGCTACTTCACTTTCTCTGTCTCCACCACCAAGAGTAGCACAATAAAATAAGTACCCTTATACAGGCTCAGTTTCCAATGAAACCCAATGAGGAAGAGGCACCATCCTCCTGGGCATAGCATACATTCTAAGTCGGTGACAATTACGTGGTACTGTGTCCCCAGCAGGTAGAACACATGGATCCAGGAATGAAGGGATGAAACTTGGAGTAGCATCTTTCCAACTGGTGATTTTTAAAAATATATATTTTATTGATTTTTTACAGAGAGGAAGAGAGAGAGATAGTCATAAATGTCGATGAGAGAGTAACATCCACCAGCCGCCTCCTACACACCCCCCACCGGGGATGTGCCTGCAACCAACATACATGCCCTGACCGGAATCGAACTCGGGACCCTTCAGTCCACAGACTGATTCTCTACCACTGAACCAAACCGGTTTTGGCATCCAACTGTGATTTTATTCTGTGGGATAAATTACTAATAGAAGGATTGCTTTGTCAGGTAGATATATTTTAATTTCACTAAAATGTTATTCTTTGGGATAAATTACTAGTAGATGGATTGCTGTCAGGTATATTTGTTTTTAGTTTAATTAAAATTAGATTTAGTTTAATTAAAATTAGATTGCTTTACCAAATCCAATGCCTTTAACAATTCACATTTCCCCCATTAATGAAATGAGAATGCCTTTGCCCCACATCCTCACTAGCAATAGGAGTTATAGATATTTTCAATCCTGCCACTGACATGAGATTTTTCACTTAATGTGCACATATATGAATATTCAGTTTGGGCAGCTTTCATATGTCTCTCAGCCAGTTGGATTTGCTTTTCCGATAAACTACCTATTTGTATCCAGTGCCCACTTTTCTGTTATACTAGTGTCAATTTGTAAGACTTTTTGTTATGTATACTTACCCTTCATCAATTTGTGCTATCTTTATTATGGTCCCTTTTTTCACACATAGATTGCTGTACATACAGTCGAATATGTTTTTTTCTCTTGTTGCTTCTAAGAGTTCTGTCTTGCTTAGAAATGGTTCCCCAACCCTGGATTGCAGAGGTAATCCCTTGGGATTTTTTGTCACATTTTTTGCTTAGTTTGGTATTTACAATATCGATATTTTTAATATGGTACAAATAGAATCAAACTCAACTTTCTTTCAAATGAATATCTCAGTGTTTCACTACAACTTATTAAAAATATTCACTCTCCACTAAATTGGGATGCCAATTCTGCCATACATTACATTCTCATACATATTAAGGCCTATTTCTAGAATCTTCTCTCTGTTCCACTCATCTTTTCTTATTCTAAATAATGCACTTCATTCCTAAGGCTTTCCTCACACTATAAGCCATTCTGAGCTGTAACCAAAGGCATCCTAAGTCAGTGGGATCCTAAAGAATGACATTGGACTATCCTGAACTCAACCAGCCTGAGCCCCAAGCACAGCTGCTGATCCTAATGTGGATTCTTTGCTAGACCACATTACAAGGCATGCATTGATATGGTTAATGTTTTCTTTTCTACACTCTAGGAAAGAAGTATTAGATGTTCCCATTCACACTGGGCAGATAAGAATATACACTTAAAGTCTTGCCCCAGAGCAATAACTCTCCCACCTTCTGACATAATATTTTATGAAAGATATGAACTTTCTGGGTGATTCTCAAAACAAAACATTGGACCACTATACCAGTAACATTATGTCAGTCAGACCTAATGAACAAGAAATGGCAAGTGCACTAAAGACCTTAATACAATGCATGCCCTCCAGAGGGTAGAAATAAACCTAATTAAGATTTAGGGGCCTGACACATTAAGTAAATATCTGAGACACCCCTTCCAAAGTAAGTCTGACATCTGACATCTATCATTCCTTAAACAGAGAAGACAATGACAGGTAGACTCCTTTGGATTCAGGAGGAAGAATATTCTACACTTGAAAATACTGCTCCAGTCCATTTAGAAGTGACATGGAAGGCTGCCAACTATTGAAAATATTAGTCTAGATGCTGGATTTTGGAGGCCTATCTCTTGAGCAGCTGAACTACTAGATGTGGGGAATTTGGGAGGAGGAGGCATGTCTATACTCCAGTAAAGCCACTCCAAGGTGAATATTTGGTAACTTATTTAAGCTCTCTGATTAATTTCCTCAATAGTGAATTTAAAATTTTTACACTTTGTATAAGTTCACTGACATCATCTTGGCTCTCAAAATGTGAGCCAATGATGATGACAATGATGGTGATGATGAGTAACTTTATGCACCATCAGCAGTAAAATCTTCCTCCTCCCCTATTTCCTTATCCTAGGCAGATTCTAAAATAGTCTGCAAGTCCCTCCCCCTGATGTGTAAGCTCTGTCTAATCCCTCCCCTCGAGTGGAGGTAAGATCTGTGAAGGTGATGGTGCAGTCACTCTTATGACTGCATTTCATTATATAAGACTCAGGCATAGCAGAGAAGACTCCCCTGCTGGCCTTGAAGAAGCAAAGTGCCATGTTGGGCAGAAAACTGGTAGGCAGCCTTCAGGAACCAAGGACCTCCTATCACACAATCGCAAGAAAATGAATTTCCTCAACAACCAGTGAGCTTGGGAGAGGATCCTAAGGCTCAAATGAGATTGCAGCCCTGGTTTCAGCCTAAGACATTGAGCAGCCCAATTAAACCACATTCAGCTTCCTGGCCCACAGAAACTGTGATAGTAAATGGGTGTTCTTAAGTCATTAAGTTTGCAGTGATTTGTGAGGTAGCATGAACAACTAATATAATCCCTTCAGCCAGGATATCTTGTAACTCCTCCATCACTGAGACATCAAGCATATTTTCTTGGGTCATCCAGCAATCCCACCCCCCCCCCAGGTGATAACTTTAACAACATGCTTTGAATAAATACTGTTGCTTCAAACATTACAAGAACACAAAAATTGAAATGAAATTTAAAAATGTGGATAAGTATATTGTCAGTATTTAAATATAGACAGCACTGGGGCTGATTATTTTCAGAGAAACACATTTTAAGTCCTTATTTATGTCTGCCCAGACATATCATTTAAATTATTTAAATGTTTTTCAGTTAACTCATGACATTTCATAAAATACTTGTTATTTGTACTTGATAAGAGATACATTGTTTTATTTTCCAAAATGCACTGCTGAGTTGCCTTTGTAAAAATACCCTTGTCTGGAAGGAGAAGAGGAAGAAATACCCTTACCTGTATGACAGGTACCAAAACAATGTTGTGATAGATTATAGGAGCAAGAAGGCCATAGCATTGAGTCACAGCTTGAAGAGCATAACTGGAATCATTTAGGTAGTTGCTAAGTTCCAATGCGACTAACACTCTCTCACATTCCATCAGTCTAGCAATCTGTAAAGAAACAGGTATTGTTACGCAAATTAAATATCAGGTACTTCGCTAATGTGTCTAAGGAAAACAAAGGTAGGAAATATGATCCCTATGGTTTAACAGATGAATGTTGGCATAAAGAGAAATCTAAATTCAGGAACAACACTAACTCCCTAATAATGCTACACAATAATACCACAATTTTAGAATTAAACTTCAGAATTTTTTGTAAAACAATACAAATACCACTAGTAACAGAAAAAGAACCAATCTTTGTAACTGGTAAGATAAAATCTTGGCTGTTTTAATGTAAGAGAAAAAAAACAGAGTTGTTGCAAAAGCATAAATTATAATAATTAAAATATAATTTCTCTGTTATACTGCCCCCACTTGATTAACAGAGTCCCATTTCCCTTCTGAATTTGTGAGAAAATAGCAAATTTTCAGTAGAGCCAACTATTCCCCTTATAATTCTCCTACATAAGTAAAAATTATAGTAAAATGTGAAGAGAGGCTTTTGTGATTAAATGATACTTAAAAAGAATAAGAATCTTATCTTATTCCTCCTTTCCTTTTCCTGAGGAAGATTTCATTATTTTTCTGTGTATATACATACAAGATTATGTACAAATAAAACTGTATAAATAGCAACCAGAAATTTCTACATAACAAATTATTACTCAAATTCTAGCCTAGCATTCTGGAAATCATTGAAGTACTTTAAAATTATCTTTCTTTTCAGACTGGATGCTGAAAGAAGAAACTGAATACGATGTATAGTAGGAACAGATTGATGGTTGTAAGTGCTTGGGCTCTGCAAGACTGTGCACCTGCCTTGGACAAAGAATCATGGTGTGTGTTTTTTTCACTTTCATATTCATAAAAACTAGCACAAATTCACATAACAAATTATTGATTAAAAGATGAATAAGGGCATGAGTAGAAAAGAGCAACTGCAAAAGAACCTAACAGCCAGGCTGGCATGACTCAGTGGTTGAGCATTGGATTATGAACCAGGAGGTCAAGGTTCAATTCCTGGTCAGGGCACATGCCCAGGTTGCAGGCTCAATCCCTGATAAGGGGTATGTAGAAGGCAGCTAATCAATGATTCTCTCTCATCACTGAAGTTTTTATCTATCCCTCCAACTCTCTTCCTCTTTGAAATCAATAAAAAAAATATTTTTTAAAAACAACAACCTAACAACAAAAAATGGCAAAACCCTCCATATATCTAAAGTGGAAAAAGTAACTTCAATCTAAAAAGAAGAAAAAAATGTAGGATTGTTATTAAAAGCAAGAGTGTAGCCAAAACCGGTTTGGCTCAGTGGTAGAGCATTGGTCTGCAGACTGAAAGGTCCCGGGTTCGATTCCGGTCAAGGGCATGTACATTGGTTGCGGGCACATCCCCAGTAGGGGGTGTGTAAGAGGCACCTGGTGGATGTTTCTCTCTCATCGACGTTTCTAGCTCTCTATCTCTCTCCCTTTCTCTCTGTAAAAAATCAATAAAATATATATTAAAAAATAAATAAATAAAAATAAAAAATAAAAAAAATAAAAGCAAGAGTGTAATCGGGTTGTGGATGTACATAGAACAATGTTCATAAGCTCCCTGAGACCATCAATAGAACAGAGGTTAAATACCTGCCTCTGTATAGGAATGCATTGTTATAATTAAAAAAGAATTTGGTAATTGACATGTACCAGCATGAAAATATGTCCAAGATCTATATTATAAAAACCCAGTGTCCCTAATGCTATAATGACCGAAGACTGGCACAGATGGGTGGGCCTGTAAGTGCTGCGGAATGTGTGTGATTTCGCATGCCGGGCTTCTACAGTAGTATATTATAAAAATGTTTAAAAGCCAACATGCAGAACAACAAATACATCATGATCCCATATAAATTTGGGGAAAAGAGAAAAGATAAACCTGTGAATCCTACATGGACTATCAAATAAGTCAGCACAAACACACATGGCTCCTCAGTCCATTCGCAAGCCAGGACTTACATTCCCACAAAATATGAAGTTGAAACATCAAGAAACAAATAAAGGAAAACTGGCACATTCTCAGTCATTTTAATTCACTTACTTGTTGAGCAGGAAAAATCTCATTGCCTTTGATATTATCACAGAAAAGATTTTCTTCTTTAATTTTAATGTCACTTGTTACAAAAATATTTCTGAGAAAAAGGTATAAAAGGATTGAAGAAGTCTCTGCCAAAATATCTGAATATAATCTGCAAAAAGGAGTAAATGACATTACAAGTTTAAATATAAGAATGATTTATCATGTGAACTTGCCTTTTTAGACTAATTTATTCTTAGTATCTACACAATGATCCCAAGTCTTGGAACAACTACTCTGGTTCAGTGTTAAGTTAAAAACAAAGACTATCCTTAACAAGCTCACAACTAAAAGAATTAAGCTGTCATAGATACATAAAAATAACTATTGTCAAAGCTTTATGGTTTTAATATATAAAGTTATATTTTATCAATATAATGAAATCACTATAGACACTCATTAATGAACTTTATGAAAATGAGGGCCATTTATAGTAGAATCAGCTGGGGGTGGGGTCGAGAGAGAAAAACTTTTGCATTATTTCTAATTATCTTTTCTAAGTTGCAGTCAACAATGCCAACCATTGGCAAACCTGGGAGCTCTACAATCATCCTTCTTTGTTTGCAATATTCCCTCCCTTACTCCTTAGTCTTATTTGGTAGCAAACCCTCCCTTCTAAATTTCAGGTTCATCTACTCTCCATACACCATATTCCTATAAAACAAGAAAGAGTCTAGCATCAGTAATTCACACCTGAGGAGTGTCTGTTTTATTATTAAGTTAAACTCTAAAATTATCTTTGCTTGGAGAATTTTAGCTATCCTACTCTATTTGTCCTCATGCTAACCATCAGAACCTTGAAATAGGCAATCATTCCAGGCTATCAGCTCCTCCTGGCTCCATCTCCTTCCCTTCCCAGCTCAGACTCTGATAGTCATGTCAATAGTGGCCTATGTAGCACTTTAGATTCTGCAAATCTTATTTTATGCAATAATCAATTTTCCTGCCCTTGCATAAATGTCACTGTCCGATTTTTATATTTACTTATTTATTCTCATTCTTTTTATTCAATCCATACTATCATTTTCTGAACACTTACTATGTACAAGACACTATTCTAGGACCTGGGATATAAAGATGAATCAAAAGTGGCTCTTTGACACAGGAACTGGGCTCTACTACAATAAATTCATGTTATGTGACAGCAACTGAGTCATTAGTGCTTCTCAGTTGTCCCCACAACAAATGTTCTAAACCTCCTGTTCTCCATTCCATGCGCTCCTATGTCCTTCTGGCTCTAGCACAGTATCATCATCACCTACATCGTCTTGTATCTTTAGTCTCTCTCTCTCTACTGACTCCTTTTTCCTACCCTCTAAAATCCTTTCCTTAATTTGCCCTCCCCCCTCAAGCTTCTTCCCACTTTCCTCTTCTCTTTACCACCAAACTTCACATGCTACAATTCTCCAGTTTCATTTATTCCTCAGTCAATTGCAAAAGTTTTCTGTCCCATCATGACTCTCTTAAACTCACCAGTGGTCTCCTAATTGCCAACTCTAAAAGCCTCTTCTTAGCTCTAACTGCTTTGGCTCAGTGAATAAGCATCAGCCTGTGGACTGAAGGGTCCCTGGTTCAATTCTAGTCAAGGGCACTTGCCCAGGTTTGCTGGCTTGATCTCCAGTAGGGGGCATGCAGAAAGCAGCCAACCAATGATTCTCTCTCATCATTGATGTTTCTATTTCTCTCTCTCTCTCCTTCACCCTTCCTCTCTGAAGTCAATAAAAATATATTTAAAAAAATAAAATAATAAAAGCTTCTTCTTAGTTTACATCCTACCCTGTCTCTCTGTAGTGTTCTATTATGCAGCTATTCAACTTGACCTTGTACTTAGCATTCAATACTGCTGACGTGTTCCTCCATGATGATGCTCTCACTGCCTTTCAAAGTATACTTCAGCAAACTTTCACCTCCTGGTCTGCTTATTTCCAGTAGCCTCCCTTGGTGCCATCTCTGTTTCTGTCTCTTAAATGTATGCATACCCAGGGTTCAAATTCCAGCCTTCTATTATATTTTTCTGCTAAATAGTCATTCCCTGTCAAAATTTCAATGATCACCTCAATGAAAATTTCTAAATCTACAACTCTAGCCTTGAACCTCTCTCCTTAGATGTCAGCACTAAATATCCAACTATCTACCTGATATCTCATATCTACAAAGATGTCCCATTGGAAAACTAAATTGTTTAAATCATATTCATTATCTTCACCCAAAAAACGTGTTCTACCTGTCCTATCATGCTCCCTTAGTAAATGTAATAGGCCTCCCAGTAGGGTAACCTTGGAAATCCCAGTCAACTTTAATTCCTTTCTCTCCCTTATTCTTACAAATGACATGAGATATTCTCTTTCTCCTCTAAAAATAATTCTCAAATCCATCCTGCATAGTACCTAGGACATAGCAAATGCTAAGTCTACATTTTTTAATTAAATGTAATTATATCTAAACCTGAATAAGCATCATCCATGTCTTTACTCAACAAGAATTTGCATTTTAAGCTCATTATCTTTGATTCAGAAGTAAAGGGTTTTGTGTTCTTATTAAAGAAATTTTAGGCATTAACAAGCAGGTGATGGAGAATGCTGTTTTTCAAAGTGGTTAAGACAACCTGAAATCATACCAATCCTAATTTCTTAAGCTTCTCTTATTTTTTTTCTTTTTAAAAAATATATTTTTATAGATTTCAGAGAAGAAGGGAGAGGGAGAGATAGGAACATCAATGATGAGAATCATTGGTCAGGTACCTCCTGCAGACCCCATACTGGAGTTTGAGCCCACAACCCGGTCATGTGTCCTGACCAGGTATTGAATCGAGACTGCCTGGTTATAGATCAACGATGCTCAACCACTGAGCCATGCTGGTCAGACAAACTTTGTTCTTTTAAGAAAAAAAAAATGGCTCTAAAGCAAAGTATGGCCTGTGGTTTTATATGTGGCTTCTACTGGCCCAGTTGTTGATAGTGTAATTCTGGGAGCTCATCAAGCAAAAAAAAAAAAGCATTTTTATCCTAATAGTTTACCCACCTATCAGACTCAAACTTTAACCTGAATTTGGCCTTTCTCTGTTATAAAACTCCCTGCCCTCGCTGGTTTGGCTTAGTGGATACAGCTTAGGTCTGTGGACTGAAGGCTCCCAGTTTTGATTCCTGTCAAGGGATGCCTGGACTTCAGGCTCAATCATGCAGGAGGCAATCAATAATTCTCTTTCATTGTTGATGTTTCTATCTCTCTCTCCCTCTCCTTCTGAAATCAATAAAGATATATATACATTTTTTTAAAATTCCCAATGCTATTTGTGTTTTATAGTAAAATTGACATTACCTTGGCTAGAGTTTGGTATTTTTTTACATAACTTTCATTAACTTATATTCAGAATCCATCCATATGGTGCAATATTTTTTCTGATTCTAACAAAGAAGTTTCTAACAAGGACTCAAGACCTTGAAATGTATGTACTCATTAAAAGCTAATCAGAAAGTTTTATATGAGCTATCTTAACATGCAATTACAAATAAATTAATTCTAGGCTTCACACCCAACTTTTAATTTCAAAAAGCAAATTAATATTTTGAGAGAGTATTTCTAATTACTTTCTCTGTGTAATAGTCATCATACTGCTTAAACAAACCACAGACTGTTCATTGCGAGGTGGTGAAGTGACAAAATAATCCCAGACTGGTGAGAAAACTTTCTTAGCCAATTCATAGTTACCAATCTGATAGGCAACCTACAACAGAAAGAACATTATCTTATGCAACATTTTTATTTGTGAAATGTACATTTTAAACAAGAATTCCAATAGGGTCCTATAACATACTAATTTCATATACAGTCATTCACATTTGCTGCTCTGGTCTTCAGTGCCACAGTAAGGTAATGATAGCCATCGGCAAGGGAGACAGACCCATTTTAAAATCTCTTTTATTTCTGAATTGCATGGAAATTTGAAACTCTGTAAGGATGTTTCAAATTCTCATAAGAAAAACAAAGATCAGATCTGAGCCAAATTAATTTCATTCCCATCTATCTCAGCAGCACACTCCATTTATTATAGACACTGTTATAATGAACAATCTGTTCAAAGAGAAACAATCAGATTTCCCAAACCAAAAATATGAAATATATTTCATTCTTTTCTGCTTCTGACTGACACTTTTGGAAGTTTTGTACAACAAAGAGTTCACAGCTGAAAAGAGTGAAGAATAAAACAGAGACGCTTCCAAGAAGCCATGATATATTTTTAAATTTAACACATTCAACTTTAGGCAAAAACTTTAGGCTTTTACTCGTACAACTGAAACATTCAGAAGAAAAAAAGTCATGAACTTACCTATTTCTTTTGGTAGAATATGTTTCTTTAAATATATTTCTAAAAATCATTCTATTTTTATATGTATAGCAATGTGAAATTTCACCACAAATTATATGCTACTTCAAATCCTTGATGGAAGCAGGTAAAATGTAAAGTATACTAGTAAATTCATTGAATTAAATATGTAAATGACATGCTGCTAGGTTATATACCACTCCAGGGAATAATTTACAGATCTAGAACTTTTTAAATATGCCAGGTCAACATTCAAAATCAACCAACCAATAAACTTCTTCAAAGCTGAAAATGCTCTCATGAAACTGTAATCAAGTTATAGACATAAAACACATGAAATTACAGAAAAACTGCACATGATAACATAATAGCTGTGGAGATTTAGAAAAGAAGAAATAAAGACTTCAAGGAGGAGGCAGGGCTTGAATTGACCCCTAAGAAGAGATAAGATTCAGATGACCATAGTTTAGGCAGAATCTGAAAAAGGTCCAGTAATGGAAATCACCGCATTGCAGTTAGGAAAGACTGGAAAGGCAGGCCAGAATTTGGGGAAAAGTGGGCCATATGCCGAAACCAGTTTGGCTCAATGGATAGAGCATCGGCTTGGGGACTGAAGGGTCCCGGGTTCGATTCTGGTCAAGGCTATGTACCTTGGTTGTGGGCACATCCCCAGTAGGGGGTGTGCAAGAGGCAGCTGATCGATGACTCTCTGTCATCGATGTTTCTAACTCTCTATCTCTCTCCCTTCCTCTCTGTACAAAATCAATAAAATATATTAAAAAAAAAAAAAAAGAAAGAAAAGTAGGCCATATGATTGGACAGGTAAAGTGGGACATGGTGTCAGAAGGTCTTGAAAATCAGGTAGAAGTATTTAAAAATGTCAGGCATTATTGTGCTGATTCCTCACCATATCTCTATTAAGTAAGCTCTATTATCATCTATGTATTTCAGATGGGGCATTGCATAGTTACATAATTTGTACAGAGCCTGACACTCAGTAAAATCAGTGGAGCAGAGACTTGGAGTGGAAACTGAGTCACTTTTCTGGGCTGCATTGATCACATAGAAGATTTGGACTAAGTGGTCACTAAAACACCATCTAATTCTAAGATTTCCATGGGAAATAATAGCAGTTGATGTATAATGGGGTTGGTGAAACTGTAATTGAATGTTTTTTTTTCCTTTAAAAAAATATATATAGTCTTTTGAAAAATAATGTTATTTATTCAATTAGTGAACACTGTGAAACAAGATACCTTGATAAAACTATCTATATATATATATAAAAGCCTAAGCGATCAAACTGAATGATTGGTCAACCTGTCACAATGATGTGCAATGACTACCAGGGCGCAGACGCTCAACACAGGAGCTGTCCCCTAGTGGTCAATGTGCTCCCACGGCGGGAGCACTGCTCAGCTGACCAATGGGCGCCAGATGCATGGCTGGTGAATGCCATTGTGGTGGCACAGCGTCTCCTCATCACAACTGACTGGGCACAAGCCTGCACAGACCCAGTAGAGTCAGGATGAGCGGGAGCGGCAGGTGGGAGAATCAGGTGGTGTTGCCCTGCAGGGATCAGGCTGAAACCAGCAGTCCATCATCCTCCACGGGGTCCCAGATTGCAAGAGGGCACAGGCCAGGCTGAGGGACCCCACCAACGCATGAATCCATGCACTGGGCCTCTCGTGGTTTATAAAATCATGAATCTTTGTGAGTAAACATAAGAGTGTGATGATATGAGCATGTTCAAAGATGGCTAACTGGTAGTGATGTGCAGAACAGATGATAGAGGGGATGAGGTTAAAATGAAAAAGCAGCACTAAAGACTCATGTAATGATGGATGAAGTATATAGTGTAAGCTTCAATACATGACCTTCATCTGGCTTCCAGAATACCACACTCTTGATTTTCTTTTCACTACAAAGGCCACATTCCTTTTCAGTTGCCTGCACAAGCTCCTTCTCTTTCCCCCAGTCTCTCTATAATTGGCATGCTCTAGGGTTCAGTCCTTGAACCTCTCCTCTTTTCTGTCTGCACTTACTTCCTTGGTGATAACATCCAGCTCCATGGCTTTGGCACATGACTACTCTCAAAACCCTCTCCTGCCCAAACCTCTGTCTCTTCTAAACTCCAGATTCATACATCTAACTACTCAACAATTCTCTCTGAATATACAGTCAGTCTAATATATAAGAAATACCTAATAGTATCTTACCTCAACATACATACCCCAAGCTGAATTTCGGATCTTCCCTACCACTATCTACATCACCCACAGACTTCCTCAACTCAGTTAATATCAACTATATCCTTGCAGTTGGTCAGCTAAATATCTTAGAATCATCTTTCAGTTTTCTCTTTATATTAGTTCCATCAGCAATTCTTATTAACTCCTCCCTCAAAACATATCCAGAATCTGGCCACTTCTCATCACATCATCTACTATCACTGTGGCCAAGCCATGTTCATCTCTCACTGAATTATAGGAATAGAGAGGTCTCTCTACTTCCACCCTTACCCTCTTGTGATCTATTTCCAATATATCAGTCTTTAGTGTGAGCCTTTGACAATATAAGTCACATTATATCATGCCACTATTCAAAACCCTCCATTTCACTCAAAGTAAAAGCCAAAGTTCTTAAAATAGCCTAAAAGTCTTTTCATGATATACTCCCCTACCCAGTCATTCAGCCTTACTTCTCTGACCAATCCTTCACTCTCCATGGGTCCCTCTGCTCTAGCCATATTGGACCCCTTGCTATCTATAAAGCATACCAGGTGTACTTCTGGAAATCTTAGGGCTTTTGCTCTAGGTCCTTCTGCAGAATGCTCTTCTTCCAAGAGTCTTTCCCACAACTGTTTCAAGTCTCTGCTCAAACCTCACTTTCTAAGTGAGGACTTACCTGAGCACTCTTTTTAACACTGTAATCAATCTTCCATTTCCCCACTTCACATTTCCAATTCCTTTTACTATACTCTACTTTCTATTTCCATAGAATTGCCTGTTTCCTCTGGTAGGACACAGAAATCTGTTTAACTAGCATTCCTGATCACTGATGCACGCTCAAGTTTTGAATAACTCGTCTGGAGCAATGCTGGCCCAGAGTAAGCACTCAGTAATAAGGTGTTACAAGAAATAAATAATGTGTTGAATGCATCCTTTTCCACAGAAGAGGATACCCAGAGGTTGCACTGTACTGTAACACAGTTGACTGGCCCAGAGTGAGTGCCTGGCCTAAGCTGAGTGTTTTATAGCCCCCACTTCAAAGCAAGATGGACCCCCACCCTAAGTTTGGATGACCTGGACTCACTTGGAGAATTTGAGAGAAAATGTATTACTCACACAAGACTCCCAAGGAGAGTTTGGCAGGCACACATAAGTCTGGGCTGGCTTGGACAAAGCAGAAGAAACGAGTTGGCCCTTGATTCGTGACTGGGAAGCAGGAATAAGGAAAGTTCCTGCTACCTGGAAGGTTTAAATTTCCTGTTGGCACCAAAGATAAGGTAAGCCCACAGACCTCTCTTATCAGTCTGCCTTCCTGGTGCGGCCAAAGGAAAAAAGAGGGGTGAGGTTTACGGTGGTCAAACATCAAAAAAGAGGTCAGATTCTTTGTTGCATTAGGAAGCCAGAATCCCTCTCCCAGGAATTTGGAATTAAGATTAGAAGGCAGCTAGCTGGTCTCTATTTACAGTTAAATTTGAGGGATATATAAAAATTAACAAGGTGCTATTTTTCCTCCAAACATAGAGAGGTAAAGAAATTAAATCTTTAGAGAAAGAAAAATAAAGCATATTTAGAGAGAACTGAAAGTATAAAACCTAGAGCTTTGCAGCCTTCCCATGGTGCATTCCCCAAGCCAGGCTGGCTCCCCTACTTACAAAGTCTTAACTAAAACCATAAGTCAAAATTATCTAAATAAGGGTTGTTATATATATTTGAAAGGAAGGAGAAATGACATCTAGTGTAGAACCTGGCACAAAGCAGACAGTGAATAAATAATTCATCAATAAACAGATGGATATAGAAAGAGTAGTCATATTTAGAGGATGAGAGGGAAGAGTTGAAATTTCTTAAAAAGCTTAAAAATGGTGCTGTTCATTATATTCCACAAATGAGTGATATCATGTGATATTTACAATTTATAGTTATAAAAGTCCTGGGAATATAGCATATGGAATATAGTCAATAATATTGTAATAATTACAGGTGGATAATTATCAGGTGGATACTTGACTTATGGGTGAGATGACTTCGTAAAGTATATAAATGTTAATCACTATGCTATGCACCTGAAACTATGATAATATAAAATAATATTAAATGTCCACTGTAATTGAAAAAAATGCTGTTAGATTCTAAAAGTTAAATAAATAGCTATATGTGTCTGCTGGCTACATTTTTAAAAAATTATGTTAACTATCTTTTTTACCTGATAGCTTTTTCTTTTATTATTTGAATAGTCATAGGCAAACCTCTATTAATCAAATAATTTCAATGACTTCATATATAAAGTGGGAAAAGAGTACGAACTTTTATTTCCCCTTCTCCTGACATCATTGTGCTTTCTGACAAAACATTCATGTCCCAGCATCAAATTCTCCTGCCAACACTGATCATCAAGACCCGCTGAACACCACCAAACCCAGGCAGAGAGAAGATGGGAGAGGTGTAGGCTCTAGAATAACTGGGCACATGTTAGACATCGAACACATGACTTCCTTGGAATCTGGACGAGCAATAAAAATGCATGAGCTGGCTCAAGTGTCAGGCTTGCCATCTGCTACCAAGTAACCTTGGGTAAATTAACCTCCCTGAGTCACCTTTTCTAGAATTAACTGGGACTGGCAGAGGAAGAATCGAATTAATCTCAGGCTCCTCAATATAAAATGAAAGTGATAATACCCCTCAAAGAGTAATTATAATAAAGGGAATAATGCATTTTTAAATGCTTGTCACACAATAGTTTTTGATATTCCACATTTCCTTTGTTCAACCACCCATAGTGCCCACTATTGTATTTAGTACTAATTCAATAATTCTGCAGTATATGGCATTTTGCATGTATCCATTTTACAGAGAGGAAAATGGAGACCAAGAAATTTGTCTAAAATTCTGCTTACAGACTTCTAATTTTCTATATTTCGTATCACATTATCTATCTTTTCCCAACTTAAAGGGGAAGAATAAAAAGAAATTAGCCTTTAAAGAGAGGGAAATTGGAAAATACATCACTCATATAGATTCCTAAAAAAAATTATTTTTCAGATAGCCTGAATTAAGGGAATACCTAGTAAAGATTCACCTGAATTTATTAATGTCTGAAGAATAATGTTGAGCAAAAGTGCAACCTAAAATCACAAGTCCATGTTAATAATTGGCAGTTAGTGGAATATCTCCATACCTTACTATAAGTATATTTATAGTATTTTTAAAGAACAAACTATCCTGAAATTAAAAACCACTCTCATAAAAATAGATCACAATTCCAAGAGAAAGGTCTATTTTCTTGCTAGAACCTTTAAACTTTTGTAAATAAGGAAATTTACTAAGTGAGAAAATTTTGCTTTAGCCACTTAACATTATGAGGCAGAATGCTCATAAACTGTCATAAACAAACTGAAGTACTGCAAATATGGTATCAATAAAGACACACAGGTCACTGCTTTATGACATTTCTCATTATTCCAGCAGTATAGCTGAGACTTAGTTTTATTAATTTTCAATGAAAGTTCTGCCAAGTGAATCCCAAGAGTCAAACCACTCCCTGGAGAAAAATTAGGCCTTGATAAAATATTCTATTCCTCTTTTTGAAATAACTCCATCACTGCAAATTAGGGAATATATTAGATTCCAAAGAAATCAGAAAACTATGAGCCAATATGACATGCTAAACCAATGCTAGACAAATCCTAGCAATTCTCTCAATGTAATTTTCTTTGAAAAATATGATCCTATCAAAAGCCACTAAAATATTCGCTTATAATACTAATCAACTATTAAGAGAAAAAATAGCACAATAGAAATGTAATAAAATTTAGAACAGCCATCATCTCTAGAGTCAATAATAGGTTTAAAATTAGATACTTGAGACTTAGGTCAATGAGTCACACTCTTCTTAGCATCTTTTTCACTGGTGATATGCTCTAAGTCAGGTAACCATTTCAGCAAAAATGTTAATTCATTAACATACCCACAACTAAATACAACAATAATATTTACTAAGTGCCTAGTGGGTGACAAATGCTCTGGTTAAACATCTGACATGAATATCTCCACTTAATACTCATGCTAGCTCTAGGAGGTAGCTTCTATTATTCCAACTTCACAGATGAAGGTTATTTGCCCACTATCATGTGGCTAGTGTGAGGAGCTTGCATTTAAACTCAGGTCTGCCTGTCCCTATTAGCTCAGACATTTCACTTCTGTAAATCTATCCTAAGAAAGTAATCATGAATGCAGCAAAGAATTATATAAAAAGATATGCATCACAGCTTTGCTTATAACAACAAAGGACTGGGAGGTATTTAAATTTGTCCAACAACGAAAAATTATTAAACAAACCATGATCTAGCTATATGATAGATAATACCATGCAGTTGTTTAAAATTATGTTTTAAAAGATTAATTTAATGGAATGGGAAAATGTCAGTTATATACTAAATGAAAATAGCAGAATGTACAATAATATGTATACTATGATTAAAATTACATAGACATAATTCATATGGGTATATATGCATGTATAACACACATATATATAAACACAGATGAAAGTATATCTCTGGTTCTCTCCACATTGGCACTACTGACATCTTGGTCTGGATAATTCTTTGTTATTGGGGCCTGGCACTGTCCTTTACATTGTAGGATGCTTACCAGCATCCCTGGCCTCTACCCACTACCTTGTTTCCCCGAAAATAAGACATCCTCCAAAAATAAGACCTACTTACAGATTTCCTTCTGAGTGAAATACAAGCCTTCCCCCCGAAAATAAGGCCCCACCTAGGCTAAACATGAGAGATTTGGTCCACTGATTCTGAAAGAAATGGAGTCACAAGAAATTCACCAGGAAATTCAGGAATTGGATGGTTATGATGATGTTCCAGAAGATGATGACATGATTGTCATTGAATAAATGAGTAAATTCTTGATACTGTAGGATTCACAGTTTGTCTGGTTTGTGTTGACAACTACCGTACCATATACAGGTAATAAATTTCCTTTATTTTCATTTAACAATAAATGTGTACCGTATTCTTCTTCATGGAAAAATAAGACATCCCCTGAAAATAAGACCTAGTGCATCTTTGGGAGCAAAAATTAATATAAGACACTGTGTTATTTACGGGGAAACAGGATAGATACCAGTAGCACCCCTCTCATTGTAACAACCCAAAATGTTTCCAGACTCTGCAAATGTCCCCTGGGGGCCAAAATTGCCCCAGGTTAAGAACTGCTTCTCTGGATGATAGAATAACAGATAACATTCTTTTTTTTTTTCTTTTTTCATTTCAGTATTTTCCAAAATTTCTAAAATTAATGTGTTATATATGTAATCCAGGTAAAAGTGTTATTATAAAAAGCAAACTCATAAGAGAAGGAATTATTCCCATTTCATGAGATTAAATTGCATTGATGGAAAATATATATTAAGGAGCTTTAGAATATCTGCTGTGATGTTTTTCCCCTCCATCAGAAGTTACTTAATAACTGCTCAGTGGAAAAACACATAAAGAAAAACAAATGAGCAGAAATCTCTTCTACCTGAGTCAGGAACATCCGAGCAGTAACAGCAGAAAGAGGTGGATAAATCAGAATTGGTTTAGTTGTCTCCCCAACAGCATTACCGACAAGATTCCCATTAGAAGAGTAAGCAGCAATTGCAAAGACATATTTTTCATTGGTTTCTAAACCTTTCACTTCAAAAATGCTTTTACCATCAGCTGGTATCTATTAACAAAAAACATTTCAAGTTATGTATAAAAAATAAAGTAATATAAATTTAAGTATATAGTAAGTAAACCTTACATGTAAAAAAAAAATCTCTTCATTTACTATTAGATTTTAGTCAGATTCAAGAAGTTGAAATTAGAGAAATTCACTGAAATGATAATGACTTCCTAAAGGGAAAAAATCATCATTCAATATGTTCAGTAAGATTTCTTGGCATTTAGATTTTTTTTTTATGTGACATACCGCCTCTCCTGAGTTTGGGAGACGATTATTGTTTAGTCTCACTTTTCCATGGCTCCCTTCTGCTTTGCAGCCCAAAATGCGGTACCACGACACCTGCCGAGGAGAGAGACAAGCCTAGCATCTGTCGTCTGTTTAATAAGGCATTCAATTTCCTTTATCAGGATGTGGCAAAGGGATGAAAATGTACAATAACTATGCAAGTTTTAAAACATGGTATCCAGGTTTACACAAGTACTTAAGTTTAATCTTTTTTAAAAAAATAAAAATAAAAAGGCAAATATAGGCTAGTTTACCTGGGACTAACAAGATTAAAATATTATTCATTACTCATTATTTTAACTACTACTAATTGAGCAGTTCCTACCTGCTGAGTATTGCTAGGAAATTTACATATGCTTTCTAATATTCACAACATCACTATAAATTGGGATTACTTTTGTCATTTTGCTTTTCAGGAAATCAAGACACCAAGATGTTTAATCACTGGCCCAAGATCAGATAGTGTCAGGGAGTGACTCCAAAGATGACTTAATCTTGTTGGGGAAAAAGACCAACACTGGGATGATTTTCATATTTTATTAAATAATAGATGACAAAAAAGTGAATAGAAAAAGAAGCAAGATACTAAATCATATTATTTGATGTAAAATATAAAAATACATATAAAAAAATAAAAGCCTGGAAGAAACTGTTCGTAAATAAGAATAGCGGAAGATTTGGGGTAATAAAGTGGTAAGAGTATGGATAATTTTTTTTTCTCCAGTGCATGCATTTTCTGATATCCTTTTGATAATTCTTAAATATAGGCATAAACCAAAAGCAAAATACATATTCTACTAAAACGACCAAACTTAAACTTGATTAAATGCCTAGACAATGGCCCTTCTGCCAAAATGTCAAAATAATGGAAATTCTTTTCTGTAATGAACTATTCTCAGTATAAGGAAAGGGAGCAAGTTGATATCTAGGGACCAGCATTATTAGGCACCATACTGACCGGGGGTTAGGAACAGAGGAATTGTACATCTCAACTCCTAAATTACAAGGGAACTGGATGACAAGCGAAATGCAAACTTCTCTAAGAAGTAAAGGCTTCTCATAGCTTAGCCTGCTATCTCTTCTGGGTCAACAGAAAAATCCTAATTGTGTCTTGTCTATACAAGTAGTTGTCAACTCAGACTATGCAGCAGAATCACTTTTTAAAGTATGCTTTGTAAAGAATCAACCATTTTAAAAAAATAACATACACCCAAGCCTGCATGGCCTCAGTGAATAAGAATTTCTGATGCAGGTGGCCAAACCTTTGTGTTTCAAAAAAAATTTTTCTCAAGTGATTAAGGATCCATCTACAAAGGCAGGAGAACTCTAAGGACAGAGAGCCCTGACGGAACTTGGAAGCTGGAGGATGGGAAAAGAAATCAGATGAATCTCACACAAAAATGAAAAACTAACTTTCCTTGACCACTCATGCAAAAAAAAAAATTACCATTTTTTGTAAAGAGAAGAAATAGAAAGTTTATGTTTATGATGTAGACCATTATTGCTCTAAGCTAAGCTCTATTTGTCAACTGGAATTTGAAGAGTAAAATTCTCTCTAAAAGCATATTTATAAGCAGGCTTTATATTTTGTTCCACAGATGAAAACATCTTGGTTTATATAATTACTTATAAGAAGCAATGTGTGATTAGAATCTACCAAAGAGCAATGACACCATAAATAAATCATCACTTCATCATTAAACTTCAGAAGTAAACCTGTATAAATATCATCAGCACTTTCAACTATTAAAATAGGTTTTAATGAAACAAATACCTTAACAGTGGTTTTGATCAAACAAAAGATGGCTGAATCCTCAAACCAGTAAATGTATTTAAGACCATAGCACCATCTAGTGCTGCTCAGTAGGAAGCAGAAGGTAATTTCCTAGAGTATACAACTCTGCTAATGTATTATAGTGGGTCGGCAACTAAGTAATTGCGTGTTTCACACATATTGTATAACTTAATATAATGTGGCTCAGCCAGCATGGCTCAGAGTTTGAGTGTTGACCTATGAACCAGGAGGTCACAGTTTGATTCCTGGTCAAGGCACATGTCTAGGTTGTGGGCTCGATCCCCAGTGTGGGGCATATAGGAGGCAGCCCATCAATGATTCTCTCTCATCAATGATACTTCTATCTCACCCTCTCCCTTCCTCTCTCAAATCAATAAAAATATATTTTTTAAAAACAAAAAAAAATTTAATATAAAGTGGTAAGTGATAAGTCCAACAATTACAAGTCAAATATGGAACGCATATCTTTCTATTTCTAAGCATTATGAAATAAACTAGTCACTAATTTGAAATACTTAAAAATAAGATTTTGATAAAATAAACCAAAACATTGGAAAATAAAAGTATCTTGGTAAATTATCCAGTCATAGTTCTTCACTACATTTCTAAAATCAGTGACTCCCTATTCTTTCAACAGATCCAGAAAAATCCAAAGTTGAACTTTAAAATGGCTAGCAATCAGAATAATGCATTTATTATAGCGCAGTTAGATGTAAGACTGACAATATTTCTATTCCCCCAATTATAAAGCACTGAGAAGATGGTATTACTTCTCACTGATGTCCACCTACCAGCAGCCTAAAGCTCCTCAAAGACTAGAACCATGTTTGTTTGTGCTTATTTTTATAACTCAATTACCTTACACTGCTTTATAGATGATAGATACTCAATGCTCATTGGAAAAATTGTGTTAAAAAATAAAATTAAATCATGTAATCATGGTTACATAATTAATTGCTTTTAGAAAAATTTACTACATATATTTAATAAGATATGAGGGGAAAAGTTAATATACCAAGAATATTACATAATATTTCATTTAATTTTCACAGTAAACATATTTTACAAATGAAAGCACAACAAAACACCTCATGAAGTATAATCAGATTTCCTAGAGAGTCCTACTGCTGGCAGGTGGAGCTGGAATTTTTAAGCTTGCCTCTGACTTTAAAGCCCATACCCTCCCCACTATACCAAGTCAATATAAGCTCAAGCAGATGTCCTAAAGAGAATTAAAGACACACTATATTTTTTATATAACATCAAAGAGAATGTTGTTGATCATCCAAAAGAAGAGAAGGTAATATTTAAAATATAAATTAGGTAGAACCAAATGTTTGTGAGGAAATTAAAATCTCAAGTTATAGTAACATTTAGGCTGAGTTCCAAGGCATTGGAGATGGAAAAAAGAGCACATCCTTCAATAAATACATAAAAATGTGTGACTTACAATACAGCTGAAACTGTCATTTGTATGTTTGTATTAAAACCATCCTCATTTACTTGGAGGAACTTTGGAAAGAATGACTCAATTCACCATCCCCAAATATCATCTCTATCATTGGCTCTGAGAGTGTCATCTATCCTCTTCAAGTGTCACACTAGAATGTCTGTGTATGACTACTAGTTTGTCATGGTAATGAAGATACTTACAAATGATTCTCTACTGTTTCTCTTTACCATATATGTGGGTATAGCAGGTCAATAAAGAGCATAAAGGGAAACAGCATAAAAAGGAAAAGATCATGAAGAAACTAAGAACAATTACTACATCAGAATATTAATCCAGTGTTCGGTGCTTACAAATAAGATTAGTCAGGCCCTAAAAGCAATAAAAGTATCAATCATTACAGTCATAAAAGTACTTGTGTTGCTTTGCCTGAAGTAAAGATCATGGTGGACAACATACCTTAACATCGGAAATAAATGAAGCAGGTTTCAATGTCACAGAACAATGAGTTCGGGATAGCAGGATAGGTGGAGGAGGGATTCTGCTTTTCTTTTTTGTTGAACTTTCCATATTTTTCTGATACAGATATTGAGCATTTTGTCCTACTTCAACCTTCTCAATTAAAGAATATGCTTCCTATAATAAGGTGTGAAAACAGAAAAATATATTTCAAGAGCTTTAATTTCACTTATATTTGTAGTGATGTTAAATAACGCTATCTTGCTATATATAGTTCTTTGAGTCTTGGTGGTATACAAGCACTGAGTGATTTTGCAGAAATTAAAGAAACAGCTACTAAATAAGGCTAAGTAAAAAAATAGTTATTAAATAAGGCAGTAGTGTCATATATATGTCTAATTTGTTTATCATTATTATATTTAATATGAGACATTTCATTTTTAATCAAAACCTCTGGATATCTATTATCGAATTTCATTGTTCTTAAAAAGTTCATTATACAATCATCTACATTTATACCAGTGAATTGTACACCTACTCGTACTGCAACTTGAAATGTAACTTTCAAACAATGAGACTATTGGTATATGCTGTTTTTAAGTGAATATTATTGAGAATTTCTTCCTCTTAGCAAGAAGAAATAGAACAGTTAAAAACACTTATTCTCTGCCAAAACCAGTTTGCCTCAGTGGATAGAGAAGGCCTGGAGACTCAAGGGTCCCAGGTTCGATTCCAGTCAAGGGCATGTACCTTGGTTGCGGGCACATCCCCAGTGGGGTGTGTGCAGGAGGCAGCAGACTGATGTTTCTCTCTCATCTATGTTTCTAACTCTCTATTCCTCTCTCTTCCTCTCTGTAAAGAAATCAATAAAATATGTTTAAAAACAAAATAAACAAACAAACAAAAAACACTTATTCTGTATACCTGAAGAAAAGGCAATAAAAGGAAAGAAAACATAGAAATCAGAAGATCTAAATGATATTCAAAATAAGACTAACTATATCAGCAATAATATTACATGTAAATGGGTTAAACTCCTCTTTTAAATTAAATTAAAGGGCAAGAGCACTCTAATTGAGCTCCAAAGCAGAAAGCTATGCAAACATTCAAATTCAATGAATGATAAAGAAGAAATAGCCTTTCCAACATATATTCAATAGTACCGGGGTAATTACAGTAGACATTTACTTGGACCCCTACATCACACCAAATACAAATATTAACTCAAAATTAGTTACAGATCCAAGTGTAAAAGCCAAAATAATATTCTTAGAAGAAAATGGAGTAAATCTTCATGATCTGGGATTAGGACTTCATTAAATTTAAAAGCTTCAAATGATACCATCAAAAAGGTGAAAAGACAATTGACAAAATGAGACAAAATATTTATACATATTACATCTGATAAGAGGCCTGCATTTAGGATATATAAAAAAAACTGTTAAAAATTCATATAAAACAACAAATAACCCCACTAAAAATGGACAAAGGTTTTGAATGAACATTTCTCCATACAAGATATACAAATGGCCAATAAGCCCATGAAAAAGTTTACATTAATGGTCATTAAGGATGAAAGTATAAAATCAGCAAACTGACTGAAGAAACAGAAAACTTAAACACAGAAATAATGATGGAAGAAACTAGAAAATATATCCCAAAAATACTTCCCACAAAAGTGTCAGGCTCAACTAATTTCATTTGAAAATATTTCAAATATCAAAGAACTAATAATTCCTATGCCATTTTAAAATTTTCTAACAACAGAGATAGCTTCTTGAATAATTTTACAAATTTATTATAACTTTTGATAACAAAATCTGAAATATGACTGCACTTAAAACACAGAGCAATCTTCTTATGGTATAATATTGAATCATGAAGAAATTGAAAATATGAACAGACCAATAACAAGTAAGAAATTGGTCAGTAATAAAAAAAACTCCCACTAAAGAAAAACACAGAAACGGATAGTTTCACTAGTCAATTCTACCAAAGATGTAAAAAATAATTAATGCCAACCCTTCTTAAACTCTTCCAAAACTTGGAGAGAAGGGACATTTCCAAATTGATTTTACAAGGTCAGCATTACCCTGATACTAAAGCCAAAAAAGGACACTAGAAGAAAATTACAAACCAATATTCCTGATGAACATAGATGTAAAAATCCTTAACAAAACATTCGAAAACCATATTTTACAGTATATCAAAAGAATCATACACAGTGAATAAGCAGGATTTACTCCTGAGATTCAAGGATAGTTCAATATAAATAGGATTCAAATCAATAAATGCAATACAACACATTAAGAAAATGGGGGAGGGGGGTGTGATCGTTTCAGTAGAACCCAAACAAAATTTGACAAAATTCAACATCCTGTTATGATAAAAACCTCTCAACAAATTGCATATGAAAGAACGTACCTCAACATAATAAAGGCCATATATAACAAACCCACTGCTAACATCACATCGATGGTGAAAGGTTGAAAGTGCTCCCTTCAATATCAGGAATACGACAAGGGTGCCCACTCTTATCACTCCTATTCAACATGATACTGGATATTTTAGCCACAGCAATCAGAAAAGAAAATGAAGTAAAAAACACCCAAATCATAAAGGAAGAAGTAAAATTGGGGAAAGGTGAGATGCTGGTCAAGGATACAAACTTTCAGTTATAAAATGAGATAAGTTTTAAAGATCTAAGGTACAGCATTGTGACTATAGTTCATAAGACTGTATTGAACACTTGAAATTTATGAAATAATAGATTTTAAGAGTTCTCACACACACACAATAAAAGTAACCATGTGAGTTGATAAATGTGTTAATTAGCCTGACTGAGGTAGTCATTTCACAATAAATATATCAAATAATCACATTGTACATTCTAAATATATTACCATCTCATTAGACAATTGTACTCAATAAAGCTGGGGGTTGGAGGCAAAGCTCAATAAACTCGGAGAGCCCTTTCTTTAAGCAGGAGAAAAAATACTAATTTTAGCCCACTGAGAAAATCATGCAACACTAAAAGATTCATCAGTAACATCCAGGAGGAGACAGAATGCTACTATTCCTTTTTATTCTGAAAGTTCTAGCAAATTTAATAAACACTAGAGAGAAAATCCAGAAGATGGAGAGACAAAATGTCCACCAAATGTCAAATGCACTTCTCTCAGATACAAAACCCATGCTGTTTCCCCTACAGAAGACCTGATGAATTTAAAGCTTTCATTTGGAAAGCTGGACTCAAGCTCAAAAGAAAGGATAAGACTAGAGACAGGCTCTGGGAGTCATAAGCATCAGATTGATATTTAAAGCTAAGTGGGTAAACCCATCCCCAATGGGAGTGCAGACTATAAAACTGTAGCATCATACTTTTTCCCTGAAATATTGAAGCTTGGCCTAAACTGAGGTCAGAATTAACTTCTCATTTTTTATTAAAAATGGTGGACATAAGGTCTAAAAATCATTAGTCATGATTAAAATTTATCTCTAGCAATACATGGTGTTTTAATTCCACTTATTCTGTGCCAGAAGACCTTGAACATTTTTCTACACTTACAGTTCAGGAGTCTTAGCCATCTGCACAGGACAAACATTCCATCTTGTGAGAAGGGTGATATATGATAACTACGCTTCCAGAGCCTATGTGCCAGAGACCATCAAAAGTTTACCATCAAAAGCTACTTGTTTAAATATATTTTTATTGATCTCAGAGAGGAAAGGAGAGGGGAAGATAGAAACATCAATGATGGGAATCATTGATCAGTTGCCTCCTGCACGCCCCCCTTCCCACCCCAGAAATCAAGCCCGCAACCCAGGCATGTGCCAGGACCAGGATTCGAACCATGACCTCCTGGTTCATAGTTTGATGCTCAGCCACTGGGCTACACTGGCCAGGCAAAAGCTAATTTATGTACTCATGGTGCTTGATGTAACTGTTGCATCACAGAATGAATAAACCAGTCAATCAGGGAGATAAGATGGCATCTGTTATCCTCCATTATCTCCTCTTTTCCACTCATTCAATCAAACTGGGGGGGGAGGGGTCAAAGGGGGAGGGGGGGGGGCGCAGGTTGAAGAAAATGGATGGAAAATAGTAAGGGCCAGAAGCCGAAGGGACTGTGTCATAAAAGACTATGAGAAAGTCAAGTTCCAGTTCAGCTCAGTGGACGCAACCAGCATGGGGCTGGGCAGAGGCTCATTCCCCCATCGACCCTCTGCCACAGACCACAGGCCAGCCTCGGCCCTCTGAGAAGGCAGATATGCCCACAGAGCAGGGCTCCCTGGAAAGGCAACAAGTGGCAGTTTGATAAGAAAGAGGCCAGAGTTGAACAAGGTAAGTAGGTTCCCCAGGTAACTGTGGGAAAATTCTGAGGGAAGAAGTTCCTAGTTGAACAGAAGGGAAATAAAATCTATTATATTTTGGCCCTGGCCAAGTGGCTCAGTTGGTTGGGGCATTGTCCCATACAACAAAGGTGGTGGGTTTGATTCCCAGTCAGTGCACATACCTAGGTGGAAGGTTTGATCCCTAGCCTGAGGTGCTTACAGGAGGCAACGGGTAAATGTATCCCACATATGGATATTTCTGTCTCCCTCTCTCTCTTTCTCTATTTCTCTCTCTCTTCCTCTCCCTCCCTCTCTGAAAATCAATAAAAACGTATCTTCAGGTGAGAACTTTAAAAAATCTATTACATTTTGAAGATTAAATGTTCATGTGCCTTCATTTGCATCACAGGCTGTGGAGACTATGATTATTCAGGTTGCAAAAGAATCAGTAAAAATCAGCCTAAGAAAAGTTATGCAACATAAGGAAAGGGACCAATGCCTTAAAAGTCTAGAATCTAGAGCCATTTCCTTCCTCCGGATTATGTTTGGAGCCTGAAAATATGCCAGCACCACACGCTCACTGGCCTTGGTATTAACACAGACTGCTTTTGACTCCATCTCAGTTGAATAATCAAATGCTCTGGGCTTTCTACATTTATTCCCAAAATTTGCCTCAGTGTTCATGCTCAGGCAGCTAGAAAGGAGCATCTTCTGACTTGACACTAGCAGCTTCTCCCTGCATAACCGCGACCCCAACTGAGATCTTTTTAAACTTCCTGCCATGGGCTATCACACAGACATTTCTCAAACGTGGCTGTTGATCAGTATCATCTATGAAGTGT